ATTTTTTTTTCATTCAACAGGATAACTTTGTGTTTTATATGTTACAAGTTTTGAGCACAAAAGAATACATAAAGTAAGCTAATTATCCATTAAAATGTACTACTGAACATTTACATTTTGCGCATTTAAACATTACGCCCAATAATCGTTTTGTTTGGATATATTTAAAGCCAAATTAATGGAAATATAAAGTTTAGTAGCATTTTTGGCACACATTACACAAATAAATCATTTATGAATTTAATTACACCTTAAATCCAATAAATTTTAAAAAGATAATTCAATCTAATCCAATACGATAACAATTGTTTATTATAATAAATAAAAACTCCACTATAAATATTATCTAATACATAAAAAAGATTAGGAACTTCAAATAAATCAAGTATTATCCAATATAACTCGAAATTAAAAAAGAAAAAGGTTTAATAAAATTAGTTAATACCTTGTTTATCTGCTTAAAAAAATATATTTCAATTTGTAACGTTAGATTATTGTTTATGTAAGCATTTTTGTGTTGGGTTAACTTGATACGAAGCAGTTCAATTTATAAAATATTTATTGCAAAGCGTCGAGTACCTCAAATTCGATTTTGAGAGAAAAAATCTCAAAATCGAATAGTGAGTCTATGGTCTCAAATAGTGACTTGGCAGTCTTATAAAATTTATTGTTCTTGTATTGAAGATGTTATTCCATGAAACTCTCAGATATGACAATATTAAATTGCCAAAAATGGTTAAATTGCAGACCAAAAAATTGCAATTCTTCTATACAAGAAGGTTGTAAGAGAATTATAAATACTCGACTATTCGCAAAACGGAAAAATTTTTTTATAAAAAAAATTTTAATCTTAATTTAACGACAATAACAATATAACTTTAAATGATAATCAGTAATACAAACACTTTGTCCACCATACAAATTCAACCTGCTTATACTACCCACAGTTTCCAAGGTATATTTCGTTTTATTACCAATTTTCTTTTGATACCTCTTTCTTACGGTACTCTCAAAAAGACCGTCACCCGGTTCAGTTTTAATAACAATAGAAATATCTTCAAAATAATAGTTTTTCTGCACAAATTTAGTTTGATTAAACTTGTTAAAATGAAATTTTCTCGCATCGGTAATTTCAGCAAGATTTAATTTCCAACATTCCGTCCCTTTTAATAATCGATTAATATAATCGACCGTATGCAAAGCAACTTCCGTGACGGTTGCATCGTTTAAAGGTAATTTTGTGCTTTCATGGCAGGTACACCAATGAGAAGAAATCGAAGCGTTTTCGCAAGTTCTATTTTCTGGGATTGGTTTAAATAAGCTATAACTAAAATTTGTGTGTTTTTCGGGGTGTTGGATTAATTCTAAGAGGGTTTGATGAATATCGAAGGGTGTTGATAAACGGCGTTTATTTCTTATTAAATTTGAGTAAGAAATCGGGTTTGATTCCTTGAAATTTTCAGGTAAATAAATATAAATTAATGGTAAACGTTCTTCGATTCTTCCTTGGTACGTTGTGCGAATTGCACCCCATCTCATTCCGTGATCGCTTAAAAATAATAAAATTGTGTTTTTTAGGGTGTCATTTTTGATTAGGTTTGTTAAAAAATTTGCGTAAAATGTATCACCAAGTTTTAGTTTGTTGAGGAAATCGTGTGATAAACTGTTTTGCCAAAAAAATCCGAAATATTTTTGTTTAAAATGATTCATTTGTGTTATAAATTTTGTTGCGTATTCTAAGAGGGTTTTGTAAACCTCTCTGGATCCAACGCATTGTTGGACGTTCATGCGGTGTGAGCCTCCAATGTGTTTTTCAGCCACCATGTTAAAAGGGCACCAAAAATAATCGGTTGGTTGTTTCAAAAACCCCATTTTTTGGTAATTAAAAGTCCCCATCCAAGATGCATCTTCCCCAAAAGCCGTTGTATAATTTTTTTTTTTAAATAATTTCCATATAAACGGGCAATCATCGAAATGCAAACTTGCGTTTTTCCAACAAGTTTTTTGTAAATCTTCTTCGCTTAATCCGGTTAAAAGTGGTATCAAATTTGGAAAAGTATTGTCACCTACTTTATTATAACCTAATAATTCCACAGCCTTAATTTTTTCTAATATCGACTTGGTTTTAGGCATTTGCCTATGGAAGTTGAGCCTAGACACCGAATCTAAACCTATCACTAGCACATTAAATTCATTTTGGTCAATTTTGGTATCGTTATTTTTTAATGGTACAAAAGCAAAAAAATCTTTATAAATACTCAACGACTTATAAAAACATTCAACCATTACAAACTCGTCGTTTACGTTCGTTTGATCGCTAAAATTAACACTCGATCCAAAAACGACTTTATTATCTTTAACTCCATTTTCCGGATCGACCCTTTTAAACGGAGTGTATTTACAAGTTAATTTTCGCCGATCTAAAATACCATAAAATCGCAACGATTTTTCTTCAATATAAATCGAAGTTCGATTTGATTCGAATAAAGGAGGACGTCCGTTATCGCATCTCACGGGTTTTTCGTCGAAAATAAATCCTCTTACGCTAATATCGTACGGGTCCATTTCGGGTATGTTACATTTTTCTGTCGTCACCAAAAATTGTTTCGTATTTTTATTCTCCATCTGATTCTCATCGTTATCAATGAACTTCGGTTGTAATAATTGGAGGTTGTACTTGAAAGACTGGAAGACGTCTGTGAATAATAGAAGCGCCGTTAAACACACGGTTATCCATATTATTAACGGGGAGCGAAGTTTTAATTCTTCAGCAACCATTGGAAAAATCAACAATCTAAAAAATAAAAAATTTTAACTTTCTAACGTGGAAAATCGAACAATAAGAATCGCTTATCGGGTTTAGCACGTTATTGTGTTTAAAAGTTTAAAAGTATAGTAAGGTCGACCATAAAAATAGAAAAATCGGTTTTGTGTTAATTTTTTGTAATCACTTTTTAAACAAATTGTAATATAATCAAATTTTACCTCAAAAATCTTAATTTTTTGATATGTCAACTTTAACCTAACTTAAAAGAAACCGGAAACAACATAATTACATTAAAAATATAAATTTAATGAAATAATTAAAAATCTTACCTATTAAAATAAATGAGTTCCTTAGAAAAATACAGAAAGTTTTGTGGTGAAACCGAATTCGACATTTCAATCCCTTCTCGTGGAAAGGAAATCCAACACGTAACCAGACGCATCCATGCTTTCCACCAACGATCTAAAAGCTCCCAATCCGTTCAATAAGCTCCACCGAAAACCCAAAAGCGCATGACACCCGAAATAACCGCGATGTTTCTAAATCTCAACTCATTTTATTAAATATGTTTTAGTTTCGTTTCAAAACTGAAATTTAATACGAGACTAGAAACGCATATCCAGATAAAACTTTAAAGCGACTAAAATAAATTGTTATCACACATTTATTTATGCACATTTCCTCTCTGTACTTGCTCTGGTGTTATTGTTGCTCTAATTGTTTTATTTTTTGTTCTTATATAGAATAATTAAAGGTCGTTGTTTTAATTTGAATGAATCTTTCGCCTTTTTAAGAATCTCTTTTCCTTTTTAGGAAGGATTCCTTTGGAGGTCTTGTTTGTTTCTAATTAAACAGCTGTAACTTCTACAATAAACAATAACTCCTAAATTATCAAAAAAATCTATGTCAGTTTAGATAAATGCATAACATTGTTGTTAATCAAGCTGGAATCACGATATTTGCAGGAATTGTGTTAAAAAGTATGCAAATTCTAATAAAGCAAGCGAAATTGTTATTAAAGTTGAGACGAAAAAGTTTTGGTGAATAAATCATAAAATATNTGATGTAAACATATAAATAAAAAACGATTTTTCTAAATAAATATATATTTGTAATTTTTTTTTCATTCAACAGGATAACTTTGTGTTTTATATGTTACAAGTTTTGAGCACAAAAGAATACATAAAGTAAGCTAATTATCCATTAAAATGTACTACTGAACATTTACATTTTGCGCATTTAAACATTACGCCCAATAATCGTTTTGTTTGGATATATTTAAAGCCAAATTAATGGAAATATAAAGTTTAGTAGCATTTTTGGCACACATTACACAAATAAATCATTTATGAATTTAATTACACCTTAAATCCAATAAATTTTAAAAAGATAATTCAATCTAATCCAATACGATAACAATTGTTTATTATAATAAATAAAAACTCCACTATAAATATTATCTAATACATAAAAAAGATTAGGAACTTCAAATAAATCAAGTATTATCCAATATAACTCGAAATTAAAAAAGAAAAAGGTTTAATAAAATTAGTTAATACCTTGTTTATCTGCTTAAAAAAATATATTTCAATTTGTAACGTTAGATTATTGTTTATGTAAGCATTTTTGTGTTGGGTTAACTTGATACGAAGCAGTTCAATTTATAAAATATTTATTGCAAAGCGTCGAGTACCTCAAATTCGATTTTGAGAGAAAAAATCTCAAAATCGAATAGTGAGTCTATGGTCTCAAATAGTGACTTGGCAGTCTTATAAAATTTATTGTTCTTGTATTGAAGATGTTATTCCATGAAACTCTCAGATATGACAATATTAAATTGCCAAAAATGGTTAAATTGCAGACCAAAAAATTGCAATTCTTCTATACAAGAAGGTTGTAAGAGAATTATAAATACTCGACTATTCGCAAAACGGAAAAATTTTTTTATAAAAAAAATTTTAATCTTAATTTAACGACAATAACAATATAACTTTAAATGATAATCAGTAATACAAACACTTTGTCCACCATACAAATTCAACCTGCTTATACTACCCACAGTTTCCAAGGTATATTTCGTTTTATTACCAATTTTCTTTTGATACCTCTTTCTTACGGTACTCTCAAAAAGACCGTCACCCGGTTCAGTTTTAATAACAATAGAAATATCTTCAAAATAATAGTTTTTCTGCACAAATTTAGTTTGATTAAACTTGTTAAAATGAAATTTTCTCGCATCGGTAATTTCAGCAAGATTTAATTTCCAACATTCCGTCCCTTTTAATAATCGATTAATATAATCGACCGTATGCAAAGCAACTTCCGTGACGGTTGCATCGTTTAAAGGTAATTTTGTGCTTTCATGGCAGGTACACCAATGAGAAGAAATCGAAGCGTTTTCGCAAGTTCTATTTTCTGGGATTGGTTTAAATAAGCTATAACTAAAATTTGTGTGTTTTTCGGGGTGTTGGATTAATTCTAAGAGGGTTTGATGAATATCGAAGGGTGTTGATAAACGGCGTTTATTTCTTATTAAATTTGAGTAAGAAATCGGGTTTGATTCCTTGAAATTTTCAGGTAAATAAATATAAATTAATGGTAAACGTTCTTCGATTCTTCCTTGGTACGTTGTGCGAATTGCACCCCATCTCATTCCGTGATCGCTTAAAAATAATAAAATTGTGTTTTTTAGGGTGTCATTTTTGATTAGGTTTGTTAAAAAATTTGCGTAAAATGTATCACCAAGTTTTAGTTTGTTGAGGAAATCGTGTGATAAACTGTTTTGCCAAAAAAATCCGAAATATTTTTGTTTAAAATGATTCATTTGTGTTATAAATTTTGTTGCGTATTCTAAGAGGGTTTTGTAAACCTCTCTGGATCCAACGCATTGTTGGACGTTCATGCGGTGTGAGCCTCCAATGTGTTTTTCAGCCACCATGTTAAAAGGGCACCAAAAATAATCGGTTGGTTGTTTCAAAAACCCCATTTTTTGGTAATTAAAAGTCCCCATCCAAGATGCATCTTCCCCAAAAGCCGTTGTATAATTTTTTTTTTTAAATAATTTCCATATAAACGGGCAATCATCGAAATGCAAACTTGCGTTTTTCCAACAAGTTTTTTGTAAATCTTCTTCGCTTAATCCGGTTAAAAGTGGTATCAAATTTGGAAAAGTATTGTCACCTACTTTATTATAACCTAATAATTCCACAGCCTTAATTTTTTCTAATATCGACTTGGTTTTAGGCATTTGCCTATGGAAGTTGAGCCTAGACACCGAATCTAAACCTATCACTAGCACATTAAATTCATTTTGGTCAATTTTGGTATCGTTATTTTTTAATGGTACAAAAGCAAAAAAATCTTTATAAATACTCAACGACTTATAAAAACATTCAACCATTACAAACTCGTCGTTTACGTTCGTTTGATCGCTAAAATTAACACTCGATCCAAAAACGACTTTATTATCTTTAACTCCATTTTCCGGATCGACCCTTTTAAACGGAGTGTATTTACAAGTTAATTTTCGCCGATCTAAAATACCATAAAATCGCAACGATTTTTCTTCAATATAAATCGAAGTTCGATTTGATTCGAATAAAGGAGGACGTCCGTTATCGCATCTCACGGGTTTTTCGTCGAAAATAAATCCTCTTACGCTAATATCGTACGGGTCCATTTCGGGTATGTTACATTTTTCTGTCGTCACCAAAAATTGTTTCGTATTTTTATTCTCCATCTGATTCTCATCGTTATCAATGAACTTCGGTTGTAATAATTGGAGGTTGTACTTGAAAGACTGGAAGACGTCTGTGAATAATAGAAGCGCCGTTAAACACACGGTTATCCATATTATTAACGGGGAGCGAAGTTTTAATTCTTCAGCAACCATTGGAAAAATCAACAATCTAAAAAATAAAAAATTTTAACTTTCTAACGTGGAAAATCGAACAATAAGAATCGCTTATCGGGTTTAGCACGTTATTGTGTTTAAAAGTTTAAAAGTATAGTAAGGTCGACCATAAAAATAGAAAAATCGGTTTTGTGTTAATTTTTTGTAATCACTTTTTAAACAAATTGTAATATAATCAAATTTTACCTCAAAAATCTTAATTTTTTGATATGTCAACTTTAACCTAACTTAAAAGAAACCGGAAACAACATAATTACATTAAAAATATAAATTTAATGAAATAATTAAAAATCTTACCTATTAAAATAAATGAGTTCCTTAGAAAAATACAGAAAGTTTTGTGGTGAAACCGAATTCGACATTTCAATCCCTTCTCGTGGAAAGGAAATCCAACACGTAACCAGACGCATCCATGCTTTCCACCAACGATCTAAAAGCTCCCAATCCGTTCAATAAGCTCCACCGAAAACCCAAAAGCGCATGACACCCGAAATAACCGCGATGTTTCTAAATCTCAACTCATTTTATTAAATATGTTTTAGTTTCGTTTCAAAACTGAAATTTAATACGAGACTAGAAACGCATATCCAGATAAAACTTTAAAGCGACTAAAATAAATTGTTATCACACATTTATTTATGCACATTTCCTCTCTGTACTTGCTCTGGTGTTATTGTTGCTCTAATTGTTTTATTTTTTGTTCTTATATAGAATAATTAAAGGTCGTTGTTTTAATTTGAATGAATCTTTCGCCTTTTTAAGAATCTCTTTTCCTTTTTAGGAAGGATTCCTTTGGAGGTCTTGTTTGTTTCTAATTAAACAGCTGTAACTTCTACAATAAAGAATAAGTCCTAAATTATCAAAAAAATCTATTTCAGTTTAGATAAATGCATAACATTGTTGTTAATCAAGCTGGAATCACGATATTTGCAGGAATTGTGTTAAAAAGTATGCAAATTCTAATAAAGCAAGCGAAATTGTTATTAAAGTTGAGACGAAAAAGTTTTGGTGAATAAATCATAAAATATCCAAAACTGAGGTTATTGGAGTTATAAAAATTCATAATATCTTTAATAATTGGTTTGGAATCATGAAATTTTCAGGAATTATAATAAAAATGGTGTAGATTTCGAATAAAAATGCGTCGTTGTTATTAAAATTGATATAAAAAAGTTATAAATAATTTAATTGGAAAGTACTTAAAAAATAAGCTATTTGAGTTTAGAAAAGTTCATAACTTTGTAATAAATCAAGTTGGAATCACGATATTTGGAAGAATTATGCTAAAAAGTATACAAATTGTAATGATATATGCGAAATTGTTATTAAATTCAGAGGAAAGAGTTCTGGGTGAACAAATTATAAAGTATCCAAAATCATCAAAAATTGAAGTTTTTGGAGTTATAAAAATTCATAACTTCTTTAATGTATGATTTGGAATCATGAAATTTTCAAAATTTATTTTGAAGAAGGCGTAGATTTCGAATAAAAATGCGTTATTATTATTAAGCTTGATATAAGAAAGTTATCAATAATTGAATAAAAAGTTACTCAAAAAATAAGCTATTTTATATTAGAAAAATGTACAACTTTGTAATAAATCAAGTTGGAATCACAATATTTTCATGAATTATGTCAAAAAGTATACAATTTCTAATGAAACATGAGAAATAGTTATTGAAGTAGAGACGTAAAAGTTTTGGGTGAATAAAATCATCAAAAATGACGGATTTTGAGGTTTTTGGTTTTTCATCATGATATTTTCAGAAATGATCTTAAGAAAGGCGTAGATTTCAAATAATCAATCAAAACAACACTTTATATTAAAAAATTCTAAATTAATAAATCATATTAGAAAATATATACAAAGTAATTTATCAAAATAGATTTTTACAATAAAAAATAAATACTTATATTAATAATTTGAAAACTACATAATAATTATAACAATTTCTTTTAAAAACAAAATTATTTATAATTAATTAATTAGACGAGTGATTATCCATAATTAATTGTCTACAAAAACAATAAAGTTTTAAATGAAAGTCTTCTATACAAAAACTTTGAGTTCCATACAAATTTAGTCGACTTATACTACCAACGATTTCATAAACATCCTTATCATGACTCACTTTATTTCTTATCGTCGTTTCAAAAATACCTTCACCCGGGTTTGTTTTAAAAGTAACCGTAAAATCCGAAAAAGCCCCTTTCTTCGATAAACTCTCATTGTTATTTAAAAGAACCCTTGCGTTCAACACTTCAATAAGATTCAAAACGACACATTCACTATAATTACTTAATTTATCGTTTATTTCAACAACCGCAAAATTAACAATTTTTTGGATTTTTTCATCGTTTATATCTACTTCTTTACTTCTTTGGCAGGTACAAAAATGCGATGAAATTTCAGCTTCTTCGCAAGTTCTTGAGTTTGGGATTTCAGTAAATAAGCTTTGGCTTCGATGTGAAAAATACGATCCGTTTAAATTAAATGGATCTAATAAATCTTTTAGAGTTTCATGAAGATCAAAAGGGGTTGTTAAACGATACGCGTTTTGAAGTAGATTTAAATTTTCTTTGGGAAATTTATTTTTATACCACTTTGGGAGGTAAATGTAAAGAAATGGTAGTCTTTCTTCGAGGCTTCCTTGAAAAGTTGATCGGATATCGCCCCATCTTATTCCATGATCGCTAAAAAAAATCAAAACTGTTTCGTTGAGGAACCCGTTTTTGTATAGATTTTGAAGCAAATTCGAGTAGTTTTCATCGCCTAATTTGGGTTTGTTTAAAAAATCGTGAGATAAACTGCTTTGCCAAAATAACCCAAAATAATTTTGGTTATCTTCTTTCATTCTCCGAACGAAATCTTCTGTATATTTTAGCAACCTCACGTAATCTTCTTTATCGCCGACACATTGATCAACATTCATTCGATGATTATTCCCTATCATTTTCGTCGCCTTCAAATTAAATGACCCCCAATAATGATCGGTTGGTTGCTTCAAAAAACCTTGTCTTTGATAAGTAAAAAGCCCCATCCATGTTGCATCTTCAGCAAAAACCGTGGTAAAATTCAACTTTTTAAAATCATTCCAAATAAACCCACAATCATCAAAATAACGTTTTTCCTTCCAACAACTTTTCCCGAGTTCCGTTTCGCTTAATCCAGTTAAAACAGGAATTAAATTCGGAAATGTATTATCTCCGACTTTGTTGTAACCCAAAAAACTTATTGCTTCGAGTTTATTTAAAATCTCAACCGTTTTTGGCATCTGCCTTAACAAATTTAATCGAGAAATTGAGTCTAAACCAATCATTAAAACGTTTAATTGAGGTCTAATTGTGGTTTGAACACACTTTTTTGGTGGTATGAACGCGAAAAAATCTCTATAAATTAAATTCATGTTGTAAAAGCATTTAACGTGAATAAATTCGTCGACGATTCTCGTTGAATTTGTAAATTCATAAGATTCACTAAATTCAATCTGATCATCTTTCGAGTTATCTTTTGGATTGACTCTAAAAAACGGCGTATAATAACATTTAAATAAATTTAAATCAGTTACATTATAAATTGGTAATGATTCTTGTAATAAAAAAATCGACGTTAAGTTTGATCCAATCAAAGCGGGGGTTCCATTGTTACAAATAACTTGGTTTTCGTTAAAAATAAAGTTTGTTACACTTGAATCCAATGGGTCCATATTTGGAATTACACAACCTTCCGTTTCTATTAAGAAATGATTTCGAGATGGTTTTATAACCAATTCGAAATTGGTGGTTGTTTTAACATTTTCCCCGAAATAAATGTAAAAAGTACTTAATAACACTAAAGCGACGAAAGAAATTTTGATGAAATTTTTTTTTCGCTCGAAGAATGTTTTTTGAGAATTACTTTTCGCGTATTTCACCGTTTGAGTTTTCATCGTTGCTAATCTAAACTGCACTGACAACGATATTTCGGAAATACGTTTATCACCTTCTTATCTCGATGTACCTGCATCGTATACACACAGACGTATCAAAATCTGGCAAAAACGTTCCTACATTTAAGTTAATGAGTCACGGATTAAATTGAATCGATAAAATATTAAATTTAATTTAATAAAATCTTAACATTATGATCCTCGTGTAACGTTAAAAGCGAACAAGATGTGCCATAAAATGATTAATGTATTGGTAGAAGTTTTATAGAAAACGTTATCACAACTCAGGAACAGGAAACCCATCTATTAAGTTTTTTGGTTAGGTTATTGAAAATCAGGGAGTTAATCCTAGAAATACTACAAAAAGAAATCGAAAAGAAAAGCCTACCACGAAGCATCAATTTTATGTTCAGGCAACTTAAAAAAGAAGTACAGTAAGCTGCAAAACTCGATAGCACATTGGAGCTTGTCAAGAAGGGGAGACACCAGACTATTACAGTGCTATTAAGTGTCAAAAAAGGTTGCGATTCCGTTTGGCAAGATGGGTTGCTGACAAAAATGGTAGACGCCAACCTGTAGTGAAATGAATAAAACTAAACCAAATGATGTAACCAAAACTAGTTAGAAAGTACTGGATTAAACGAGAATGTAGAAAGACAGTCTTCTAGACATAATAAACGTTTACTATGTTTACAATATTTTCTCCAGTAATATAATACATGTAAATACCTTCTACCCTCCTCCTCCATCTCCACAACCCCAATCACCTCCCTCATCCATCTCTTGCCCTCACTCCCTCTCCCAAAATGAGCCTGCAGTCCCCTCTCTCTTCATTGTCAAAGCGGAATCTGGCCACCAATCTTTTCCCTTCCATCATATCTAACTTCCCGTACATGTGACCTTCTCTTCTGCCTCTGTATGTCCCTGTCCCTATCCCTCAGTTCTCTCCACATTTCACCTCTCTCCACTCTTCTATAGCCGATGTCAGTTATTGAATATCCCACTCTCCTATAATATCATTAATATCTCCTTGCCCATATATCAACCTCCTCTCCTTGATTCCTTTCCTCGTATTTCATTGCTTTTCTCCCAGCCTCCACCATTATTAAATCCACCTCAACCTTTTCCCTCTCTATATAGCCTGGAGTCTCCCTTGCCAACCCTAGTATCCATCTCTAATACCTTGTTTGCACATCCTCCAGCTTTTATGACAAGGATACCAGAATCCAAGATGGTATTCAAGACATGCCAACTAGAGATGTGTAACACTGCGCTGCGCGGCGCAATTGAGTTAACTCAGTACAGTGTGTTACGTGCGCTGATACCCAACTTTAAAATGAGTCAACTCAATTGCGCCACCTTTGGCGTAGTAGCGTACGCTGGTGTGGCTTACTAGATAGGTGCAACACACTGGTAGACCTAAAGTTTAACGCACAACCGCTATGGCGCAGGCAACAGATCTGTCAGATTTATCACCCTATTATAGCCCTTCAAATGAACAAATATAATGGCGACATTGTACAAAACGCGCCATGTACTCTTTATATTCACGTTCGGTACACCGCCACCGTAACATATTCTCATTTTGAGGAGTTTAACAGGGCTTAAAATCTTGCAGATCTGTCAAATAGTTATTAAAAATTTACAGATATGTAGGTGAAAATTCTAGCCCTTAGTCACGTATAAAACCTGTATTTGCTAGAACTTGGAACGAGATATCAGGCTAGCTGCGCCGGCGCATATGATATCGCCGATAGATATGATGCATCAGCAACTGCGTTATGGCGCAATTGAGTTGATACATTGCGCTAACTCACTTAGGTGCGCCAGTATCAGTGTGTCAGCGCAGCAAATTTTGCTGAGTTACACATGGCTAATGCCAACACGTCCACTACATGACTCACTTACTCCTATATTCTCTGACATGTTATTTTGTATTTTTATCTAGTATCTGACATTCCTCATTGTCATTCCTACAAAACTAATAGATCTAGCTTTGTTGGTGTGTTAGTCTATATAGAGCATCATATAGTTTGGCTGGTACCATGTCCACATTCGAATTAAGCTACTGATCAAAATACTGAGTCCATCTATTTAATATTAAGTTAGGGTCCGACACAAGATTCCCATCTTTATCTTTGCACAACGTGATTCTGGGTTCAAATCCCTTTGTTTTTGTTGATTGAGCCCTTCTTTTGGTTCTTCTGCTTCTTCGTTCCTGGAATTCGAATCTCCTGCTTTCTCGTCTCTCTGTATTCTTCGACATTTCCGTTTGTTCTCTTCTGGACCATTTTGGCACTATCTTTCTGTATTCTTGCTCTATCACAGTCGGTATTAAACCAGTCTTTTCCGTTGTTTATGTGAGTTAATAACTCCTGAGTCAGTTATTAAGAGAGTTATCCTACGTTTTCACATCATTTTTTCATCAAGGTATTTCTTTATGATGAAAGCATCCCTCTTTTGTAAATGGCCCCGATCTTTAAACACCCGATTAAGTGCCTCTGTTGTCAAAAATCCTATTATCATCATTGTATTTGTGGTGTTTCATCGCAAAACATCAAAGAAACTTTAAAATAGCATTAATCTTGTTTCAAATTTTTATTAACAATTATTTTTCGGATTTTACAAATAACTTTTACAACAAACCTTGATGATGATCTTGCCCGAACGATTAAAAATTGATGAAAAAGATTGATTGATAAATAATCTTAATCAATTAAATTTGTGCGTGGAAGATTTTCAATGAAAATTGTATTGTTTCCGGCGATAATTTAAAATGGATAAGTACCCACTCGTAATTTGATTAGGTGTAAATAATTTATTTTAAAGCAAATATTAATTAATTGGTTACCCCTTTGAGATATTAATGTATAATAAATGTATTTATTTTTTTAATCTTTTCGAGTGTTTTTTTCTCCGGAAATGATGAGTAAGCATTAATTAATGTTGACGACTTTTCCCCGTCTGATAAAAAAATATCTTAATGAATTATTTCGTTAATAACAAACAAATTTTTTTTTATTTTTGGGTTTTAATCGTATAAATAACAAAGTGCTACTAAAAGATAACAATTTTAATCGTTTCTGTTATAAGAAAGGAATCGAAATCCTAAATAATTGGGGATTAAGATTAATTAAATTAAAGACGGAGATAATCACATGAATGATTTAATATCTTTTTAAAAACAACACATCTTTTGAAAGAATCCACTCTAAAATACATAATTATTAAAAAATAAAATTGTCATCACCAGCTCAGCTCTTAGGCTTATTGTTTATAGTAACGTATTGATAAAAAAAAACGTTAGTTTAACTTATTTTGTTGTGCAAAAATTTGCGCTTTATAATAAAAATGTACAATAAAAATTAGGAAATTAATAGAAACATTTTGAAAATATAGGCGCAAAAATATAAACACTCTATTTTATATTTATATATTCTAACCAGTTTTTTTTATTCTTGTACCATCCCTGCCACTGTTAAGAAAGTTAAGAAAATCTTTGGCTTATTCCTTTTTTCCTCAAAACAAAGAGTATTTATTTTATATTTAAATAAAATTATAAAGAAACCAAGCTGCAATAAATAATAGTACATATATTTAACAAAAATGAGTTATGTTTTGTCTCAGTTTAAGTTATAGTATCATTTTTAGATAAAGAGCACAACTTGTCTTATGTAGTATTTTGAATAAAATGATTCAGAACGTAATGAAGCTAAGCTAAACCACCTAAATTTGGTTTACAACATCAGGAATATAATCTATTGCTGTTTATGTGAAGAATATTTAGTATAATTGCTGCGGTAATCGTAGGAATGTTTCTGCTTTCTGTCTCCATAGCATTATAATTACAATGTACCTTTTATAGTTACCGCAGTACAATTTATCAATTTGATCATATTCAAATTTAAGATCACATACTAGAGACCATATAACATTGATCTAAAATCATTGATTTAAAATCTAAACATTCTACAAATTTCTCATCACAATTAATTTAAGATCTAAATAGATTATTTATTTATTTATAGTAAGGCACTATTCAACTAAAATGCATTGAACACCAACACTTAATGAACGATTATAGCATTAAAATTAACTTGATTAATCGAGATTATACAAAAAAAAAAGAAATAAGCCATTGATTATACCTTACTATAAAAACAAAACATTTTACATTAACCAAAGACCAAAAGCGACGATTAGAATCGATTATTTTTAGCCACTTTTAGATGTTATTGTCGATTTTTTTAATGCATCCAAAATACCCCTTCGAAAACACCACAATAAAAACATAATTTGTAATTTTTAAAATAAAAGAAAATTTGATGTCTAAAAAAATATGTTTTTTTTTCCATTTTATCTCTCAAAAATAAAAATAATAAATTAACTTAATTACAAGTTTTACACACAGTTGAAGCTGTTAACATAAAACTAAGAAATACAAAAAAAAATGTTGTGTACACATCGAAAATACGTTTTAAATAACATTTTATCACCCCAATTTAGTTGATTTCTTAAAGTTTAATCCACTTTTTTAGGTGAATTAGCTCCATATGAAGATCCTTTACTGATTTTTGACATACCAATTGTTTTATTTAAAAGAACAAAAACTGAAAATTAATAAAATTAATTAAATAATAATAAAAAGTTTAAAAAAATACTTACATATACCAATAATACTCATTCCAATTGAAAAATACAACAACTCCCCGCTAAATAATAACTTAATTAAAGAATATCCAATTGGACAGAGAATAACGACGAACCAAACGGCGATATTCACCAAAGAATTTACTCGCCTTGGTAATTTTATTACAGCAGTCTTTTCGATACCGGAAGTTTCGAAGAAATCGCCTGTGTTTATAAAACTCTCTTTTAATTTATCCTTTTCAATGAATAATTGTCTCAAAAACTCTTCTTGTTCTTCCTCAGTCGCTGGAATATCCTCCATCGGAATCCGTTTCATATACAAATGCGCCGTAACTGGATAACCCAACAACAAACCCGTCATCGTCGGCCTTCCCGTGTCATTTTCTTTGAAAGCAAGCTCAATATCGTAAACAGCGGGTACTTTTCCGACCATGGACGGTAAACTAGCTACGAAACCTTTCGTTCTTGGAAGGAGATGGTGTTTTAATTGAGGTAAATTTTTCTCGCGCGCAAACTCTAAAGAAATCGCGTGCTTTTTTTCCGTAAATCTTGTACCTTCCGGAAATAATAATAACTAAAACAAAATAAAATAAATCAAAATAAAGTTTTGATAAATTCTTCTTTATTGATAAACAGCTTTTATCAACACTATTAATAACTATTAAAGTCAATAACCTTAGTAAGATACTAAATAAAGTCGAAAAAAAAAAATAAGATAACCTCAAAAAGTCAGTTATGTCACTTTGACATTAAATTATTAACCTTTTTAGGCCCAAAATAAGAATTATTGAAATAATTTTTTTTAATTTTTAAATTTGCAAATCGCTACCACTGAATCTCTAAATAAATTATTAAAAAGGTGATTTCTTTGTGATACCACTTGGAACGAAAGAGTTAAAGTAATTCTAACCTCAAAAAGTCCTTTATGTCACTTTGACATTAAATTATTAAAATGATTCTAACCTCAAAAAGTCATTTATGTCACTTTGACATTAAATTATTAACCCTTTCAGGTCCAAAATAAGAATTATTGAAATAAAAAAAAATTGTTTAAATTTTTAAATCGCTACCACTGAATCTCTTGAAATAAATTATTAAAAAGGTGATTTCTTTGTGATACAACTTGGAACGAAAGAGTTAAAATGATTCTAACCTCAAAAAGTTATTTATGTCACTTTGACATTAAATTATTAACCCTTTTAGGCCCAAAATAAGAATTATTGAAATAAATTTTTTTTTATTTTTAAATTTGCAAATCGCTACCACTGAATCTCTTGAAATAAATTATTAAAAAGGTGGTTTCTTTGTGAATCCACTTGGAACGAAAGAGTTAAAGTGATCTAACCTCAAAAAGTTATTTCTGTCACTTTGACATTAAATTATTAGAGTAATTCTAACCTCAAAAATTCATTTATGTCACTTTGACATAAAATTATTAAAGTAATTCTGACCTCAAAATTAAAATACTTACCCACATAGGATCAGGGTGTTCAGATAATTCAGTAACTTGTTTCCTAATAGTTTCTCTATCTTTTTCAAATGAACGTTCAAGAAAAACAAACTCAGAGAATTTCCAACACCATCCCAAAACCGGCATGTATTGAATAACTCTTTTAGCATACGCCTTACAGTTCTATTTAGAAAAAAAATTTAATTAGAATAAAAAAGAATAATAATTAAAAATTTTTTACCCCTAACATATGTATCCGATCACAAAGCATCCACCCAACGAGCCAATCGATTTCGTACGAATGATTCATAACGCAATAAGCATGTTCTTTACCCCAATAATTATCGAAATCTTTTTGGTTTGCGTAAAGGATAACTTCCGATCCAGACCACCAATCACACATAAATACTAATTCTATTTTGTGAAAATAAAGTATTAACAAAGTTAATTTAACATATAAATTGAAGACTTACGTGAGTATATGCTATAACAACAATACCAATTAAGCTTCCTGTATAATCTCTTGTTGATTTTGTGTAATGTTAAATATAAAATACATTGTACAAAATTTACAATAATCCCTGACGTGAAAAATGTGATAGCGAAACATAGTTGTATAAGCCTGGACCGTTTCAACGTCTGAAGTTTCTTCATATCCATCATTCTAACCTCAAATTAAAAGAAAATAATTATTTCAAGTTTTTAACAGAACGTTTTTAACAAGACTAAATTTAGTCCTTAATTTTGCGTTTATAATAGATTATTTTTTGGAAAAATGTTCACATTATCGATTGATAATCAACGTTTTTGGAGAGGTTAGGATACTCAAATGCTCCCTTTTTAACAATAATTATTAAAAAAAAATTAAGCTTACTGCGACGTGTTTTTCAACTCACGCTCAAACACTTTATGCTAAATCAATTATTTATTAACGGAGATTTTGCATTTTTAATTAAAGCCTTATCACTTTCAGGGTTAAAGGTACGAATTGTCACTCTGACAGCCGTTAAAAAGGTTATTTTTTCTGTCATTTTTTGGTATAATTTTCAGTAGGTCAAATGATCGACAGATCAAATTACATACTTCCTATATCATTATAATTAATGGAGGGAGATTTAAATAATTAATTTCTTTTTTGAACAAAAAAATTAAATTGTTCTTAAACAATCGATTTATACGATAAGAAAATTGCAACGGAACACTTTTAAACGACCTTTAACATTGCAGTCTTTTATCTTAATTTGTTTTATCGGGTTTCAAGTGAATTGTGTCATAAGTAGATTAGATTTTGTGATAAAAATCGTCTCTTAATTATCGAGTATTATACATTTGATATTTTTTTTATTTATATCGTACATGTGGATTTAGTTTTAAAAATAAATTGTAAATAAAAAAAGTTCATTTTAATTTTATATAATTTTTAGCGATTAAATTAATATTGTTATGTTGGTAGTTTAATAATATACTTCAAATGTCAGTTTGGCATATTATTATAGTTGTCAAAAAAAAATTAAAAATTTTAAATAATTATTGACATATTATTTTGAAGAGCAACATCAGATTTATTTCTTAAAGTAAAACTAACATTCTATTTTGTTGCAGGATTAAAAAATGTATGGGTTGATGAGAGGTCTATAATTATCAAGAATAAAACTATAAATTGAGGTTAGATTGTAACATGTCAAAAAATGAAGAAATGTTGAATTTCTGGAATTCGATGATAAAAAATAAAAGTTTAAGGGTCCCAGAAAGACTCCTTCTGGGACCCTTAAATTTGAATTCCCCATTGAATTCAGGAAATCTTCGATTAGTTATCAAATTAACTGTTTTTATAAATAACGGTAAATTTGCGCAATCCTACTATATTTGTTTATTTTTTTTTAGGTCAACTTCATCAACAAGGTGATAAATGCGACTACATTCTAAAGATTGTTAAAAAATAAAGAGTAATATGCATACATTAATTTATTTGAAACAAAATAAAAATTAAACTGATAAAAAGAATTGTAAAATCTATAAAAATGGAGATAAAAATAGTATCTTTTATAGGTACTTTAAAAATGACCTTTGTTTTTGTATCAAAAAGTAACGTTATTCAAATTTACTTACGTTATTTTTTTTTGATTAATTACAACTTGTTTTCAATCACACCAATTAAATACAACTTCAATTAACGATTCGTACAGAAATTTTAAACAGTAAAAAATTTTAAAATAACTTTATTTGATGTAATTTCAATCCTATCGTGACAACGAATGACACAAAAATGAATAACACAATATTTTTATTCAACATAAGCACATTGAGAGAGAATCGCCGGATTAATTGATAAGCAATGTAGTCGCGTTCAAAGTACATAAGTCACAGTTCTATTGTGTATTGTATTCGTTCAGTTTCGAATCGTTTCTTCCACAAGTGGATCTAAGTACTTAAATAAAGAATCTAAATAATCTAAATTTAGTAATTATATCATTTTCAGTTAAAACCGAAATTTTTTCTTTTTAATAAATTAATTTAAACCAATTTATGCTAAGGTTAACAACCTCTTTCATTAAAGAATTTTCTTTTTTCGTAAAAGAGATGATGTGCATTTGGGTCAATAACGCATTTGAGTAAACGTTTCTCTTACCGCATTCACGTTAATTTAAACCCCGTTAATTAAGTAACGTTAGGTATATTTAGAGAAATAATGATTGGTTTAATTGCTCGTAAATATTTTATTGCGAAGTTCTTCCTAAAAATGTAACAAAACTAATATTCTCCAATTAGATAGGATGTTACACGTATAGTATTTTAATCATAACAAGAGAACCTCTCAACCGATTTCGATGAACTATATCTCATTTGAAAGCTTAATCATTAACCAAGAAGAAAGTGGAAACGCCTGATTAAAATTTCTTTCGAAGTGTGCTAAAACAACAAGATATTGCAAAGGTACACGAATATAACACAAAAATGACTGAATCTTTAGGTGGAAATAACTCGTAAACGATTTATTCGATTATTAAGATTTATACGTCGTTTGATTCGCTATAGTTTCGAAATTATAAATTGTCTGATCTCAATTCTTTTCCGTTAACCTTCTACAGCTCTCAGAATTACACCGTGTTTGGCGCTGTGTTCATTCAAATTCGTATTTTTCTCGATATTTATGCATCTGAGAGCAAAAGTATAAAAGAGCAATATTATTAAGAATAAAATTTGCTACAACTTTTATTCCAAAAATTTTTTTCTAAAGCGTTCCGAATCTCGTGCTCAACCACAATTTCATCTAATTCATAATCTGGCATGGGAAGAATTTGATGCTTTGGACAGAAAAACTTATAAAGAAGCAAAACTGCTATTTATTATTACACGACCCTATTTAATCTATATATTTCTTACGGTGCATAAATTTGTATTAACATTACAATATATGACAATAAAAAGTCAGATAGAATAAATAAAAAGTTATAATTAATATCATAGATATTTGAAGCTGATAGAACCGATCCAGTTTCTAAATTAAACCGATTTATTAATAATAAATCGTGTTTTATTTCTTGGATCAATTTCGTTCGTTCATCGTTTTCGTTATTTTGCGGTAATTTTTGATATATATCAAAGGTTATTGAACGAATTCTTTTAAATTCTTCGTTAAGACGATGTGAAATGTTTATCAAAACAATGCATAACATCTAAAAGAAATATTTTTTTTAAATATATTTATTCACACAAGATAATTTAAACTTACCGCATCTCGAACTAAAAATATCAAAAATTGACAAGAAGTCCGAAAAGTATTCTCTTGGGCATAATGTAGCACAACAAAAAAATAATGGACGTAACTCACGAAACAAATTTGAAGGTAATTGTGATATTCAAAAATGAAATATCCGTAAATGTTGTTCCAATGACTAATTTTTTCGCAATATTCGATTAAAACGTTAGCGTCGTTTTTTAATTTTAGCTGTATTTTTTTGAAATCTTTTTTACTCAAAAATAATCTTACATCGATTTTTTTAGACAAATCATTTAAATTGATCGTAATTTTTTCGATTTTTTTGTATATACATTGCACGAAAAACGTTACGGTGCCAATTAAAAAATAAATTTCGTAATGAATGATAATGTCCAAATATGTTGAGCTAATAAAAACCATTTTTTCGAACAACAACCCCCAAGCGTAAAAAGGGATTATTACAATATGAATAAATACAAATTGAAAGAAGAACATCCAGTTTATATTTACGTTTTGAACCTCGATCAATCCATCTAAAAGTTGAACAAAATCTTGATTTGATTTAAAACAGCTCAAATACAACAACGTTATTATTGTAATAGTAGAAAATATTTTTTTTATTATCCCAATAATGTCGGTTATGTGTTGGGTTTCATCGTTTATTATTTTTATTGAATTTGTTATGTTAGAAAAAATTACAAAAATTATTATTAAAACAGAAAATATTCTTCGAATGATTTTATGAAGATTCGATATTTTTTTGTTGAAGGGAAGTAAAAGAATATACATTTCACATTTTAGAACAAAGTTGATAACGTTTTTGTGATTCATTTCTTTTGGAGAAACTCGACTTAATAAAGGCTAAAAAAAATTGCTTTTAAGAAAATTATTCGTTTTTAGTAAAGTGATTGAGGCAATAAAATTAGATCCTTTTAAAATAATGAAGTTATATAGCAATATAGATTATTTCTAAACGATTCTAATTTATTCATCTATTATTGTGGTTTCTATTATTCTTACCTTTGTTGTTGTTAGAAGCGGCTTACAAGTCTCTTCGCTGCTTCTCTTCTTAGTCTCTATCCTGTTTGGAATCCTTCATCGTTTGCAGTACCAATTCAAAATTCGATGTGAAACAGCATTTCTGCGTCAAATATATTATCTAGAAGAGGAAAAAGCTTAAATCCTTGCAGCAGACTTTCTTTCATTCTTTGTTATGAGGGACTTTTTTCTCCCAATTTCTATTTTTTTTTCTTCCTTAGCTTCTAACCGCCTTCCAGCCACTCTCGTCCAGCTTCTCATCCCATGCATCTCCTGAGCGTCAAGCTTCCATTTCCTGTCTCCCCATTTTGCTCTTGATCTACCAGCCATGCATCTTCTTCCTGGTTGTCCCGGAAACACAGTCTTTACGGCACGTGTCTCTGGCATGCGTTGTACATCTTCTGCCAAGCTGAGATTTTGTATCCTCTTTATACAGCTCATATAGTTCATTATTGCATCGTATCCTCCACTCTACGTTGTTGTATTTGGGTCGTAAACTCATTTTCACTTAGAAGGTCCTATTGTTCAGAAAGGAAATAAGGTTCCCTTTCAAGCTCGTCTTGGTCATGTTTGCTAACAGGCCATCTTGCCTTCTACTAAGTTTTCTACATCATCGCAATCGTCTGATGTCTTCTATTCTGGGCAAGTTCCAATGTGCTAATGAAATTTGTTTTCTACTTCTTCTTATAGTCACTCCAGCAAAAATCTTTCACTAATTTTCAACAACTTGGTCAAGATACTGATCCTATTTCCAGGCTGTGATGCATCTTTTCCCGGTTTTGGAGTTATTAACACTATCTCCGTTCTTTAAGAGTCTGGGAATGAGTTTAGTGTTTTACTTGAGATACCTTCCATTCCGGCCACTTGATATCCTTCAAGGACATTATCAATTTATTTCTTGTTGTCAAACTGAGGTTCGAAATGATTTCACTTTTTCTTGATTGTTGAATACCCAATGTTATGCCAGACTTTTTAGTGGCGTTTTGGGTTCTAGCTTCCTTCTTATCTTCTTCAGAAGCTTCTATAAGGATTGGTTAAGGTCTTGGATTGGGAGATAAAACTCTCCCATATCGTAGATCCTTCGTTAGGCTCAACTTCTTTTTTGCGCTATTTTTTCCTTTATTAATTTCCATAGAAGTAGTATAGAAACGCCGATTCTAGACCGGAAATTGCTCCTCCGCTCCTCCGTGACGTCATCAATCCAATGTAAAAGGATAGGGGGGAGGGGTGTCAACCAAAGGCTTCGGGAAAAAATAGGTTGGTAGCTAGATATGGTGACTTTTTAAAAAAAAAGTAGCAGTCTACCTTGTCGGTAATGGTTTAGTTCCACTACCAACCACTAGGTGGCGCGTTACTTTTTTTAAAGGTCACCAGATCTAGTTACTTTTCCAATATCAACCTATTTTTTTTTCTCCTCAGCCGTAGGTTGGTACCCTTCCCTATCCTTTTACATTGGATTGATGACGTCACGGAGGAGCGGAGGAGCAATTTCCGGTCTAGAATCGGCGTTTCTATACTACTCATAGATAAACCCAGTTTGTTATCCTTGGTTGACTGGAACATAACTTTTGCTTCTTCCATAGTCTTCGTAATGGCGGCTTTTTAGCTTTGGATTTCTAAATTAGAAAGTCCAAAAAAGTTTGAACAGAAAATCTTTTTTCTTGGAGTCGTAGCATAATTCGCTTCTTCTGAAATCTCGCATCTTGTGGTCCCATAATTCCAACTTTACTTGTTGTTTTTTTTCTGCCTTCTCCAACCTGGATTTTTTATCCAAATACTAACTATCATCTAATGACCAGACATTCTTAACCGTATGTGGGAAGAACTTGATTATCGTTTTGACGACTGTAAGGAGATCACATCAAACTGCACTGAACAGATATGAAACTAAGCGAGTTTTTATTTTATTTGGTGAAGATTTCACATCTCCATCTTACTTTGTAACTTTTCTGTAACTGGTTAAAAGTGCATCATGACTTTACGAACACATTGTATCACTGTTAAGCTTTTAGGAATTTTTCTTTTGATGTTGAAGTTCTTACTACTCAAATTATTCCTTTTAAGAGAAACTATTAAATGTAAGATTACATTATATTAATTATTATTGTTTTATACGTAATTTTGTATTCTCATTGTTCTTTAACAAATTTCCTTCGTAATAATTCACTTAATTTTTTTTCTTAATCACCGGATAACGTTGAGATAACCGACAGAAAAGTTGCGTTGCGTCGTGAAAGAGTGAAAGCGTCTTATCGAAACTCACGATATTGAGGTACAACAAGTTACAACGAAGAAAGAAAACGAAACTCAACGTAAAAACGATCGATATAAGGATCGTTATTGCTACGTGCGGTAAAAAGGAAAAATATCGTCTTGTGTAAAGTTTCAGTTTTATTGGGAACGCCCAGAAGCGGCGGCCCCCGGATGAAAAGAATCTTATTTTCCCAGGGTAAAGAGACAGGAGGTGACAATGCAAGAGAAACGAAGAGAGGAGGGAACGGATCTTATGTAAGCCGTTTAAATACTGTGTTATAGTCCTTTTTTAGTTTATTTCAATTTCACCAGTCAACCTGAGAAGATATTAAAATTAATTCATAAAAGAAATTTTTAAATATGTTTAAAGTAATTTGTGTTATTATTTTTTTCGCGGGGTTGAGTGTTTCAACAATTAATGCACAGGTAATATTATTATTTTTTTCTTTTCTTTACTCAATTACCCTTCAAAGTATTAACTTTCAATTATCCTTGACTACACCTTAGAAAATAATCAATTCACCATAATTTTTTGTAATTACCACATTTCACAATAATAATTGGCCCATTTTAACATTGTAAGATCCCGTTAAAAAATTTTTGTTATTACCCAGATTCAAAAATGTAAAGTTCCTCCATCAGCACCAAAGAACATCGAGAAAGTGATCAATAAGTGTCAAGATGAGATTCGTTTGGCAATTCTCTCCGGTAAGAATTCTTCAAAGGAGTTGTGTAACGTCTTTTATAGGACGAGAAAATAAACAATTTCGTCAATTAGAAAGTTAATTAATTAAAATTTTTTTTCAACCTTTAATTTTTTTATGATTTAGAAGCTTTAAGTGTCTTTAATTTCGATGAAATTCTTCGTGAAGATGCTAACAAGACTGAAACAACAACGAAAAGCTTTAAAACAATTTCGAGGTCAAAACGTCAAGTTTTTACGGATGAAGAAACTAAAATAGCTGGGGTGAGTTTAAATTTCTTTTCTCTAAATTAACTTTCGTTTTTATTCGTTGATAATGAAAAATGAGGGTTATCACGAAACGTGGAATTTCTCTTTAGATATTTCGGAAAATGTGTTATTGAAAATGAAGGTTTTTGCAAAAAAAAAATTGTTACCACGCGACATAATAAATGATAATTTGCAATTTAGAAAGCGAACCTAAATTGAATATCGCAAAGAATATGTGTCGTAAAGCGTATATTAAAACGTAATATCTAATAATCATTAATTAAGGAATCAATTAATGTTTTGAAATACAAATTTTAACTTTTTAATTTATAATTTTTTTTGTTACAGTGTCTTTTGCATTGTGTTTATAGAAGAATGGGTGCCGTAAGTACAACAATAAGGATTTCTAAACAATTTCTTCTCTAATAATCCACTTTCGATTTTTTTGTTCTTTTTTTAAGTTGAACGAAGTCGGTTTTCCCACAATTGAAGGATTAGTTAATCTTTACGCCCAAGGAGTAAAAGATAGAGGTTATCTTTTGGCCACTTTACGATCTGTTGCTACCTGCTTAACCGATGCCAAAGCTAAATATGTAAAAACTATTGAGTCCTTGCAAGGTATCGAAATTAATTTAGGCAAAAAACTATTTTTAATAATTTTATTTTTATTCTAGAGAATGGAAAAACTTGTGCTGTGGCTTATGATGTTTTCAACTGCGTTTCGGATAGAATTGGAGAATATTGTGGTCAATCACCGTAAAGAAAAATTAAGAAGATAACATCATAAAAATATTAAGAAGTAAATAATAAGATTAAGATATGAAGTAACTTATTGTAATTACAAGAAAAATACATTGTAAATAAAAACAAACTCTACACATTTTTTTATAAATAAATATAGCCTTCGTCTTTGTATAATTTTTTTCTGTTTAAATCTGTCAAATTGTGTTTGTTACAGTTAGTAAAATATATTTTTTTTAAAACGAGATTTCTTCTACACACGACGTCGCGCCTTAATTTCTTAGTGTAGGTAAGATAAAGGCGCGACGTACTGTCTGGAACGGAGCGTATTAATTCTCTCAAAAACATTGTGATATTGTATCTATCAAGTAGCTATTAAGCTAGCCCACACAAAAATAAAATAAAAGCCACTCAAAGTCATGCAACGAATACACTTAAATTGCAGGAAGAGAGATACACATATACTTTTCTCGAGTCTGAGGGCTGAGATTCATTTCAGACCGATCTCAAGGAAGCCCCTCAGACAGGAATGATAGGTATTACTTTTGGAATACAAGGTAAGGACAAAAAAAATAATAAATGAAGAAAATCAGAAAAGAAAATACATATTCTAAGCAAATTTTATGCTCCCTATTTAATACCTAGACTAATAGAATATACATGACGGTGTATAACCTCCAGATCTGTCACAAATTTGTTTAAGTCTTCCATGGGTTGATTTGGGAATTGAAAGAGTGTCCTCATTATCAAATCAACGTTGTTTAGTCTTTGTCAGCAATGATGATATTTATAAGATATATCTTGGAAGTGACAGAAATGATTTTGACAAAGCTGGAAGTCTTTTGATTCATTAATGAGATGGATTTCTTATTGTCAGAAAAGTATCCTGGATGTTCTTGATATTTTATTGAATAAACTATAGCAGATAATGTGGATTCGTTGTTACAAGAAGCCACAAATACTATATAAACAATGACTGGTTTGTTAAACAAATCTAAACTAAAATTCATACTAAGGTTCAGGCAAAGAACGGCATAGAATTCAGGCAAAGTTCAGTGTCTCTATTAAATATTTTCGTCAATTACATTTCCAAATGTGTATCCAAGAGTGATAAAAAATACAAGAACAAATAATAAATTATAAAAGTTTGGAACTAGTAAAAATAGAGAATTTATTCTATGCTGACGATAGCACAGAACCATAAAAAGGTAAAGAAGTTGGTTGAAATATGGACAGAAGATATTGTAAAGATGGGCCTAGAATTGAACGTAAATAAATGTAAAATCGTGGTAGTAAGTAGAGAGGAAATAAGAAATAACTCGAAAGAAATGATATGAGTACTTGGGCAGTATAATATCACAAGATTGAGGGATAGATTTAGACAAAAAATGCAAGAATATGGAAAACAAACAACGTATATCTCCTAAAAGAAGTCTCATAAAGAAGTCTCACCATGAAAAGCTAAACTACTAAAATTGATTATTAAGGTATAGCGTAAAAGCAAGAGTTAGGTTGAATTGGAGTAAGAGGAAGAAAAAGGAAGCAGGCATTTCCTTCTTGTCCATCTGGTAGAAAATGTAATGAAGGGAATAGCAGTTGAAGAGATGAGGAGGTGATGAAATGAGATGAAGAATGACTGTAATAAAAAATCACTCGGAAATAATGTCCCATGGGCGGATTTCTGAGACGAGGGGGAAAGGTTTTAGTCGATCGGCGATCCCAAAAGACTTTGGGATGGGTTGGGTTGGGTTTTGGACAACGTTTGGTTGAATTAGCCAAGAACCGGAGGTAGTAGAAGAGGTTAATGGAGGAATAGGAAATAGATTTATCCGACCCCACCAGCTAAAGAATCAAGAGAAGAAGAAGACATTTCCAAATAATCCGCCAAAAGTTCTGCTTTCTCTGTGTTGTTAAATATTCACGCGTCTGTCAGATTTTAAATAACATCTTAGGTTCTTTTCTCTTATCTTCTTCAAGATAGATTCTTCAAGACCTCAGAACCCATACAAATTGGTTTCGGTCTAGAAAAGACTTTCCCTATATTCTTGAACAATTTTTCCCTGAAGTTGTAACTTTCCACTCGTTTTTTTCAGAGTGTTGATGAAGAATAATGAAATTTTAATTTTATTGCTTCAAAGAGTCCTCTTAGTTTTAAAAAATTGTCTCCCTGAAAATCATCTTACATGCACGATTGGTTGACTAATATATACCTCATTATGGTTCATCTTGCAATGTTAACATCCAGCTTTCCTCCTAGCACTTCGATGGTCTTAATCTTAATGCGTTTCCTTTTTTCGCAATTTAGAATTAGAAATTTTAATTTTTTAAATTTCAAAAAGCAAATTGAATTGAAAGTTTATTTTGGCGGTCAAAGACATTTAAAGAGACGAAGACGAACAAAGCCCGGCAACATTAATTACCACAAATAACTTTTATCAGATTCCACTTTAGAGGTCGATTGCCACGGTTTCAAGCACTTTTTATTAACATATCACCGTCAAGAGTGTCGCAACTGGATGTACATTTTTCCTTTTCTATCGTTTTCTAAAAAAAAAAAACCAATTAATACAACTACACAACAAAATATTTATAATAATATTAAAGTAGAAATTATCAAATCATTACAAAAAAAACTTTTTGTATATTATATACAAAGTTTTTTGTATTGATCTGAATCAAAAAAAAATGATAAAATCACCTTGTTTTATAATTAATTGCGGTATAATTATAACGTTTGCAGTTAATAAATAATGTTTAGCAACCGTATCAAGAAAAAAAAAGGAAAATGAAATAAGATATTGCATCTGTAAATCTTTTGCAAGTACTGTGTAATTCTTCCAACATAAATTTTGCGTGCACGTCCGTGGAAGTACGCTTATTCTTTTTGTAATTTTTAAAAATAAAAGTTAATTATGATAACCGGCGTATGTTGTGTTTAAGTTGTGGGAGAATCAAAAATGTGTCATTGTTAAATAGCAACAATTAACACTAAATTACTCTTAAAAAGGTTTAGATGTTTTTAACCTTCTCAAATAAGATTTTTAACCGAAAAACCAGGGTTAATTGGACGGCCTTGTTTAAATTTAAAAAGAGGATATTACAAAATCTGATTAAAAAAACACACTTTATCTCAAAGTAGTATCGACCTATTGTATACCTGTATGCCATATATACATAATTACAAAGACCTACGAACAAATCCAACTCGGACAATACCATATCGTATCTTCGTAACCATTGTTTTTGGTTATCGCCAAAATTTTGATGAACGTGTTCCATTTTTTTCCTTTCATTTTTTATATTCTTAAAAACATTTATCTTTTTTTTAGCTTCTAATAATTCCATCAAAATCAATTAGCAAAGATATCTAAGCATCATTGTTTATTTATCTAAGTCGTTCCCGACAGCCATTCATTAATCTCAAATGAGTACCTCAACTAAATAATCCCCAGAAGTGCTAATTGCAACCATCGGACCGAAGAATCGTAGTGGCCTGGACTGCACAAGGCCATCATTAACGATCTTTACGCTTCAAGAAACATCTTCTTACTTTAAACAATGAATCCTCAAAAACACCCAACCCAACATCGGGTGGTGATTCCCCACTATTTCGATCGGGACACACTGAAAATATATAAGTACCACAAGAAAATAATTTTTTTCAAGTCGTTGTTAAACCACCAAACTTTTCTGTTCAACTTTAAGTTGTTAAAGTTTCGAAAACTCAATGATTATGTGGAAGTGTTAATTAAATCTTTTTAATCCTGTGTATTTAGTGTTATATATCTTTAAACATAAAATAAAACAATGAGGTGGAACAATTTATTGGTGATTATTAATTTTTTGTTGGTGAAAAAGACATTTTCAGCGGAAAGTGATTACAACATAGTACAAAGTGATGGTTCTTTCGATTTTCGGTACGATAACCCGGATTCGTTCCATGAAAGTCACGGGAATAGGAATAACGTTGTTAAAGGTGTTTTTGGGGGGAGAAGCCCCGCAACAGGTTTGTAACTAATTCGATAAAATCAAAAAAAAAATTATGTTTTTGTATCAATTCAGGAGGAATTGATTCCATCGAATACACAGCAGGAAAAAGAGGTTTTAGACCAAGAGGAAAAAACGTTGTTAGAAAATACGATCTTGGCCAAACTCCCGTTGGTCCAATTGGTAATAAAGACGATCGTTATTTTGATCCTTATGAGGATCCTAGTTATAATTTTCAATTTAACACACCGACTTATACCAGAAAAGAAGGTAAATTAAACGAATTAATTTTTTAATTTTGATTAATTTATTTTTGTTAGGTGCAAATAGATTAGGAGATGTAAAAGGGACTTATTCGTTTTTTGATGATGTTGGTGAACGGCACGATGTGGAATACATAGCAGGAAAAAATACAGGATTTCACGTAAAAACACCTCACCCCGATTCAAATTTAAACGCATTTAGACAACCTTATTTCCAAGATCCACGAAAGCCCTATCTGAGAGGGCGAAGTTTTGTACAACGAGGTTTAGATGGAAGTTATCGTTTTGCGCACGTTGGGCGAGATCAAAGAAGAACAGAAACGAGCGATGCTGTAGGAAACGTACGCGGATCATACACTTATCGAGACGATAAAGGAGTTCAACACTCAGTACATTACATAGCGGGGCCTAACATAGGATACAGAGTCTTGAAGAACGTTAAAGGCCCTCATCTCCCAACTTTTTATCCGTTTAATTCTCCAGATATCGTCCCGCCGGATTTTTACGACCAAAAAGATGCTGATTTAGAAGTTTTCACGGAAGCAGCTAGTTCTTATGTGACGCCTCCCGCAAATCGGGATGGTGATTATTATCCGGATAATACAAATCAAGTCGATATCAATCAAAGCACAAAAAGACCAAGTACTCTTACACCAACAGGGGATGAAGATGAAGAATTATTTAATGATTTCTTTGCTAATGGCAAACCTGGAGGAACTAAAAGACCTCAAAATAGACCAACAGCAACAAGACCAAACTTTGGAACCACGAAAAGACCCGGATTCATAACTAGCACCGAAAAACCAGATTATGGAACCCCAACTGAGCATCCAACAACAACGGGAAGACCTCCTTTTGGATTTGCAGAAACTGGAAGACCGGATTTAGATGAAGATGCTGCTTTTGACGCAGGATTTGGGTCAAATACTGGTACAAGAAAACCCACATTTAGTACAAAGAGACCAAGTTATAATACAGGAGGGCCTAATTATAGCACAGGAAGGCCAAGTTTTACTACAACAAGACCTAATTTTATGACAGGAAGACCTAGCTTTACTACAAAAAGACCTAATTATAACACAGGAAAACCTGATTCTGACACAAGTATTAGTGTAACAAGTTCAGGGAGACCACCAACAACTTTTAGACCATCTTCAAGTTTTCGACCATCATCAACGTTTAAACCAACAACATCCCACGATTTATTTCCATCAACAAGTACGGGATTTCAACAAAGACCGACTACCTCACGCCCAATAGGAGCCAGACCAAGACCGACAATCGATGGTGGATTAGGACTGGGGGAAGAAGATGACGAAGATATTTTTGGTTCAAACAAACCAAAACCATCATCATTTTCAACGAGTTCGGGTCGTCCACAACCCACATCTCCAACATATTCAAGACCGTCATCTTCACGCCCCGGATCAACACGTCCAACAAGTCCTGAAGAAGAAAAACCTTTGTTGCAATTCGATTTAACTGAAGTTGAAAAAGGAAAGTTTCACACTTTAGTAACGAATTTGGGGGAAACTCTGTTTACGGTTCCTCCGGGTGTCTCGGTGAGGGCGCATGTGCAAAATATCGATTTAATTCCGATTTTTGCGCGATCCCCATCGCCTAGTGAACAATATAACTCGGAAATCGATGATGAACAAGAAAATGCGGAAACTTCGAACGCTCCTATTGCTGTTATAAAAAGTACAATTAATTCAGCACCAAGTACAACTTCCATACCAAGCACAACAAAAAATTCTGTTAATACAAGAACGGCGAGGCCCGATTTAAAAGAAAAAGATGACGATGAAGACGATGATGATGATATAGATATATTTTAATTTTTTTCTTTTTAATTTATTTCCTTTTTTTGTAACATTTTTAATTTATACTGTAATAAATGAACTTTATAGAACAAAATACGTACTTGAAGTCGTTCAATTCGTTTTTTGAACTTAACCTCAATTATGTAGAAAAAAAATTTCCACATTTTAAAAAAAATCGTAAAAAATCAAATTCTTAAGATATCTTTATGAAACATTTCCACCTTATAGAAGAAAGTGCGTACTTTTTCATAAACAAAACCGTATTTGAATATTTCAATTCGTTGTTGAGATAATCATTTTTGAAATCAACCTCAATTATTTAGTAAAAAAATGGTGTACATTATTTTTAAAAAATTGGGAAAAATCGAATTCTTAAGATATCTTTATGAAATTTTCCCACCTTATAGAAGAAAGTACGTACTTTTTGATAAATAAAACCGTACTTGAATATTTCAATTCGTTCTTGTGATAATATTTTTTGAACTCAACATCAATTATGTAGTAAAAAAATGTTACACATTATTTTGAAAAAATCGTGAAAAATCGAATTCTTAAGATATCTTTATGAAACTTTCCCACCTTATAAAAGAAAGTACGTACTTTTTCATAAACAAAACCGTACTTGAATATTTCAATTCGTCCTTGAGATAATTATTTTTGAACTTAATCTCAATTACGTAATAAAAAAAATTGTATACATTATTTTAAAAAAATCGCAAAAAATCGAATTCTTAAGATATCTTTTTGAAACTTTCCCACCTTATAGAAGAAAGTACGTACTTTTTCATAAACAAAACCGTACTTGAATATTTCAATTCGTTCTTGAGATAATTATTTTTTAACTCAACCTCAATTACGTAGTAAAAAAAATTTACACTATATTTTAAAAAAATCATGAAAAATCGAATTCTTAAGATATCTTTTTGAAACTTTCCCACCTTATAGAAGAAAGTACGTACTTTTTCATAAACAAAACCGTACTTGAATATTTCAATTCGTTCTTGAGATAATTATTTTTTAACTCAACCTCAATTACGTAGTAAAAAAAATTTACACTATATTTTAAAAAATCGTGAAAAATCGAATTCTTAAGATATCTTTATGAAACTTTCCCACCTTATAGAAGAAAGTACGTACTTTTTCATAAACAAAACCGAACTTGAATATTTCAATTCGTTCTTGAGATAATTATTTTTGAACTCAACCTCAATTACGTAGTAAAAAAATTTACACTATATTTTAAAAAATCGTGAATAATCGAATTCTTAAGATATCTTTATGAAACTTTCCCACCTTATAGAAGAAAGTACGTACTTTTTCATAAACAAAACCGTACTTGAATATTTCAATTCGTTCTTGAGATAATTATTTTTGAACTTAACCTCAATTACGTAATAATAAAAATTATATACATTATTTTAAAAAAATCGCAAAAATCGAATTCTTAAGATATCTTTTTGAAACTTTCCCACCTTATAGAAGAAAGTACGTACTTTTTCATAAACAAAACCGTACTTGAATATTTCAATTCGTTCTTGAGATAATTATTTTTTAACTCAACCTCAATTAAGTAGTAAAAAAAATTTACACTATATTTTAAAAAAATCGTGAAAAATCGAATTCTTAAGATATCTTTACGAAACATTCCCAACTTATAGAGGAAAGTACGTACTTTTTTATGAACGACACCGTGCATGAATATCTCTATTCGTTCTTGAGATAATAATGTTTGAACTTAACCTAAATTTGAATAAGAAAGAAACGAAGTTGCCAGATCGTTTAAATATACTGATGTAAATAGATAAGTGATTAAATAGATAATATTAATAGTATGACTTCAAAATATTTTGTTTGTTGTATCCAAAGTCCACACATTATTTTTATTGCAATTGCCCTTGACCATATCCTGCGATTAATATCTAGGATAAATCAAAATTTAAACGTGATCTTTATCTCTCGGTACACGTGAAAACTTCATTCTCATGAAATTCCCATGATAAATTAATTAAAATCAGATCTTCAATTCATAAAGTGAAGAATGTGTAACGCAAGAAAGAACTCAACCTTGGGTGTGGTGAATTTTATTTATTTCTTTCGTATTTGATATAAAGTACATACGAAAGGTGACAATGTCGGCGTCTCTCTCAAACTCAATGTAAGAGACGACCAATTGAGAAATGTAGCAAAGAATGAAAAAAATGCGTGTTGATGTTACTGTTAGAATGCGTGGTATTGCGAACCTCGCCCTTATGCCTATTTTAAAATGGTTAATTTGCGTTAAAACGAACTTGTTTGCCTTTTAGATTATTTATGCAAAAATTGTTGTGCCGATGAGCAAATACAGATGTTATGTAGATCATGAGTATAAATTGAACGCGTTTTTAATAACAAACCATTATCGATCTTGAAGTAGTTCGGTAAAGGTAGAGAAAAAGATGGCACTTTTAGCTGTAAGTAGTTTCATAAGCAAACAGTTATTTTAATAATTATTACTGCCGTGATAATTTAATTATAACAAAAATAAAAAAATTGCAGCTGGTTGTGTTGGGAATTAGTTTCTATGGAAGCTGGGGATGGGAACGTCTCCCAGAAATTCCGAGTGGAAGAAGATCAGAATTTTATGTTCTTCATGAAAGTGGTCAATACAAGTATGGGTATGATACTGGGAATGGAATTGCTGCCAAACAATCTGGAGATGCAGCAAATCAAGTTGAGGGGCATTATTTTTATAACACACCAGAAGGGAAGAAAATTGATTTACAATATTCAGCAGGAATACAGGGATTTGTACCAAATGGATTAAAAAGTGGTAAAATATGTTATTGATATATTTTTTATTCTATAAATTTGTAATTTTTTATGTCACCAGATAATCAACAACCTCCTTCACCATCAACTCCCTCAGAAAACAAAAATACTTTAGCTTATGGTTCTTTAAATACTGATGGTTCATATAAATTTGGGTTCAAAACCGATGATCAATCAAGAGATGAATCAGGCGATGCTAATAATAATGTAAAAGGAAATTATTCTTATAAAAACTCAGCAGGATCCCATGACTTATCTTATGTTGCTGGGTCAGAAACTGGATTTAAACCAACTGGGGGGAGTTTAGCTATTCCCAATGGTCTTCCAAGTGCAATGAATAACATGTCTCCAATTAATAATAACCCAATAGGATCTAATCAACAAGCACCATCTCAAGGAAGCAACACAAATACTTTAGCTTATGGATCTTTGAATCCCGATGGTTCTTATAAGTTTGGATTTAAAACTGATGATCAATCAAGAGATGAATCAGGTGATGTTAATAATAATGTACAAGGAAGTTATTCTTATAAAAATTCAGCAGGATCTCATGATTTATCTTACGTTGCTGGGTCAGAAACTGGATTTAAACCAACTGGGGGGAGTTTATCTATTCCAAATGGACTTCCAAGTGCAACGAATAACATGTCTCCAATTAATAATAACCCAACAGGATCTAATCAGCAAGCACCATCTCAAGGAAGCGACACAAATACTTTAGCTTATGGTTCTTTGAATCCTGATGGTTCCTATAAGTTTGGATTTAAAACTGATGATCAATCAAGAGATGAATCAGGTGATGCTAATAATAATGTACAAGGAAGTTATTCTTATAACAATTCAGCAGGATCTCATGATTTATCTTACGTTGCTGGATCTGTGACTGGATTTAAACCAACTGGGGGGAGTTTAGCTATTCCAAATGGACTTCCAAGTGCAATGAATAACATGTCTCCAATTAATAATAACCCAACAGGATTTAATCAGCAAGCACCATCTCAAGGAAGCAACACAAATACTTTAGCTTATGGTTCTTTGAATCCTGATGGTTCATATAAATTTGGATTTAAAACTGATGATCAATCCAGAGATGAATCAGGCGATGCTAATAATAATGTAAAAGGAAGTTATTCTTATAAAAACTCAGCTGGATCTCATGATTTATCTTACGTTGCTGGATCTGAGACTGGATTTAAACCAACAGGGGGGAGTTTATCTGTTCCAAATGGACTTCCAAGTGCAACGAATAACATGTCTCCAATTAATAATAACCCAACAGGATCTAATCAGCAAGCACCATCTCAAGGAAGCAACACAAATACTTTAGCTTATGGATCTTTGAATCCCGATGGTTCTTATAAGTTTGGATTTAAAACTGATGATCAATCAAGAGATGAATCAGGCGATGCTAATAATAATGTACAAGGAAGTTATTCTTATAAAAATTCAGCTGGATCCCATGATTTATCTTATGTTGCTGGGTCAGAAACTGGATTTAAACCAACTGGTGGAAGCTTAGCTATTCCTAATGGTATGAAAGGTATACAAAATAAAATCTCGGCTGTTTCTAATTCACAACCAATTTCACAAGCAAGAATTGGCATGCCAATACAAGATACTAAATTTAGTCAAAAATTTGGAAACTTAGTCGTTCATACTTATTTACCACCCAGTAATGAAAAACATAAATTTGGGTATATTTTTGATACAAACCATTAAATAATTTTGTAATTATTATTTATAATTATTTAGTAATTTGTTTTTCTTATTTATGATTATTGTTATTGTGTTTTTAGATATAATTTAATCTCTCTTGTACATTATTTAATAATAAATTAACAAATTCGCTTTATAAAAAAAATTGTTTTTGATTCTTTTGCAACAACTTTTTTACCAAAGCAAGTTAAGCAAGCTCATACTTTGGTATAATATAATTTCAAACATTCCTTTATAACCTCAAAAAGTTTCATTTCTTAGTTTATGGAGAAAATAATTTTTTCAGTATCAACATAAAAAAACAATCTTTGATGATGTAATTTTTTATTTATGAATTTTTTTGATGCATGATTTTTTTGTGCAATACTACAATACTAGATGATGATCCTTTCATTGTTTATCATTCCAATGAAATTATTTTTTGGCAAGTTTCTGCAAGACATAAGGTTGTGGGAACAGAGCCGACGGTTGATAATAAAGCAAAGGTTGTGGATATTGGTACAAATACTGCGTTTGATACGCCGAGTACAATAACGGAGTCTCATACGTTTCTAACAATAAATGTCTTTGCGGTCTTTTATTTTCTTCTTGTTGTTCCTGTTGCGGCAGCTGTTGTGGCAGTTGCTGCAGTTGTTGTTCTTGCTGTTGTGGTTGTTGTTGCAATTGTTGTTCTTCATCTGGACGTTGTTCATTCGGGAGATCTAACGCTCGTGCTTCCGGAATCAAAATGGGCTTGGCTTTTTCGGCTTGTGGTTCTTCTTCAGCGAACGTCGTCGCGAATAAAAATCCAAGGAGAATTATCTATAAGTAATTAATAATGTATTAATAATATTTATTAATCGCTTAATACATACGTATTTCATTTTAGTTGATATAACTTTTGCTGGTGTTCACAAGAAACTGATGCCTTTTCAGATACTTTGTTGAGTATTTATACCCCTACCATGTGGTATTACAACCCCTCTGGGAAAAAATTGGCATCCTGTTGCGATGGGAAGTTGATCGGGTGGCATTTTAAGACCTGCGAGACGGCTTTGGATCTCTATCTTCTTATTGTACCAATGAATACCTTTGCAGTACCAGTTAGTATAAAAAGTTGAAGATAAAAGTAAAAGAAAATCCTAGTTGGATTGGACGTTGGTTAATTCCACTCAAGTTCTTAACTAAAATCGATTTTATTGATTACAAGAATCTTGGTGATTAATAATTTTATGTTAAATCCACTTAATTGATTTATTAATTTAGATTAATTTAATTCATTTAGAAGAATTTGCTAAAATTGAAGACATTTGATCTTGGTGGGATGTTCGTTTACCCAGAACAAGTTTGAATTTTTACCATTTTCGAAGCGACTCCGGCTCCGTAACTACATACGATTCCGAAGGCTAATAGGCGAACGATACACCAGAAATAAGAGTAAAAGAAGAGGCCATAAGTCGAGCAAGATTTCAAGGACAATGTCGCATCCTTCCAGGTGTGTAAACCATAAAAACGACATCATAAAAACAAATCTTATTAAAACGCACCATACAAAGACTTAACATTAAAAATAAAATGTTTCGACCTTTTTTGACGACTAAAAATAAAAAAAGAAAAAAATTATAACTGTACTTTTTCGAATATTACACCTTGTTACTTCTTGTTATGAAGCCACACTTGAATAGTTAACGATCATACAGTTACTTGTATCTCATATTTAGGTTAATGGACTTCTCCGACAATCTCACGGTTGATTTGCCGAGGTTATATTTAGGAGATCGTAATAGTCACGAAGAAGAAAGAGATGGTGAAAAATATTAAAATGGATCATTTCAAGTGGAACATAGAAGTGGACATCTTAAGATTAGATTGACTTCAACATAAATGATTCTGCATATTTTTTATTATGACCTCATTTTTGTTGATTTTTTTGTACAACCGATTGCAAATCTTACTCGAAGTATCCCATTGAGGTTATTATGATAGTAAATTATTATGTCATCTAGGATCTACTGTTTTTTCTGGGTTTGAACTTGATGGAGGCATAATTTAACCCATCGTAATCTTACAAGGTGTGACCTTAATAAGTTCTAGACCTAATCCGAAGTAGTTTCTGAAGCTGATTGCTGTATGTTGTTGGTAAAGGATTCAATAAGTCGATTAATTAGTCTATTAATTGGATAACGTTTGTCTAGAACGCAATACCAAGCTGATTCAGCATTCTGATTTATCAAGAGGATTATCTACTAGTTAGAGTAGACCACTTTAGAAGGAATTTTATAAAAAGTGGTGGTAGTAACGAACAAATGAAGTTAATTGACACAAACCTGTCATTGAATTAACGTACTTGGAGCGGATCCCAAGAACTAGATAACCTCGTAGAGTCTTTTTCCTCTATTTGTGATTCAGACTCTGCACATAATTCTATGACTCTATTCTACTAACTAACTAGAATCTATATAATAGGTAGCCTAGAATAAGCTGTGATAGAAGTATTTATGGAACCCGAAGCAGTCAAAAGCACTCAGAAGCAGTCAAAATGATTGTTTTTAATGCATATGTCCGGGTCAACAATTTTCCAAAAGGTGGCAACACTGATTATGTTTAGTAAACAATGAGTTGAACCAATTTTATTTGACAAGTCAATTTTTATACCGAACCCCAAACCTATATATGAAATATCTACCAGAGCTATTAACTTAGTTCTAGGTATTGTATTAGTTATAGTTTTAATCGTTATGCAGCGCTAGACCAAGAACTAGAATCCAAAAGTTCTAGGTCTAATGTTAGTTCTAGTGACAGTGCAAGTGTAAAACTTGAAATAACACTATACCCAGAACTAGAATCATTTGGGTTTAGCCGTCTTTAGAGACGTGTGGCTAACCCCAAATGATTCTAATTCTAGATATAGTGTTACATAATGCAAGCATGTTACACCAGTATGTTTGATAATTCCTCTTTCATTAATGATGAGATGCAAAGCAGACAGTATAAAGACCCCAACTCTGCCCATACAGTTGTTTATGTATTGTAATCATCGGGAGACAATAAATATACAGGGTGATTCAGTTTTTAATCGGGAAACTTTACTAGGACGTAGTACTTGGCAAAATAATACAAGTTTTTTATATAAACATAAGGTCACAACTCTTTTGTTTTTGAGCTATGAGCTGTCAAAGTTGAGCCAAAAATTTAGATTTTATCTTCTATTTCAGGAATAAGTAAACCGTAGAATTTGAAAATTTGTACGTATGTACAGGGTGTCCAAATTTCGATGGGTTTGCAGGGTATCTCAGTTATTATGAAAGATAGAAAGTTGCGGTTTTCGCGAACCTGAGCTACTTTTTTGTGAAACTTACAATGGCGCAAACCAAATTTTCATAGCCCTCTTCGTTTTTGATATACAGGGAGTGTTTCAAAATTTACGATTTTCAGACATTTCCTGTATCTCGCCTATCCGGAAACGTAAAAACGGGTTCTAATAGATTTTTTCACGTAGAATTCAATGGTGCACGTACAATTTTTCTAGTCATCACGGTTTTTGAGTTATAAAGAGTTAAGTATTTTGGAAGTTGAGTATTCAGTATTTGAGTTGTGTTTATAACTCAAAAACAGTGATGACTAGAAAAATTCTACGTGCACCATTGGATTCCACATGAAAAAATCTATTAGAACCCGTTTTTACTTTTTTACTAAGTTTCCGGATAGCCAAGATACAGGAGGTGTCTGAAAATCGTAAATTTCAAAAACTCCCTGTATATCAAAAACGAAGAGGGCTATTAAATTTGGTTTGCGCCGTTGTAAGTTTCACAAAAAAGTACCTCAGGTTCGCGAAAGCCGCAACTTTCTATCTTTCATAATAACTGAGATACCCTGCAAACCCATCGAAATTTGGACACCCTGTACTACTGGTTAATACCTTATTTTCAACCATACCTCAAACTTCCCCAGCGCCCTCTAAGGGAGTAAAATTCACAACCCCTTTGATTTTTTTATGACAACTTTTTAATGCCATGGAATATTAACATAAAAAAATATGGGTTGTAAAGCTTATTCATTATTGGTACTTTTTTGTCTCTTTAATTTTTTCCTTAAAGATAATAGTTTTGGCGTAAAAAAGTAAAATATGCTACATTGCGCTGTAAAGCGCTGCTATTATTAGGGAATTTTTCTTTATAGCTGGCTATGGAAGTTGTGCACTTACTAGGATCTAATACTAACTAAGTAACACTAATTAATTGTGATTTTCATAAGAAAAACCATAAATAAGAAGAACAAATTACGTTGCTTTAAACAATATTAAAAAATTGATACTCTTGCTTAAAAATTATTAATAATCATCAACAATTATGAGAATTCACCGTAAATGAAACTTACAAGTTCTCAGAGCCAACTTTTAGAATAATTTTACAACCCAACCCAACTTTTTGAATAATTTTAGCTAAACATGGCGACACATAGCGATACATGGCACGACATTTTATTTTTTTACACCGAAACTATTGACTTTAAGGAAAATACTAAAGAGACAAAAAAATACCACTAAAGAATGAGCTTTACAACCCATATTTTTTTATGTTAATATTCCATAGCGTTAAAAAGTTCTTATAAAAAAATCAAGGGGGTGGTGAATTTCATCCCCTTAGAGGGCGCTAGGGGAGTTTAAGGTATGCTTAAAAATAAGGTCTTAACCAGTAGTAAATACGTACAAAGTTTCAAATTCTACGGTTTGCTTAGAACCAAAATACAAAACAAAATGTAAATTTTTGCTTCAACTTTGACGTAACTTTTGGCACGTACTACGTCTTAGTAAAGTTTATACAGGTATACAGCTGTATAATTATTAAATTAAGTGTATAATATTAAGTATTGTACGTCAAACTATACAATTTCATAGCTGACTACTGAATTTTCGCTTATTTTAAGTAACTTTACGAAATACGTGTCTTTAGTTATTTAAGTTTTTTATGAAAACGACAAAGTTTTTTAAAAAATAATAAGAGGAAGAAAAGTTTTAGAATTAAATTCCACATGAAATGAAGTAGTAATGTATTAAATCCGCCAAATGGTTAAAAAAATCTGTTAAAATTTAGGGTACCATCACGCTTAATCAACCCTTTGAAATGCCTTAATTGAGTCAAATATTGAACTTTTTAAAAATTTAATAGCCAACTTTGAAGGCTTATAACTCCTCACGTGTACAACTTAGTATAGAGGTAAGTTTCGTTAAATCATCTTAATTTATTGTCCTCTACATATATTATTAGTTATAGAAGATGACAAGGACAATACTCCATCAATTCTGGTTGAACTGGTATTATAATAGTAATACCCGTATTATTTAATTTATTTTAAAGTTGTTTTTAACAAAAAAACAAAAACGTATAATTAGAAACAATAACAATCAATTATCTAGGAAAAACCAACAAAGAATATTTGCTACGAAGAATCGCGGGCGTAGCGAAAGGTTCATCGACCAGTTCTTGCAAAGTCAAGGTTCTCCGTGAACTTAAAGACGACAAACTCTCAACGTATACTTTGCAAAAGTGATTTTAGAAAATCCGATTAACTATAAACACTACTTCATCTTCCCCCACGTTTTTGTTTCATTTTCCTGCCGTCATTTTACAGTTATTTAAATCTAGAATACTTTTTCAAAATCGAAGCCGCAAAGAAACTGATTTCAATCGATTCCTTTATTTATATTAAAGACGACAGTTATTCGTGCTAAATACTTTCGTTTCTTTTGTTGCACTCGCTTATTAATAACAAAAATTATTCAATAAAAAAAAATCAGGAAGCGTTATCGTTTTGTCGATGTCGTAATTTATGGTTTTTTTTTGACTTTCTATGAGTTACGGTAAGAAAACGTTTTTGGAATTCTAATTTAGGTTTTTTATTTCTTTCGAAGGAGCACGTATTGGCCTAAATTTAGACTTTTTTTTTTTGGGGCTGTTTAATATGCTAAAGACGTTGAATTGAAGGGTTATATGTGAATGGAAATAAAGTGTTAAAAGAGAAATAAAAATTTAAATTGTAAAAAAGAAAGAAAATTTTTTATTTGGTTTAATTTTAAATGAGTTAATTTTTTAAAGGGTAAAAATAATAATTTCTCGGTTTATGTAACATCGAGATAAGAAGACGTGCTTGTAACGTTTCTTGCCCCTTCCAATAACGAAGAAGAGGTCGAAAACGACGAAGAAGTAAACTTCGATATCGGAGGTGGTTCCTTTATCGGGAACCTGTAAGAACGTGGTGGGCACAAAATTGTCTTCCGGCAGTTTTAAAAAGGCCGTCACTAAATATTTCACGGGCAGTTTCGATGAATCGATGTTTTGAGCCAAAACCTTTTTTGACCATTACTATAACATGAAGATCTTACTTTTAGTAAGTTGATTTTCTTTAATTCGTTAAAAACTGGTTTTTTGAATATTTTTACGGTAAATTTTTTTAGATTACGACATTGACATTGGTGGAATGTAGGCCGCAAACTCAAGAGAAAGAAGCCCCAATTTCTATTGAGTAAGTTCATTAAATAATTAATAGATTTAGATGATTTTCCCCCAAATTAGTTTTGTTTATAGTGATTGTGCTTGTTTAAAATGTGCTGTGGTGAATGTGTTATTAGAATGAATGGGGTAAGTTCTTGACAAAAAAAATCCTACACAACCCTATTCTTGATTTTAATCTTTTTTCGTTCTAATTCCTTTCTTTTATTTTTATAGAATAGAAAAACACGAAGTCATAAAAATAGAACCAACCAACGATACAGTAACAAACGAAATTTTAAAGAAAATCGACGATATTAACCAAAAATATGGTTACACGAGCACAAAGGCACCCATTCGCAGCACAAAAAACGTGGAAATACCCCATTTTTACCAACATTCCTTTGATAGACCGTTACCAATTCGCTTGGGGAACTTTTTGGTTGAAAAATTTCGGGGTAAATCGATTAGCGATGAATCGGATAAAATAAACGTCGAAAAACACAACTTTATACAAAGCCAGATGTTGAATAACGTAAAAGGGATCATTTTGAAGTCGCAATTACCCCCCTACATTCAAGGATTAAGCAATTTTAACCCCTTAGTTCAAAATTTGCCATTTTTAAACTCATTTATTCCATACAAAAAGAGCGAGAACTATGACAGCTCTGGATATATTAATAACGTCCCAAATATGCCTTTTAACGAGTACAAAGTGGATGGTTATCAACCCGATAGAGACATCCCCAAAAACACAAAACCCACGGAAAATGGAAACATCGGGATTTTTAATTATTTAAGAATACTTTTTAGATTAGACAAAAAGAATCTAACAGAAATCTCGAATAACTCAGAAAGAACAGGTAAAGAATATTACTTTTTACCACCACAACCAGCCAATAAACCCACCTTTATTATTGAAAGTATCAAAAAAGGGGTACAAATAGCAGAATACAACGAAAATAAATTTCATCCGTTTAATAAATCACCCAGATTTTTAAACACAACCGAAAATCAAAGTGATAATGATGAATTAAAGCTTGAAAATGTCGCTAAAGTTTTTATTAATAACTCAACACTCACCCAAAACATTCGTGAAGGAAAAGCTGTAACAAAAAATAAAAAATCTTCATACAAAAACCTCCAAAAAAACGATAATAACACAAAAACGTTAAACCCGTTGCAACTATTAATTCAAACGCAAAATAAATTTAAGCAAACCACAACTCAACCCCCACCCCTAAGTGAAGATTTAAAAGATGTTATAAATGAGAATAATAAGAAAGTTTTAAGTAGGGATAATACGGGAAGTGGGATTTTTATTCATCGGATTAAAGTAAAGAAAGGAGGTGTTGCAATCGCGGGACCCGGAGGAATTGCAACTGCAGGAAGTGGAGGAACAGCTATCGTTGGCCCAAATGGTTATGCTTATACCCATCCAGATAGTTTAGCAATTGCTGGAACTGGATCAAAAGTTATCGCTGTCGAACCTAATGTTAGTCTTGCAGATATAATCAATGGAAATCATAAAGGAAGAAGGGTCGGGAAAGTTGTTGCTATTGGACCTGTTATTTATTACAATAAGGGATAAAAAGTAATGTTAAAAAATGAATTAAATCGGTAGATAGGCAACTGATTTTGCATAAATGTATAGTTGGTTGTATAACTATTAATAAATAATTTTAATAATTTTTTTATCTGTGATAAAATACTTATATTAAATAAAAAAGTATTTAAAAAAAAACATTTTTATTTATATTTATCCTAATTAATTGTAGATATATTATTTCTTTCTGCTTTTGCTGCAAAAATTAGCTTAAAACTTAAAATTAATTTCTGCATCTCTTTTTTCCACTTAGGTTTGGATCTTTTTATCAATCACCTCCACTATTAATAACAACTAATATCCTGGACAACTCACAATATCCCAATTACTTCTACGACTTCGCTCAAACACCAAACAAAATTCCATTAAACGATTTACAAGAATTTTCAAAAAACGAAGAAGAAATTAAAATTTCCGATATACTCAATCAAAGAACTATGCAAATACAAAAACTCTTAGAGATCGACGAAGCGATTAAAGAAACAAACGCTAAAATAGCTCCATATAAAAATAATCCTTTATTGGATTATGTTAAAAATAAAAACACGATTCCAAAGGATAAATTGATACGGTTTAGGAGTAATTTGAATGGAAAGGAAGAAGATACGATAACGTTAATTTTGAAACCAGCGGCGAAAGCGGTGGCTGGTCAAGAAGGTAAAGCAATTGCTAATCCGATATCGAAAGCAATTTTAAGGCAAGGTACAAATGTTGATATTCTTTTCGAACCTGAAGCTGTAGCTATTGCTGGACCTGGAGGAATCGCTCACGCAGAAAGTGATTTGGAAATACATTACGAAGAAACTTGACTCTTACTCAAAAAGCCTAAAATTTGTATAAAACATGTAAATATTCATTAAAACCTTTTTAAATTTTTATAATAAATCCTATTCTTTTTTAAATGTTATCATAAAATGGAGTCTATTAGCTTTAATTTGAGATATATCTCATTATTTAACTCTTAAAAATACGAATGAGATATTTTTTTTAATATTGCAAATAACCTAATTTCATAAGATGTCATTAAAAATCTTCTTTTTAGAAAATTTTTATAATAAAGCTTGTTCCTTTTTGTATATTATTACAAAATAGAGACTGTTAGCTTTAAATTAAGATGTCCAAAAACCTTAATTTGTTCAAAAAAAGCTATATAGATTACAAAATCGATATAATCAAATAAATATTTTTTCGTTTTTTTAATAGATAACATATTCGAATCGTATAAACAAAAATTTAAATAAACTACATTGAAGAAGAAAAATGTGGCGAGGTTAAGTAGTTTTTAACATTCAAAAAGCGTTTCAATTGGCCAACATTGTTGGAAATGTGCCTATTCGTTCGGTGCTCGATTTATCTCCCCGTGATTTATTCAAATTACTTCTTCACCTTGGTTTTTTGATGCGTAACTTTGCGCGTCTTTTGCGTGTCCTGTTTTGTTTATTTTTAGTTTATTTTTTTTAATTGACCGAGACACGCAGTTTAAAACAATTTAATATTATCTTATAGAAAAAAACAAGAAATACCATATAAAGTTACAACAATTCCGTTTTATGGCGGAGCTCAAGGGCAAGCTCTTCAACTAGTCGAATCTTCGGATGGGATAATTTCTTCGAAAATCGTTATCTTACCGACAACCAAAAAACCAGAACTAGATCTTCAGGGTGATTATGAAATGGAACAACCTGGATTTGGGATCAAAGAACTGCAAAAATCGGCGAATAAAATAATTAATTTGCAAGAAAAAAATCGGAAAAAAAGTTTTAATCGCGCGCAACAAGACGAATACGAAAACGAAATGGAAATATTGAACGAATATGCTAAAAACATCGCCGATTTACAACTTAACGGTGCAAGCGATGATTTTTTTAGTGATGATGGGTTAAGTGCTTGGTTCGATCGCAAACGGATCGAACAAGTTAAGAAAAAAAATAATTTAAATAGTACTCAAATCGAAGATAATAAGAAAAAAGATAACAATAAAACTAGTACTAATAATTTAAATGTAAATAATAGTATTAAAGAGAATAAGAAAGATAAAAATAATAAAATTGACAATAATTTGAATATAAATAATAGTAATAAGGAAGATAAAAACAATAATTCTACGGATAAAAATAAGAAACAAAAAGAAAGTGAAAAGAAAAAGGAGAAAGAGGAAAATAAAGATAAGCAACCGGAAAAGGAAGAAGAGGAGGAGGAGGAGGAAGAGGAAGGTGATGCTGTTGTTGTTAATTTACCACCAGATGATGCTTCAGTTGCTGAAGCAAAACCGGTTGGGCTTGCTGTTGCTGGTAAATATGATTTTTTTTAATTAATAAAAATTATTTCAAAATTACCTTTTAAATATCTCCTAGAGGAGTTGACTACCAACTGCCTCTCCATCTCTTTGGTAGTCTATCTGGTTCCGAATGACTTATTTGTAAGCAAAATTTTCTGAAATCTGTCATCTGACATTCTACGGGTATAATATGCCAAAATCTCTTGCGCTGTCTTCTCCAACTCATAATGTCCTTAATTGTAATGTCGCGCATTGGTCTCTGAAGTCGGAGTTCTTAACTCTGCTCCATCTGGTCTTTCCCGAGATTGTCCTCATCTTGTCTTCATTTCTGCTACTCTTAACATGCTCTTAGATATTTAGTTACCACGCATTTAGTTTTTTGATTGATGTACTTTTATGCCATTCCATTGGTATTTCTGGCTGACATAACACAATATGAACCCTTTGTGGCCCAAGAAGTCAAAAATTTTGAAACTTTGTGACAGAATCAAACAGAATTAAAACGCTATCAAAATACACTCGGTAAAGGCGTTTGTAATCAATTTTAGCAAAATAAGCAATTTCTGGAAGCCGTGTTTATTGAAATTAAGACATGAAACTTATTTTAAACTGAAGCTTAAAGCTTTCTGTTTAAATCGATGTATAATAATCGTTGGGTTGAATTAGAAAAATATTGAGAAAAAGAGTATTGAGTTAAAACTAACATTTTCGTATAACCTAAAAGTGTCAAAAAAGATGCTAATTTAAATATTCCTGGAAGCCGTATTAATTGAAATTAAGGAATGAGACTTATTCTAAATTAAAGCTCAAAGCTTTCTCTTTAAAATTATGTATAATAATTGTTGGGTTGTATTGGAAAAATATTGACAAAAAAAATTTTGAAACAACTTACATTCTCGTATAACCTAAAAATGTCATAAAAGATGCTAATTCAAAAATTCCTGGAAGCCGTATTTATTGAAATTAAGAAATGAGACTTATTCTAAATTAAAGCTCAAAGCTTTCTCTTCAAAATGATGTATAATAATTGTTGAGTTGTATAGGAAAAATATTGAGAACAAAAATGTTGAAACATCACTCACATTTTCGTATACCCTAAAAGTGTTAAAAAAGATGCTAACTTAAAAATTCCTGGAAGCCGTATTTATTGAAATTAAGAAATGAAACTTATTCTAAATGAAAGCTCAAAACTTTCTCTTTAAAATGATGCATAATAATTGTTGTGTTGTATTGGAAAAATATTGACAAAAAAAATTTTGAAACAAAACATACATTTTCGTATAACCTAAAAGCGTCAAAAAAGATGCTAATTTAAAAATTCCTGTAAGCCGTATTAATTGAAATTAAGGAATGAGACTTATTCTAAATTAAAGCTCAAAGCTTTCTCTTTAAAATGATGTATAATAATCGTCGGGTTGGATTGGAAAAATATTGACAAAAAAAATGTTGAAATAAAGCCTACATTTTCGTATAACCTAAAAGCGTCAAAAAAGATGCTAATTTAAAAATTCCTGTAAGCCGTATTAATTGAAATTAAGGAATGAGACTTATTCTAAATTAAAGCTCAAAGCTTTCTCTTTAAAATGATATATAATAATTGTCTGGTTGGATTGGAAAAATATTGAGAAAAAAAATGTTGAAATAAACCTTACATTTTCGTATAACCTAAAAGCAATTTACCAAAAGTAACGATTTCTTAGTTCTGCCAGATTCCAAACATCTTCTTATTGTGTTTTTGGATTAGTCTCTTTATCATAGCAGCTTTCGTCATATTTGTAATCCGTTCATCATCCGAGAAGTTTTCTTGTTTCGATCTGCACAAATTTTATTAATTTTAAAAATATTTCCTTTAATTTAGAAAACTATTCATTTACTATTATTATTAAAAAATAGAAAATCGGAAGTTAAAATAGGAAATGATACAACACCCGCATTTCCTCTAATTGTTTATACTCTTCTAATCAATATTTTCTTTTTTTGTAGGCGCTGGAGGTGTTGCAGCAAGTAAACCAGTCGCGACAGCTGTAGTTGGTCCTGCAGGATTAGCAATAGCACGCCCAGTTGGAACCGCAATAGCAGGAGTCGATCCCGAACAAGCTTTAGTACCAATTTTTGCTCAACAATACGTTAAACCATCGAAAAAACGAGGCGAATCTAACAATAAAAAACAAATTTCTTCCAGCGATCTTTTAAACAAGATTATTTCGAAATATCATCAAATATAATAATTTAAATTATTTTTGTGTAATACCTTAAGATAATAATAAAGAATTAGGCTTTGTTTCCTTCTTTCAAATGTAATTCGAAAAGGCAAAAAAGATGATTACGTAATTGGGATAATTTTTTAACTTTCAAAAGAAGCGAATTAAACTTCCAAACAAAGAAATAACTAACTTGAAACAGTTACCATCGCCGTTTTACCACTTCATTCTGTTAATGTCTTAGGGAAAGTATAGAAAATGAAATGAATGGCGTTTTACATTCGTATTGTTGACTGTAACTGGAGTAGAAGGATCAAAAGATTTATTTCTATAGTTAATTTGCATCAAGAATCTTACGTAATGTTTCACAAAAGAATCAATTTTTATTTTTATTATTTATTTTAGTTGTAACCTTCTTTTAAAAAGTTTTGCAACGTTTAATCAATTAAAATGCAACAGATATTAAACAACGCGATATATGCATCCTTTTAATTTTTTTAAGTGAGTAATGTCTTAGGGCCGTTGTTGCAATGGACAACACCAACATTCGTCCTTGTTTGTCTGCTTTCGTTCTTTGACTGCTAATGACGCATCGGAATATAATAGAATAAGTAAAAAAAATACAAAATTAAATCATCGGCTTGGAAGAATCGACGAAACAAAACCGCCCGAAAAACCAGAACGAGATAAAGGTTCTTCCATTATATGTTAATTTTGTGGCTAAAAAATTACTTGCACTTTTCGGTACCGCACCCTTTTAAGTGTTGGTTGTGGGTTGGGTTTTACTTTTAGATTTTCGAAGAAACATCATCGCAAAAAATACTTCTTGAATTTTAATTTTAAAAAATTGAATTAAAATAAAGTGATATTTGTTATTTTTCTTCCGGGTTTAATCAAGGTAAATTTAAATAACCACTCATTTTAATAGAAAAATACAAACCGCAACGAAGCTATCAATAATAACAGAAATCAACGATTTTCTGAGGCCGTACAAACACAAACATTCGTAATATTTCTTGGTGGAAACGCCGGAAGAATATCAGATTAACCTCGGTCGTTGTCAGCACGCAATTCTCATATTTAAAAAAAAATACAATAAAAAGATAAACACTGAAAAGAAAGATTTTTTTCAAGATTTCAAAGCGAAGAACGCGGAAAAATGCGCGATGATGTTTTCGTGTAGATAACGAACGGACAATAAAGAAGAAATGAAAGAAGCATAGATGGAAGAAGAGCAATGAAGAAGGAAAGAAGATGGCGAAAACGACGAGGCCCCCACTTTTGACGGTTTATAAAGTGAGGTCGTTGTTCCGGGGACGACACTCTTAGAACTGAACGAAACTCCTGAACGTGAACTATTTGTGTTAAAGGTGGTTTACGGTTATTAAAGGTAAGTTAAATAATTGTTAATTGGTAAATTAAAAATATAGTTGAATTGATTTGAATTTTTAATTTTATTGAGCTTTTTTTATCTCAAATTGAACACTTCAAAGTTTATTTTTATTATAATTTTATATCAAAAGATATGTCCTATATAAAAGAAAAAGTTAAGATTGCTCATTACGAGTTATACAAAGTTCTGCACCTTTGCAAAATATGTTTACAAGAAAGAAGGATATCTTGGATTACTAGGGTTAAGCACAGAAATCCATAAAAAACAGTCAGTGAGAGAGAAAAACTTAAAAAATGTCAGAAAAGCACCCAAATGTGCGATTTATTTAAGAATAAGAATGAAAGGGGTGAAATGAGACAGTTTTTCCATGTTCAACTTTGTGTAACTCCCAAAATTTGATTAATTCCACATCTGTCAAATCAACTGTCAAATTAACTGTCAGATTTTTCTATGACCAAATAGTATCGAGCACAACTTTGTTTTTTGCCTCAATAAGTCATCAGAACAAAGAGGGGTGTTAAACACTGAATGGGCAAGAAGTATATTTTATATATTTACAGTTTTAACTGAAGTAATTGTTGATGTGGTAAATGTTGTGTGAATTTTGAGAATTAAAAAGAGGATGTTTCATTTAGACTAGAAATATTTATTTCCCTTTATCAATAAAAACACATAGATTACGCGACATAAGCTGTTGTTTTTGTATAAATCTGACACAAGCAAGACTAGAAATGATAAAGTTCATTAATCCGACTTTAATTACTCTTCCTTGTAAGATTTTGTTGTAAGTATTTGCTTTTCTGAAGTTATTCTGCGTTCTAGAAACTCAATGGTAATGTTTTAGAATTAGACCAACCTTCATGATCGCAGATATTCTGGAATCAGACAGCCTTTGGATTGTGTTAGCCTTTGATCTTTGACCAATTCGAGTAAATAATTGCAGTTTCAAAGTTTTTAGCAAATTCAGAAAATGTTGAGCAACTTTTATGATGTCACTATTTGGGTGAAATTCTCTCGGGGAAATTCCCATTGATATAGACAGCTTGAGTAACCCAAAATTGCCGCATAATGCGGTGATCCTTATCTTTCCAGAAAAAAAGTACTCCATATGGAGTGAATCATACTTTTTCATTGATGGGGTAAAGAAGTGGTTACTGATTTTTAGAATTCGTGTGGTCAATGACAACTTTATATACAATATTTTAAGTCATAAGATTCCCAAGTAATTGATGAAATGGAAACGTTGCAAAAAAACTTTTACAATACGAAATTTCACCGCTACTTCAAACAACATCAAATCTATATTTAGTATAAACGCTGATATTAACTCTACGAAATTATCTACAGTTATTTTATAATTGCGAATGCATAAAATTTAATTAAAGTGACTGTCATAAAGAGAGAAAAGGAAATTCTCTATTACATACTATTTTATTTAACCCAATAACAAACGTTTCAAGGAAAAGTGTAAATTTGCTATAAAAAATGAGTTATTTAAATCAAAATTGGGTTAATTATTAAAAAGTGTATCAATTACAGTTGACTCATTCAATTAAGACATCTAAATCCACTTAAATCAAACGAAAAGTAGTTCATTTTACATCCAATTAAGTAACGAGAGTTGAAAGTATTAAGATGACTAACATTATTATTATTTTGATTTAGATCATGATTTTCATTTTAATAACGGTGAGTTTATTGGCGAGTGTTTGTAACAGTCGACCTCAAGGTCGAACGCAGAACGCCGACCCAAGACCGTTAACTTATGGTTCACCATACGGATTAGATTTGCAGTACGATTTTAGCCTTTTGGATCCTCAATTACAATATCCAGGATATCCAACACAACCCAGGTAAGAAATTGACACTTAAAGGATAATTTCAAAGGAAAAGTTTCCTTTGCATGACAATCTTGCATTACATCATCCTCCCACATAGAAAACATAACATTATGAAGGCATGAATTAAATCTTTTCTTTTCGTTATTATTCAAAGAATAATTCGAGATTATTTTTTTTAATAAGTTATAAGAGATTAATTAGATCTCGTAAATTTTAAATAGAAAGGTTTTCTTCCTTATTCCCAATAGAAAATGAAACTAGATGGTCGATAGATAATTTATTTCCTTACGTAACGAAGATCAACTGAAAGTTTTGAATGGGTATAATCATACTCGCGACCCACAAAGAACTTGTAACAGCGTTCACTGTTCACTTCATTTGGATGTCAGCGTTTTTCATCGCTCAATTTACCTCAAATTATATTGTTAATACAAAGTTCATCGATCCCATTTTTGTTAACAAGTTTCATTTCATTTAGACTTCAACCTCAAGTCATTTATTACACCGGGGGAGCTCCAGGTCAACCTTTTCTATTACAACCAGCGGGACATCCCGGAAATTTCTTAATACCTCAACCCCAACCAGGATTTGTTTTAAGAGATTCACCTCAACCCAACCCCGTTTTCGTTCAAGGACAACCAAAACCATTTGTTCCACCAATTAATAAAGATGCAGAAGAAATTCCAACTGGTCCAAGTTTAACAGCTCAAGGCGTTCAAGGTATAAAACAAAAATTAATTCATTAACTCTTTAAAAATCTTCATTAAAAAACAATTCGCGTCGTATTGTTGTAATATGTGTTAGTGTCACAAGGTAAAAATACTCTTTATATGGAAATTCATAGACAAACCGTTAAATATAACTAACATGAATAATATAATTACTTATAAAATACAGGTACCCTTCTCTTAATAATTTAAGTTTCACTTCCGTTATTTAAAATAATGGAAAGTCTTCATAATCTGTATCATTAAACTTAAACGCTTTGACATATGTTATTTCTGCAGGTAAAACACCGGAGAAACTAGAAAGTTTTGGTGAAGGTCCTGAGTTTTCTTCTGGTGAAGCGGAAGTTTTAGCTGCAGCGGATCGAACACAAAATTTAAAACCAGGGCAACGCTTCTTTATTTTAAATGGTCAACCATTATTCTCAAATTATCCCCTTCCGCAATTTTCAAACAGCCCTTATCAACCAACTCCAGAACGATACGGGCAAGACTTGTATTATAAACAATCACCTTCATTCCCACAAGATGATTTCATCAAACCTTATCAAGGGGAAACACCAAGACCGCGCCCCGCTCTAGATGTTAGGTTCAATGAGTTAGATTTTAATCAAAACTTTTTTGGGTTACACCAAAAAAATGCAAATAATAAAGTTAACGATAAAGTTTCGTTTAAATTAAGACCAATTAAAGTCCCGGATGAAGAAAATTCTTCTGAAGAGATTTATGGAGGAAAAGATTTAGGAAAATTCGACTCGTACAAAGACGATTTGAGATTAAAAGCTACTGGTGATGCATGAAATTATTTGTTAAATTAGTTACCTTAATAAATTTATTTGTTTTTGTAGAAAAGTCTCGAAAAGACGCTGTTAAAGAAGAAAGTATATCCCAAGCTGAACCCGGTGCAATTGCTTTAGCAGGACCAGGTGGTGTTGCTTCTGCAGCTCCGAGAGGTACTGCTTTATCAGGAACCAAAGGACTTTCCGTATCCAGCCCAAAAGCAACTGCCATTGCAGGTCCTGCAAAAGAAAAAGAACAAAAACCTTCAAAAATTAAAAAAGAAAAGCAATGAGTTTATAAAAGTAGTTCTGTTTTTGTGATTTTAGATTTAGTTTAAAAATTATTTTTAGGTGAACTTATATTTTTTTTTGTCTTGAACCTTTTTTTCTCAAAGAGTAATAATAAATAAGAAGTTTTGTTTTTAATTATTTCCAAAAGCAATTTATTTCTGTTAAATTATACCTATGGTTTGGAGAGAACCTGCAAATCACATTTTTATTTGCAAAATAAAAAGATTTCGTATCCAAACATTCTTTCAGCTATGAAACGAGGCATTTCTCATGGGCCTGATTTATCTGTACCTCGTCCTCCAGCTACATTTGAAAATATTTTAGATGATTTAATCAGTTGTTTCAAGGCAGTGATGACGGCGACAATGAGCCAAAACTCTTCACACAGTCGGAACTAAACGATTTGGTTAGAGATTTAGGCCTTCCAAATGATTCAGCCGAGGTTTTAGGATCGAGGTTGAAAGAAAAACATCCTTCTCTTTGTACAGAAGCAGAGAAAGAGAATTTAAGCCTTTTTTCTCGAGAGAGAGAGGTTTAGAGATTTAACATAAAATACGACCCTGGAGAATGGAGACTTTTCATTGATTCCTCTAAAAGAAGCCTGAAAGCTATTCTTCTCCACAATGGCAACCAATGCATCTGTACCAGTAGGATATTCAGTTAATTTGAAAGAATGTTATGAGAACCTCGAATTGGTACTTAACAAGCTTAAGTACTCTGATCATAAGTGGACTGTTTGTGGGGATTTGAAAAACTTTGGTTCCTGGAGTTAAGAACGTTGAGAAAGAGAGTCTAGTAGATCCTAAAAAGATTCTACTTCCGCCACTTCATATCAAGTTGGGGCTGATGAAAGAATTAAAGAGTTAAAGTTCATTTCCTTCATTTTCATCTGGAGTATTTTCCGGAAAATCTTGGAGCAGTAACATATAAAAGGAATGGTCAAAGGTGCTGGAACGTTAATATGATGGCTGATTACTGCTGTTAACATCCAGCAGGGATGTTTAGGGAAAAAAAGTACCAAACGAAATTTTGGAGGAAAAAGAAAATGTTACTATAAAGACTTGTAAAGGTTAATTAAAGCCTTATTAACTTTTCTTCCTCTATGTTTAAGATTTACCCTTGCATAAAGTAATTTTAATAACATGTACATAAATAATATCGATATAAACTACATATATGTCCATTTTATGATTTTTCTTAAAAGTTTTACCTCATCTTGTAGACAAACCTTACGTGATAGAAAAAAACCAATATTATTTCCGAAATCAGCACCAAAAACTACATAAAAATCAATTATTAAATCTAAAACAATTTAAAAAAAATTTTTTTTTGCAGGCATTATTTTTGACAGCATGACATAACCTACACAAAAACAATCTGACGTTTAACCATAACCTAAAATAAAAATATGTGATAAGTTATCATTTAAAATTAAGTGTAAAAGAATTTTAACAAGGCATAAATGGCAAATTAAAACTAATTATATTCACCTACTTTACCATATGGAATTGAAATTTTCAAATTATATGATGAAATTGTTGTAGTACAAACTTTCAAGATTTTAGTCCTTTTTTTCAAAATTAAAAAAGATGTACTTACATTTATTATATTTTGCGGTTTTATTACTTAATTACAACCCAACGACTGCAAGTTGCGGTTGTCAATTAAACAGAAACGAACAGTGTAATAATAACTTTGAAGACAATAATAAATACACTGCGGAGAGCAATGAGGGTTTTTTAAACAAAAACGGCGACAATACTTTAAATTTAGACAATATGGTTTTAATCAAAAAATCTACATTCATAATGGGTACAAATGAACCTGTTTTTGAAGTGGATGGAGAAGGTCCTGCAAGAAACATAACCCTAAACTCATTTTACTTAGATAAGTATGAAGTTTCAAATCAAGATTTTGAAACGTTTATAAAAAATACTGGTTATGTAACGGAAGCGGAAAAATTCGGTGATAGTTTTGTGTTTGATTTATTATTACCTGCAGAAGATTTAGAAGGTTATAAAGATGTTCGAGCCGTCCAAGCTCCATGGTGGGTTAAAGTACCTGGAGTTAGTTGGAGAACACCGGATGGAATTGATTCTAATTTAAATGGAAAATTAAATCATCCCGTTGTTCATGTATCTTGGAATGATGCTAAAAATTATTGCGAATATTATGGGAAAAGATTACCTAGTGAAGCAGAATGGGAAAAAGGTTGTCGAGGGGGATTAAAACAAAAATTATATCCTTGGGGTAATAAATTAAATCCTAAAGAAAAACATTGGTATATAAATTTAATAAAAAAAAACCTTAAATTTGATTAATAACTAATTTTAGGGCAAATATTTGGCAAGGAACTTTTCCAAAAAATAATACCATCGATGATGGTTATTTAAGTACAGCTCCAGTAAATTCATTTCCTCCAAATAATTATGGGTTATATAATATGGCAGGGAATGTTTGGGAATGGACGTCAGATTCTTGGAGTGAAAGTCCAGTAAGGAAATTAAAAAATCAATCAAATTCAAAATATATATTCAACAATTATATCATTTTTATTTTGCAGACGTTACGGGTGAAAAAAGGAGGTTCGTACTTATGCCATAAAAGTTACTGTTGGAGATATCGTTGCGCGGCTAGATCCCATAACACAGCAGATAGTTCAGCTGGAAATTTGGGATTCCGATGCGCTAAAGATGCATCACCAAACGACGACCAATAGGGGTCCTTTGATCAGGCAGCCTCAATAGAACGTTTTTTATTATAGAAATGATAATAATTATTATATGATATGTACTTATACGCCTGCCTCAAAGTCTTCCAACGTTTATTAATGTTAATTTATATACAAAATATGTGGTTAAATGTATAAAAAATATATATTGTCTTTAGCTACCATGTGGACTTTTTCTTGTGCTAATTAAAACCTATTTATTATAAAAATTAGGTTAAGAAAATAAAAAAGATAATTGTTTTTGCTACAATAACCATATTTTTTATCACCACTTTTAATATCAAGATAAAAACAAAACCAAAAAAGAAAAATAGCAATCATAAAACAACCCATTGGAATGTGTACAACCAAAAAGAAATGGGTAACATTTTTTTTCTTCTTTGATAATTAATAAGTGTAATCCTTAATTCTAGTGGCAACTTTTTGGAACGCCTGGTTTGATATATCCCTGAGACTTTTCGGCACCGGAGCATATTTATACGCCAAGTAACAAGCTAAAGTCATCATGCTCAATTTGAAGCTCATTTTTATTATTTTCGTTGACATAGAAGGTGGGGGAACAGTCAAAATCTCTTTAATTTTTGATCGCTGATCGATCGGCCATAATTTTGATATTCCAATAGCGTGTCCAATTCCCACTACAGCTACTATTCTCAAATTTTCATTCAACACATTTTCTAGAACAAAAATTAATTTTTTTTTGGGGTAAATACATTTTGAAGTTATCTTACCAGTCGGTATATACCTAGCAGGATCTTTTAAGGCAGCCGTTTGTAATGTATAAGTTAAAAATGCATCTCTTTCATCAACAAAAACTTCTCCCAAAACGGGGTATTCACCTGACATATCAGCCAAAAGCTGTTCGAGCATATCACGATTTTTACACTTTTCAATCTCCTCTTTACTACAAATGAATGATTACTCCAAGATAATTTGATGAGGTATTAAAATAATTACCTTATAGGGTCTCTAGAAAACAATAAATACCATGCAAGTTTTATTTTTTGATACAACGATAATTTTGCTAAAGCTCGTAATAAAGTAATCCGAATTGGTCGATCTCCTAAAACTACTTCAGACCCCAATCTGCTCGCCTAAAATCAAGTTATATTAAAACTTAATTTTTGTTGGTATAATTCAAGAATCATAATGTCGTTTAAAAATCGACAATTTTTTTTAATCGTCGGGAAATACCGAAAAATCACTTTAAAGTTTCGAATTGACGTCATTTTTTGTGACGTCATCGCACGGCTAAACCCAATATTTTCTAGGTCTAGTGTCAAGGTTTATAGAACATAAGGTTACCTCATTCCCTATGCCTCTGTAGTATCGATTATTACCCCGCAAATTGACGTCACTGGTTCGATACAGTCAGAATAAAAGATAGATACGTGCCAACGTGCCTATACTGTGGTACAGTCTATATAAAATATTTAAACCTCGCATCGTGTTGTCCTTGTTTATAGATATATAAGGGCGTTGTGTTGTTCATAGAACCAGCTACGTCACTGACCCACCTTGCCTCTCAGAGGAGGAGAATCGGTATTGGGTAACCTTATGTTCTATAGACCTTGGTCTAGTGTTAGTTCTAGTTTTAAATGTTGTTTAGCATTTAGAATATTTTTATTGAAAGAAAAGTAGAACTAACACTAGATCTAGAACTAGAACCATTCGGGTTTAGACATACGTCTCTTAAGACGGCTAAACCTGAATGTTTCTAGTTCTAGGTCTAGTGTTAGTTATAGTGACAAAGGTAGGTAGCGCTAGTTAGCATAAGATATCACTATGTTGCATATTTTTATTGCACTAAAACTAGAACTAACACTAGACCACTGCGTCTGAAGACGCACGGCTAAACCCGAAACTTTCTAGTTCTAGGTCTAGTGTTTGTTCTAGTTTTATTTGTTATTCAATGCTAGATTGTTGTATATTTTTATTGAACAAAAAGTAAAACTAGCACTAGACCTAGAATTAGAAACATTCGGGTTTAGTCATCTTTAGAGACGTGCAGCTAAACCCGAATATTTCTAGTTCTAGGTCCAGTGTTAGTTCTAGTTTTACACTAACACTATCGCTAGAACTAACACAAGAACTAGAATCATTCGGGTTTAGCCGTTTTGAGAGACGTGCGACTAAATCCGAATGTTTCTAGTTCTAGGTCTAGTATTAGTTCTAATATTAGCACTGAGTCTATTTATACACAGTCTATCTAACGACAAGCAGTCAGTCGTTATTCATCGAAAGCCTAAGAAAAACAAGGGTGTTTCATCAGGAAATATACGTTGTAATCTCACATAATTTCGTGAAAATAACTTTACTTTTAAGTTAATCAAATTGATTTTGTGTATGGCCATAAAATAAACAATTTGTAAGTTAGGTGTTGACCGGTTTAATAGGAAAATGTATGGTTAACATTGCTTGTGACGTCATATCACATTGATTAAAAAAATCGTCGATTTTTAAGCCACATAATGATTCTTGAATTTTTCCTTTTTATTTCATTTTTATGATTATAACCTCCTTAAAAGCAACTCTAAACTCTCCCCCTGGTGCCATACCGATTTGCTTTGTTAAATGAGCGCTTAAATTCAATAACAATAAGTAAGTGACCCCATAATATAATCCATTCTTTTTAATCATCCCACGAATCATTTCTAAATTGATGTTTTCGGCTTGTTCGAGGATAGCTTTTTCGTCCATTTGAAGAATGTTTTTTCTGGCATCGCATAATTCCAAAATAACGATGTGTGGAAGAACTGTATTAATCACCTACATTTATTTTTAAAGTTAATTCTACGAAAAATGTTCTAACAAGGGAAGTAACGCAATTGTGGCACACCGATTTCGATGAAATTTGGGACAGTCATAGAAAAAGGGGAAAAAGCATTTTAAAATTTTAGAATTTAGTAAATTAATATTCATTTTTAACAAGCTTTGGCCCTTGGGAAGACAATTGGTTATGTGTTAGAGACTGCAATTTTAATATATTATCCCTCTGATGTAAATTGAAATCATACAAGTATAACTTGGTCAAGCTGAAACCAAATACATATAGGGGTTGTATTTGACTGGTTGTCTCTGCAGGTATGGATAAGTGTTTAAAATTAGTGTCTGATGGAGTTACTTCACTAATAACTTTAGGACAATGGCCACTCCAAGAATTCAATAATAATAATGATTTGGAACCAGTATTTGGATAATATACATTTTGTAGCCAATTTTTTATATGTGTTGATGTTAATTTTAAAGATTTTGATGCCAAAACGTAAATATTATCGGCTTTAAACATTGTATTTGATACCCTAAACAATTAAAAGTGGTGAAAGAAGTTTTCCATCAGCAGATATTATAGGTTGAATAGTATAACTATGGGTTGGGTTGGGTTTTTTTTACGCGATCAACATTTCCAATTTGTTTTTGTGACATAAATTTTATTATTTTTCTGCTTACTAACCGATTTGCCTTCTTAAAACGTTAAACCCACATATGTGATGCTTTAAATAATTGAGGAGACAAATTTTCAATTAATCAATTAATAATGTACCTATAATAATTTTTTTTTTTGTTTATTCAATCATTTCTTTTGTTAGCTGGTTTTCAACTCATAAATAAATAAAATAACTTATTTATCTAGAAGTTTTATATTTATTTCTTCCCCCTTATAACCATTTTCAAACATTTTTACTTCATATATAAAACAAATACTCTGACAAATTGCGCCAAACTCGACAAGTAACGCCTGGAATAGAATTAATTTTTAAGAGGGTAGTTAACCAAATGTCGTATATGCCTTACTTTGGCATAACATTTTTGTATTAAAAATATTTTCGAAATACCTGACAGTTTTATAACATATTAACCCCCATAACTTTGTTGGGGTTGATCAAGGATGAATGAGAAAAAACACTTAACTAATATTATTATAAATATATTATTACAAGTATATTTACTGTTTTAAATAAACCCGAAAAAATAAGGGTAGTTCGCCCCCTTTCACCCTGTTATAGATGTGTGATACATCAAAAGAAGCTTATTAAAAATGAATATCAGTTTCAATTTATCAAACTTTGATAGCACTTTTCGTTTTTGAAATATGAGCGAAAATGTACTTTTTCCCCAAACTTTCAACCCCCTAAAACTCGGCTCAGGGGCTCTTACCGCACGTATAAAAAATATTTAAACCTTATTTTGGTCCATTCTATGACTGTACCAAATTTCATCAAAATTGGTGTGCCACAGTTGTGTTACTTCTCTTGTAAATAAAATATGTACTTTAACAACTTCATCTTTTGATTCTTGACTGAAATGGGCAGTCCCCACTACATAAACTTTAGCCCCTGTTTGGGGGTGTTGAAGTAATGTTACTGTTTGAGGTAAACATTTGTCGAACTCTTCATGTTCTATTGTGTGTTTAGTTTCATCGTCGATTTCTTCAAAACTCTTTTCAGAACTTGGTTCTGAATCTGAGCCAATTTTTACAGTACTTTCGGAAAGTTCTAAAAGAAAAATTTTATTTTTAATAATCTTTAACATTTTTGACAATCATTATTATGAGATTTAAGATACTTTAAGATTTAAAAAAATTTGACAAGGTTGAACCTAACCTCAAATTTTTTTTTTTACATTAAAATAACTTTTTTTCATTTTATTTTTTTAAAGTAATACATAATTAAATTATCACGTTGTTTACAATTTAGAATCAAATATAAGATAAGAAAGATTAACTGGCTTCTTTTAAAGTTTGCGTAACCCCAATTATTCAATGAGAAAAACTACAAAATAATCCCCAATTTATTTATAAACTTACCGAAATTTGAAACATCCATTTTCGATTAATTCCTACCTTAATTTCTTTACAAAAATATCTACAAACTGCTAACAACTAAACGAAACGTCGACACATCACAACTTAAGTGCGACAGCTGATTGCAAAAGTACTTTCTTTTTACTTACAAAACTTATTAAGTACGTTTTTAAAATCAAAATATCAAAAATTTGAAATTTAATACAATAAATTGCGAGGAATACGCCTCAAATATGATTTTTTTGTTGTTTTTAGGCAAAAATAACCAAACTAATTCTTAATTTGACAGTCTTGACAGCTGATGGTAGCGACACCTTTGGTGGATCTTTTACATTACATATCAGGTGCAAAGGAAATCAATGTTCTATTATTAAACAATAAATTATTGATAAAAACAATCGTTTACAATGGTTAGAGGACTGGTAAGATTATAAAAAAAAAGATTTAATTAATATCTAAAAAATTAATTGCTTTTTAGGTTAGTTTTTTAGTTGGTTTATATGCTGGAATCTACGTTAGCCAGAATTACGATGTAAGTTTTAAGAATTATAACGCATTTTCCACGAAAACAGATATGAAAAACAAATACCCTATTATTAAATAATACTATTATTACTACTTCATTGTTTTAGGTTCCTAGAGTTGATGATCCATCTGCTCTTATAGAAAAAATAAAAGACTTTGCTGATAAACATAGGAAACAATAAATAAAAATAATCTTTTATTCCGCATGTAAATAAAGGTTTTATTTAGTTTTAAATTTTTATTACATTCTATTTTCCCCTAATTTCCTAAATAAATTAATTACATTAACAACATTCCACCTCCTAAATATTCCTGTCTTGTCTGCGGCTCTATAAAAGCCAACCAATCACTCGAATGTGTAGGTAACAACCCCATACTTTGACATTTATACAAAGCCAAACCAATATTTATTAAATTCCCTAAAAGATACACACATTTCTGACCGATAGCATTGGAATTTTCAACCATCTTAAAGGTGCTGTTTACTGAAAATAAAGCTTGGATTGGGCGCAAAAACAACATTCCAACCATCATTATTGGAAATATCGAAATCGAATTTCCCGCCATGTACATAATAAATAAATTCATAGGGACTTGCTTCAACGGAGCTAAAGCCAACTCCCAAGATTTCTTTACAATTAAATGACTTGTATCAGTTTTCTTCGTTACTTCACTATGACTTAGAGCCCCCGATGTGCTATAAGCTGGGGGTGATGCTAACGTTGATAAATCAGTTGTTATTAACGATTTATTTGATCTAAAATAAATGATGTATCATATATGAGCAACATAACCTATAAAAAAAAATTTGTGTAAAATATTATTTAATTAATACCTTGTGGATTCTAAGCTCCATTTAAACCGTTTATTCACAGTTTTTGCAGACATTATTAGCTAATTAGCTTAAAAAATAGCACAATTTTCGAAGCTGCAATTTCTAATTCTGCCAATGGTGCCAATTAATAAATTGACAAGAACAAATAAATCAATAATCAACTCAACACAATTTTTAAATTGGTTATTGGTATAATTTAAAATCAAAATTAAAACATCTAACGATTTTTGTTGTTAATAAAAAAGATTAAATTAATATTTTTATTTTACGTAATCATAAATTTCGGTTATTTTTGTAGTCACGGTTGGTACTGTTTGTAACTAAATTAAAACGAATGTTTAAAATAATTAATTTTTTTTAATTAATTGATAAATCGTTGATAAGATTTATGAATAATGAGTTAAAGTATTTTTTTGATATATTTATGTAAATTTAAATCGTATAGATTACGTGTATTTTTTTTATTGGTTTCTCTATTTTGTCAAAGTTGGTGTGACTGTTTGAAAAAATTAGCCAATCGCTCGGCACCGTGTGCACCTAACCTAAAAGATCAAATGAAATTAATATTCACCGAAAAATACTCGTAAATCTTGATAATTTTCTATGTGAAATAATGCAAAATAATCAATGGTTCGTATAGAAAAGATGGAAGAGCGTTTAAACGCAAACAACACATCGCCGAGGAAGCGCGTGGATAGCTTTGTAACGATAAATGAAAAACCCGTAGATGAGATCTCGTTGGATTTCTTTTATAAACCACATACGATCACTCTTTTAGCGATATCAATTGGTGTCGTCATTTACACCGCTTTCGTTAGGTAAGAAGTTAATGTTTATTTTATAATTTTGTGTAATGTCATTGTTTAAATGATTTAAACCATGTGTTTTTTTGTTTTTATTATAAAACGATTTTAATTGATGGAGATATTTTTAATTTGGTTTTAGGTTACCTAAGAATAGATGTTAAATACATTTCGTTACCTAACTTTTGATCCATTGAACTTTAACATTTGCCCTTTTACCCTTTTTTCTTTGATAACGATACAAAGAAAATTTATTTGGTGCTTGTGTTAAAAAAAACCTTTGTTAATCTATTTTATTGTTAATCATAATAATAAAAGTGTTTATATAGCATTCAGGAAGTGTTTGGTTTAAGTTTCAAGGTCTTACTACGTAATAGGCTTATTTATTGTGAAATTTGTGTTAACAAAGTTAGTAATTACATTTTTTTTGTTTTCAGAGACACGAATAATGTCGAAAATAATATATGGACCGGAATGTTATGCTGCATATTTTTCTTCCTCATCATCTCAGTTTTGGCATTCCCTAACGGACCGTTTATCCGTCCTCATCCAGCTGTTTGGAGAATAGTCTTTGGATTTAGCGTTCTTTATTTATTAGGAATGCTTTTTTTGCTATTTCAAAATTACCAAACGATTAGGAATATCTTGATATGGTTAGATCCGAGTCTCTCGGAATTTCACATTGATATGGAACGAGAGTATGGTGTGAATTGTTCGGATATAACCCTTGAAAGAGTTTGGAGTCATGTGGATATATTTGCTTTGGGTCATTTCTTGGGATGGATGTTTAAAGGAATTCTAATTAGACATACAGGGATTTTATGGGCGATTAGTATTATGTGGGAATTCACTGAGGTTGCTTTCGCCCATTTACTGCCTAATTTTATTGAGTGTTGGTGGGATGCCTTAATTCTTGATGTATTGGTTTGTAATGGATTGGGTATTTGGTGTGGATTATACATTTGTAAAAAGTTAGAAATGCGCGAATACAAATGGGCGTCAATAAGAGATATTCACACAACAACAGGAAAAATTAAAAGAGCTGTTTTGCAATTTACCCCAGAAAGTTGGACTTCAGTGAGATGGCTTGACCCTAAATGTTCTTACATGCGTGTCTTAGCCCTTTGCCAACTGGTTATTTTCTGGCAAACTTCTGAATTAAATACTTTCTTTCTAAAACATATATTTGAAATGCCCCCTTCACATCCGTTCGTCACGGGTCGTTTAATTTTGATTGGGGTGATTGTCGCGCCATCTGTAAGGCAATATTACAGTTATATAACGGATACTACTTGTAAAAGAGTTGGGACACAATGCTGGGTTTATGTTTGTATCATGGTGGCTGAAGCTTTACTTTGTATTAAACATGGAAAAGAGCTTTTTGGACAAACTCAAGCAATTAACATTATGGTTTGGTTATTATTGCAATTAATTATTACTGTTTTGTTCATATTTGGGTGCGTGATGTGGAACAAATATCAACCGGAGAAAAGTGGAGATGTCTCCAGGGAGTCTAGTCCTACGAAATACAAGAAAGGAAGAGGGGAAAAGTCTCATATGAGTGGCGACGACGTTGCATTCTCAAAAGAAGACTAAGATTATTTTTTTTGTAGACAATTTTAATTTTTCTTAATAGTTTTTGTTGATTTGATTTGAAATGTGTTTGTTAAAACTTCTAAATTTCTTTTCTTATTTCTAGAGAATTTTTAAATTATTTTTTTTCACAAGATAAATACAAAAAAAAAGAGACTGTTCTTATTAAGCCTGCAATAATTTTTCTAAAACGAATGTAAAGTATAAAAATCTTACTGAAGAGAGAATGTGCCATACTTTAAACCACATTTCTTACCCACATTAATTGCAACCACTATGGATGTGTTTATGTATTTAAAAAAGTCCATCGTACTTAACAAAACGTTTGCAATCGTCTCTACCATTTTTGTTGCAAACAAAGTACGAGAATCTAGTCTGTTTTCTGACAAAATAAACTCACAAATGTACCAAATATACTAAGATTGCCTCGAAATAATTAAAAATGTTGTTAATAATACAGGTTGACTTATAAAAACTAATAAAACGCAATATTTTTATAACGCAACCTGTATTATAAATATAAAAATATAGAAGGAAATTGTTCTGTGTTATTACTCGATAATAAAACGTTAAAACCCATCCTTATATAGTTTCTTATTACATTTTTACAAGATTTTATCACGTGTAACCTAACCTAACCTCAAAATAAAAAAAACGGATTCCAAAGGAGGTAAAGGAAGCGCAGTTGTGGGAATCGGAGCCAGATTATTAGGAAGGTACAAGGCAGTGGGCGTTACCATTGCCACCCCCGCGTCATGGACCAGCCCCTGAATCGCATCTAAATTTAACAAGCTCCTTAAAACTACTCCAAATATAACGACAACATTCCGTTCGCACACAAGATTCTATTTTTACAATAGAAGGTGCAAACCTTTTTTTTTAATGTGTTTACTACGGGTGCTTTATATGTAAAAAAATCGGTAAGAGTATATTATACGATGAAATTTGGCCGCGATGTAGGTCAATCGCACGGCGGGGTGTGGAGGGGAGGTGCAATTTGAGATGGCTAACGCCCCTTGGCTCGCGGGCAATTCAGGACCGTAGTCAGCACATGTTTAAAAATTGGAAAATCTAACTCATTTTCATGAACCCCAATAAAATGTAATATCAATTTGAGAAATTTGAGGTTATGAATTAGTTGTCAATCTGACGTTGATTTCATACATTTAAGGTTATGACGTAGTTGTCAATCTGACGTTTGCATTTCATAAATTTGAGGTTATGTTGTATTTATTTTTAATTTAAAAGGGAATATTATGATCTATTATTGATTTATACATATAGTTTTAGTTATGTTAAAATTTCTGGATTAATGTTAAAAATGTTTAAAAATTGGAAAATCTAGTTAAAATGTAATATCGATTTGACGTTATCAAATATCAATTAGAAATTTGAGGTTATGAATTAGTTGTCTGACGAAACAGAAATCTGTAGAAAGCTGACGTTTGCATCTCATAAATTTGAGGTTATTTTGTATTTATTTTTAATTTAAAAGGTAATATTATGATTTATTATTTATTTATATTTAATTTTAGTTGTGTTAAAATTTCTGGATGAATGTTAAAAATTTTCACTTAGTTTTGATGAACCTCAATAAAATGTAATATATATTTGACGTTGTCAAATGTCAATTAGAAATTTGAGGTTATGAATTAGTTGTCAATCTGACGTTATTTTTGTGGATCTACTAAAAAGTAATAATTAATAGACGATTTATTTTTAATTTAAAAGGTAATATTATGATAAATTATTGATTTATATATATAATTTTTAGTTGTGTTAAAATTTCTGGATGGGATACTGGATTTTATCCCCACCGTTCCCGTGACAAGCTCCGCACTGCTGGCGAATGGCGTGGTTTGGTGTTCGTTTGCCCGGCCTGTGTCGACCAAAGTTACAGTACCAGGGTCGCGTTGTTGGGTGGTGAAGACCGGATCGGTATCGCCGCCCAGAATCACTTAATTGCCGCTGACTTTTCTCACGCCCTCGTTTTCGAAAATCGTCGCGGTGTAGATACCGAAATCTAATCCGTTCAAGTTTTCGTTTGAAGTAATCGTCGTACGACGATATCGATTGCAAGTTGTGTGCGTGTACGGTGACTAGAAAACGGACCCCGAAAACCCGAACAATGCTGATGAAATTCGTGTCGGTCCGCGAGGATGACAAGTGAAGTGTCGCCAATAAAACAGGAGTCCGACGTTGAAAACCAGGTGAGAGGAACACACGAATATCTCGAATACCCCGTGGACCGCGATTTGTTGGTCGACGCCGTGGGTTTAGGGCGGGTGCATCTCGTGACGTGTCTCTGTGGGTGTTGCTTTGTGTTCATAGAGGAGGTCGAGCCACCACTTACCGAGGTGACCACTGGCGGAGCTACTTTTCTTATTTCTCTTCGTCTCGTTCTCTTTCGTTTTCATTTTAGACATTATTCCTATCAGCACCTGGCATATATTCGATGGTTTGTTATGCGCACCTGGCGGACGTTTATTTTTAACCGATAACTGCGACGTCCTTTTCCGTTCCGTTTTGTGTTCAACTTATTTTTGGTACCTACTTTACTCGTTTCTACGAAGGACTGCTGGTTGTTTGCCGTCTAGTAAGGGGACGGATCTTTGGCGGTCCTTGTACCGAATTTAGGGCGACCCTCGGATCGGCCTGTCCTCCAGGGGAGGTATAGGGTCCCGCCTTGTCGACCGTTTTTGGGAGGGAACTCGGCACTAGGCACGATTATAATATTTCCCACCGTCTATTTTCCCCCTTTGCTAACTTCAACAAGGGTACAAAATCCCCTCGTTTAAATCAACTTTCTTACATATTTAATTAATACAATAACCTACATCATATATTTCATTATTCATTACTTTTAAAAAGTGGAATAAAGCATAATCCAATTAATTAAAGTCTATTGTTATTGTAAAAGTGAAAGTACCCCATAAATAATAAATGATTTTGTAATTTATCCTAAACGAAGAGAATTTATCCACGCACGTGTTCAATCTTGAATTTTAGTAACTTCGTAGGTGGTCCTGAGGGGTTAAACCCCGTTCACCCTCCTTCCGCTCGCCACCCACAACCGTTGGGCGTCCCCTTCCCCCGCGGCTCCCTTTGTCCTTCGCTCATCCCATCGCGATCACGTGAAATGCGTTACACGATTCCAAATACTGAAGCCACGCCTCGTCTTCTTCCTGTTTGTAGGAGAGCAAGCCCACCCCGTCGCCGTTGGCGCTGTTGGCGGCCACCTGCAGCAGGATCGGGCCCACCTCGACCCAGCAGCAGGCCGCCGAGAACGCTACGCCCCCACAGGCGATGGCAGGGACTACGACGCCCGTGAAGGGCATGCCCGTCAACGGACCTCAAGTCCTTAGCGTACCCGTAGGCATCCCCCAACAGCTACTCCAACAACAGGGGTTGGCGGCGGCAGCAGCTGCCGCCCAAGGACAAAATCTCGCTTATAATGTTATGCAACCTATGCAAACTGTCACGGTGGATGGACAAGAAACCCTACTAATTCCTGCGATGTCATTAGCAGGTACGTTAAGATGACGTAAAGTTCAAAGCAAATTTTTATAGCAGTACTTTTTTATAGGGGCGGGACAACAACCTCAACAACTTTTTAGTCCAGGCCAAATCATTCGAGGACCCGGTGTACTTCCAGCAAATTTGCAAAATTTACAAAACATTCAAACCGTTCAATTGGCTAACGGCCAAAGTGTTGCTGTAAGACCAACGATACCCCAAGTGATACAATTTCCTATGCAACAGACCATACCAGTGCAAGTGCCTATATCATCCGGAAACGGACAGACAATTTATCAAACAATACATTTACCCATCCAATTATCCACAGCTTTACCCAATATAATTCAGGCGCAGCAAGTTTTACCCCAAGTAGCTAACATCATCACACCAGGCGGTCCGATTCAACAAGTACAAATCGCCACTTCCGTCGCTCAACAAGAAGCGCAGCAACAACCACCAGTCTCCTCGCAAAGCGTTACCGTTCAAGCAGATACTCAACCAATGACTTTCACGGGCGCGAATGGACAACAATTTACGATTATTCCCGCAACTAACGTGCAACAAGTTAGGAGTACAAACCTTGGGAACATTATTCAAGTGCCTAATATACAAACAATACCAACTATACAAAACATACCAGGTAATAAAAATAAAATTCCCAACTTACAATTTCTAATTCCCAAATTTTATAATTTCAGGTTTAGGAAACGTTCAAGTTATAACCCAAGCTCAAACTCAACCTCAACTCACAGTTGGACAACAACTCCAACCAGATCCGCAAGATCCCACAAAATGGCAAGTTCTTCAAAGTATAACAACACCTCAACAACCTCAAGCAACAACAATATCCCCCGGTGTTTTTGTGAACGCTAAAGTGGAATCAGCTCCAGCTCAACCAGCATCTCCTGCAATGGAAAGTAACGAAAAACCGAGAGTACGAAGAGTAGCTTGTACTTGCCCCAATTGTTCTGAAGGAGAACGCCACACAGACCGAAAGAAACAACATATCTGTCATATACCCGGATGTAATAAAGTTTATGGCAAGACTTCTCATTTAAGAGCACACTTAAGGTGGCACACCGGCGAACGACCTTTCGTCTGTAATTGGTTATTTTGCGGAAAACGCTTTACAAGATCAGACGAGCTTCAAAGGCATAAACGCACGCATACTGGCGAAAAAAGATTTCAATGTGTGGAGTGTAACAAGAAGTTTATGAGATCGGACCACCTTTCAAAACATATCAAAACACATCAGAAACAAAGAATAACGGTAAGAATTTTTGTATCTCTTAGATTTTTCTTTATTTTTTTTGTTATCCTTTTCGTAATAAAATGCGTCTTGCGTGATTGGAAATCTGGAGCATTTTTAATTGGAAGGAGTACTTAATTGGAACGAATTTCTGTGATAGACGAATATCTAAATTTTTCAGGATAACGATGATGATGATTCTGAAACAAAAACCGAGGTACAAAACAATGAAAGTGAAGTCAAAATTATTTTTGAAAATACAGAATGTAATCAGGATGAATCAGGAAAGGTTAAAAAATGGTTGTTTGGAAATATGAATTTTAATGATACAGAAGATGATAGGGCAAGTATTATAATTATTGGGAGAATCAAGAACAACAAAGGATTTATGAAGAAGATATATTTCAAATCTTTTTTCTTGTATTTTGCGATTTTGACCGAATTATTTTTTATATGATTTTTAAATAATTATTTTCTTTACAGGAAACAGGCACGTCAACTCAATCAGTATCTGGAGACAGTTCTAGTAATGATGAAAAAATGATGATAACCATAAATGAAGCGGACGAACTCATAATAGCAGATCCTCTCGATTCATGAACTGCTTAGAGTAAAACTAATTTTAATTGATAACTAGATTAATTTTTGTACAGATTAACGTCTTGTTCTGTAAATATTGAGATAATCTTAAGTCGTAATATATTTTTATATTTGCCTGTTCTTGTTAAAATAATTAAAAGATGAAAAAATCTCAACGTTATAAAATTTATTGTATATAAATTTATATAAGGTCATAAAAAATAGTAAATATATGATATACAAATTAATTTGTCATTTATTATGTTTATATTAATACAAATTAATTAATATTTAGTTTAAAAATAATATTTGAAAGATAACTTGACAACTTATCTGTCAAATTTGACATTTACTCTTGGCTCAATAAAACGTCAAATTCATGTTTATAAACATTAAAAACATGTTTAAATCATTCAACTGAAAATAATATGAAAATTTGGATATAAATTAAAGTGTTATAACTAAATTTTTACAATTTAAATAGATCACAAAAATGTATCAACAACCTTGAACAACCTCTAGAGATGGCGCTATTATCACCTCAATCAACATAACTTACAATGTTAAACTATAAAAATACAATAAGGTAAAGTATAGCTTCGATTTTAACCAGCTGTATCATAATGGTTCTCTACTATTCATAAATAGAATAGATAAAGTTCAAATATTAAAAATATAAGTTGAGTTGTTATATGGCGCCATCTCTTATTGCTTGTTACGAACATCTTAAAGTTGTATTAAATATTTAATGTTTAATTTAATTTAAAGCTTACAAAATTATGAAATAATAAGAATGACTCAAAAATGTATAAAAATGGATAAGGACGGTACTTACTGCATAAAGCTAGGGAATATGACCTTGAGAAAAGTTTTAAAATGTTGACACCATCACTAATTAAGGCCTTTAAGGTTAATATTTTGACAGCTGAATTTTAGCTCAGAAAAATTATTTTTCTTCTAATTTATTGATAATATCACGTGAATAATTTATAAGGAATACTCATGTTAGGAAAAATAGATCCCGAAACGAATCAAATTTCTATGCAACAATCAACACCAGTGCCTATAACGTCTGAAAACGGGCAGACAACTTATCAGACAATACAAAAAACTGACTCTATTTCATCAGAAAGAGTAATCATTAAAACAGAGAGTCAACCCATTGTTTTTGTTAATGTAAAAATAGAATTACCAATAATGGAAAAAAAGAAAAACAAAAAGGAACACCTTGCACATGCCCTAATTGTCTAAAAACAGGACGGAAAAAAATAACAGACCCAAGAAAGCTACACAATTGTCATATACCTGGATGTAATAAGGTTTTTTTAAAAACATATCATTTACAAGCCCATTTACGCTCACAGCTGGTGAAAGACCCTACATCTGTAATTGGTTATATTGTGAAAAAAGTTTTACAAGAATAGACTGTCTTCAAAGGCATACAAGAACACATACTAAAGAGGCAAGATTTGTGTGTACAAAGTGTAACATAAAGTTTCTTAGAAAAGATTATTTTACAAAACATATCAAAAAACATCACAAGAAAAGGACAAAAGTAAGTTTTTTTAATTAACTAATTTCTTTATTAATTGAACATTTTTCAGAAAACCAATGTTGAGGATATAGAAGTGAAAGTTGAATTTCCAAACAGTGAAGATGAAATTCTTGGTGAGGTGATATCTGATATAGAAATTAGAGAATCTAATCAGACTGAATCAGGAAAAGTTAAAAAGTGGTTATTTGGAAATCAGAGTTGTGATAGTAACGAAGATATTGGAGTATTTATATAAGCAAAGTTAATTTTTGTATTTTGTGATATTAATTAAACGTTTTTATTGCAGGAAATAAACACATCAACTCAATCAGTATCTGGAGATAGTTCCAATTTTGATGAAGAATTAATGATTCCTATAGATGAAACAAATGATACAATTTTAACAGATCCTCTGGATGTTTCAACTGCTTAGAATAAGTTATTATGTCAGTATTATAATTTTAAATTTAAATATATTTTTATATATATCTTTTCTTGTTAATAAAACTAAAAGATAATAAAAAATCTCAACATTATAAAATTTATTGTATATAAAATTTATATAAGATCATAAAAAATAGTAAATATACGATATACAAATTATTATTTATTTAAATCTTAATTTCTAAGGCTATGTATTTCTGCCATATGTCGTTTATAAGCCTCCCGATAATCAAAAATTTCAGGACATAAATGGCAACAATACAAATTGAGCAGGTCAGAATGCATCAGTCTAACGTGGTATTTTAAAGCTGATTGATTTGAGTATGTTTTTCCGCAATGGGGACAATTTCCACATTGAGATCCGTGTTGAGATTGGGAAGTTCGCAAATGCGTTATTGTTTCTGTTGCAACGCTTGGATCGAGGGGTATTTCTATTGATTCTTCTTCCACTTTTATTAAGCCACAGGATTCGTTCGATAAATCTATTGATGGTGAATTATTTAAATTATCTCGAGGTATTGAGAGGTGTTTTGCCAATTCTGATGTTGATTGAGTTTGATCGTTTTGAGTATGTTTTGATGTTGATCCTACAATAATTTTCTTTTAGATTAATAGTATATTTTATGTGAGTAGAATACTTTGTCCACAACTACTATTCAAATTGATTCCATAAATTTATTTTTTTTAAATAAATTTTTGAATAAAATTTAAACGTCAATGTGACACAAATTCAATGTCACCAACTGTAGCTAACTTCACAACAATTTGTCTAAATTAAATGTCAATTTTATGAAATGTCATATTTTTTTTTACAAAAATTAATTAATTTATGTTTAAATCATACGAAAAAAGGATTTGTTTGTTTTTTTAATGGCAAATCTTTAGAAAGTCCTAAAAAATTAAATTAAATTGACGTTTTTTGAAATTTTGACGTTTCAAATAATTATTCAAGTCTGTCAAATTGATTTGCTATTATTCACTCTGTGAAAAATGATTACCCTCTTGTTTTAGAAAACTCATTTATAAGGTAGTCGTGGACAAAATTAATTTAATTTTATATAATTAAACCTGTAGTTGTCGTGTGTGATAATAAAGATCTTTCTAAAATACTTGAAGTATCCTTATTTTCTAAAACGCTCTCCAAAATCGATGGTTTATTATCACTAATTGCTGAAAACCCAACGTTTTCGTTAACGTCGGGATGAAGATGTCTTTCTTCAACTTCCACCTTAATTTTTTCAAGGGGGATTTCTTTTCGTCCTGCTTCCTGAATAGTTTTTCTTTCGTCTTGTTTTAAATAGTCTTTTTTCGCGATTTTCGTAGGTGTTACTTTAATTCTTTTGGCTACTGATTGTTGTAATTCTGAATCTTTTTGCTTTGGAGGTTTTGGTTTCCCCACATCGGAACATCCCAATAATCCCGAGACTTGAAGCACTTCCGCCGTTTGTAGGAATGAATGTAAACGATCTTTGGTTACTAACACTTCCCCGTGGTACATAAAGTTAAGAACTGCTAGTAAATCATCATATAAAATGTCTTTTAAAATCACAATGGGATGAGAACACGGATTTTCCTGTTACAAAATCAAATTAATTAATGAAAACAACAAAATTAAATGATAATTACCTTAAAAACGGTTCGAAAATAAGGACTACAAGCTGATAAAATTATTTTATGAGCTTTAACACTAAGGCCTTCTGTGGTTAGTGTAACATCTGCTAAGTCTTGTGTAGTTTGAAGGCTTTCGAAGGCTGATATGATGCTAGCTTGAAAATTGTTCCATTTTAGGCAGAATTGGTCCACAGCCATGATTTATTTACGTTTTTTTTAATTATATTTCAATAAATTCATTACAAATTGTCACGTTTTCGACTTAAAACATAACCTATTTCTAGCTGAGTTCGTAGACGAAACGGTACTTTTCTCGGTAACTCAAAATTATTGCGTTCCTTATAAATTATTGTTAGATTAGACGAATAAATTAATAAAACCGCGGGGAAACCGTCCAAAATAACAAATAATACTACGTCACACGACGACCCGATCTGGTGCAAGTGAAAAGAAACTTTTTAACATTGAGAATTCGACACAATCGTGCATTTTTTCCTTTATTTGTAATAGATTTGTGCCGATTCGCACTAAATACTTTCAAACGACTTTTTTTTCGCTTACTAATTAATTAACTCAACGAGGTTTTGATATCGATGCGTATTATGAAACGTATGCCTTATCATCAAATTGACCTTCATTCATTCCTACACACGAATTTGTGTGAGAACTGTTTCATTAAATTTAAGAAATGATTGAAAGAAATCCCGGATGTGATTTAGGTAATATCAAAAATCCATCTGCAACATTCTAATACATCAAGTTTAATATTTTAGATTTGGAGTGGTTAAAAAAGGTTTGTGTTAATTTATCAGCTGTTAACGAACAAGCCAAACACTTGATTGGTTCAAAACCGTTAAAAGACGAATATTACATCGCTTGGCTTCTTAAAGCAATCACTCTGATTGATTTAACAACATTAGCTGGAGATGACACCAACAGTAACGTTACAAGATTGTGTTTAAAGGTATTGAGTAAACCATTTAAAATGCTTGGATTAAAGTTTTAATTTTTAGGCTTCTCGCCCGATACCAGAAGATCTTTTAGAGTACCTTGGTTTTTCTTATGATCAAAAATGTCCAATTCGCACAGCAGCCGTTTGTGTTTACCCATCGAAAGTGAATGATGCATCAACAGCTTTAAAAAAAATGGGGTTACATGGAAAAATTAATGTTGCATCAGTAGCAACTGGGTTTCCAAGTGGTCAATTTCCTTTACATACAAGACTTGATGAAATTAAATATGCAGTTGGTGAAGGAGCTACAGAAATTGATATAGTTATTGATAGAAGTTTGGTTTTAACCGGACAGTGGGAATTGTTGTATAAGGAATTAAAAGCAATGCGGGAAGCTTGTGGGGAAGCTCACATGAAAGCAATTTTAGCAACTGGTGAATTAACCAATTTGAATAATGTTTACAAAGCTTCTTTAATAGCGATGATGGCTGGCTCTGACTTTATTAAAACATCAACTGGGAAAGAAAGCATTAATGCTACTTTACCATTTGGAATTGTGATGTCTAGAGCAATTATTGATTACTACCAAAGAACTGGATATAAAGTAAGATAATAATTTGTTGGTTCTAATTATTTTAATTAATCTTTTTTTAGGTTGGATTAAAACCAGCAGGGGGTATTAGAACTAGCACAGATGCAATTAATTGGTTAGTTATGGTTAAAGAACTGTTGGGGAAAGAATGGTTGTCTCCCGAATTGTTTCGATTTGGAGCTTCTGGGTTATTAGGTGACATTGAGCACTCATTGTATAAAGAAGTGACTGGAAAAACTCCTGTTCCATATGAATTTACTATGGGTTAATTAAGATTAACGCAATAAACTATTATTTTTTATCATATAAGAGTTTTTTTTCAAATTTTTGACAACCTCATAACAAACCATTCCCAAATCATTTAATTTGTAAATATTATTTAATTTTATCAAGTAATTGTTTATGTATTAAATATTACTTAAGAATAAAGTAATTTTAAGAAATATTTTGATTATAAATTAAATATTTATTATTTCAATTACGTTTCATAGATGGCGCAGAATATGAATATGAAGACATTCTAACCTAAAAAGTTATTTGATTTTGAACCGTTAAACATGTTTTATCATGTAAATATCTTCTAAATCATAATAATTTTTTAACTGTAACGTAAAATTATGTTTTGTTGCATGTAGATTTATATATAGACACGAAACATTTCTTCACCCACAATATTTCAGACCCCAATTGCTTGAAAAAGTAAAACTAAGTTGTATACGGAAGTAGAATTAAAAAAATGTTATCAAGTAATTGTTTATATATTAAATATTACTTAAGAATAAATTAATTGTAAGAAAAATTTTGATTATAAATTAAATATTTGATTATTTATCATTTCAATTATGTTTCATAGATGGCGCCAATTAAGAAAGCTTATGAAGACATCCTAACCTAAAAAGTTGTTTGGTTTTGAACCGTTAAACATGTTTTATCATGTAAATATCTTCTAAATCATAATAATTTTGTAAATGTAACGTAAAATTATGTTTTGTTGCTTGTAGATTTCATTAGAACACGAAATACTTCTTCACCCACAATATTTCGGACCCCAACTGCTTGAAAAAGTGAAAACTAAGTTGTATACCGAAGTAGAAGGAACTTGTACTGGAAAGTAAGTTAATGTAAATTATGATAAAACCTTTATAAATTGATAATCAAGGTGAGATCGATTTTTTAGATATGGGTTTGTTATTGCTGTGACAACTATCGATAATATTGGAGCTGGTTTGATTCTTCCAGGACAAGGTTTTGTGGTGTATCCAGTTAAATACAAAGCGATAGTGTTTAGACCTTTTAAAGGGGAGGTTTTGGATGCTGTTGTAAGACAAGTTAATAAAGTAATGAGTTTAAACAATGGTTATTGCTTGGTTATAAATTATTTTTATTTTTAGGTTGGAATGTTTGCTGAAATTGGACCGTTATCCTGTTTTATTTCGCATCACTCAATTCCCGCTGAAATGGAATTTTGTCCAAACGTAAACCCGCAATGTTATAAAACCAAAGATGAAGATGTTGTTATTCATTCAGAAGGTGAAATTAGATTGAAAATTGTCGGAACTAGAGTTGATGCAACAGGAATTGTAAATAACTTTTATTTATTTTAATAATTTACTAATATTATTTTTTTAGTTTGCTATTGGTACATTAATGGACGATTATTTAGGTCTGATCAGTAATTAAAAGTAAATTAATTAAGAAAAGGAATTAAAAGTATTTTATTAGAAAACAATTTTTTTAATTGTATTTTAAACACCAACAAATTCGCCTTTTTCCAACTTTTCCAAATAATCTTTTCTGCAACTCATCTCATCAACGGGTCTGTTATAAGCTGTCCACACCGGTTCCCCAATAAACAATCGTTTTGCTTTAATATAATTCTTATTATCCAAAGTAAATCGATGATATATCCCCCCAGGAAGCACCAACATATCACCAGGCGTTACCTCCACCCTAATCCATTCATCATTTTTATCCCGAACATCAAAATAGCCAGATCCTTCAATGCAAACGCGAATTTCTTCGTCAGTATGAAGATGTTCAGTATAAAAAATTTTTAATTTTTCTTCATAATTCGCCAAACATTCTTTGGAACAAATTAGTTCATCTTCAAATGTATACCCATTTTTCTTTTTAATCTCTTCCAAAACACCATCAGAATCAATTTGTTCTATATTTAACTTAAAATATTGCACCCCAGTTAAATCATGTAACTTTTTTAAATCAACGAATTCAGGTGGATTTTTATGGTGTTCATTCCTTTGATCGGATGGATCATTATCCATGTACCAAGCTTGAACCATTTTTAAAAACTAAATAACAATATGATAAAAATTTATAATAAACTTAAAGGTTATCTTATGTGTTGACATTTGACATGTAAACACATGTAAATAAGTTATGACGACATCTATTGGTTAAATTTTTTAATAATAATTTACGAATTTGTCTGGAGATGGCGTTCATTTATTTATAATAAAAATATTCACTGTATTTATTTAATTACTTGGAATTAACATTAATTATACAAAAAAAAAGTTTGTATTGAATTAAATAGGTGGTAATTGTTCGTCGGGACAAACTCTCATAATTTTATCGGCTAAAATCATTTTGTTGACCATTTCTTGTTGGTTTCTACCGCCACCGATTTTCGCCAAAAAGAACGCTTTTTCGAGTAAATCTCGACTGGCTTTCGGTAAATACGGCGGATATTCGACCCTAAAGCGTATTATCAAGTCAGATTTTTCACCTGGAGTTTCTAAAATGGGCATTCCTTCGTTTGGAACAACTTTTTCATAACCAGGACTATAATCAAAAGAAATTAAATTGATCTTAAATAAAGTTTTGATCAAATTTGTTAATTTACTTAACAATGTCCGTAATGGGAATTCGTATAATTCTATGGTCTATTGTATTTACTGTTATTGTTGTGCCTAATAGTGCTTCTTGTAGTGTTATCTCAGCTTCTGTAACTAAATTATCATCTTCGCGGACGAAGTATTCGTGAGGTCGATCTTCGGTTATAAAAATAATATCCGCTGTAATTAAAAGAATCTTTTTGAAATTTGTTTTTTTTTTGCATTCTAGTAATCAGGACTAATAATGGAGAGGTCAAGTATGGTGGGTACCGCAAAAAATAAGCTACATCACACCGTCAGAAGATGTAAATAATTCGCACCCTTTTTCAAAAAGCCAGAAGAACGTTTTCTTAAGGAAGTACTCCAGAAGAATGGTTCAATGGGCCAACATAGAAAAGAAGCTACAGGCAACAGATACGGTAAGTACCCCAGGTTGTGGGCTTCATTTGATTTCTTTTTATTTCAAGTGTAACGGAAATGATAAAAAATGTTTGCAAAATATGTAACACATTGTTTGCAAAGTATAAACTTTCTCCGTTAAAGGAGTCAGAAGGACTGCACGAAACTTTTGTTGATTTTTACCTGCTATATGAGCTGGATTTTGATCCCCTTCTTCAGGAAAAACAATTTCAGTTCCCCTTCTCAATCCCGGTTTAATAGGAATCGATAAAATTTTTTCTCTAACCTCAGTTTGAATTTTATCGGGCCCCATAAATTCCAATCGTCGTATTTTCATTTTTTTAACCCCCCCAAAAAACACTTCGTGCAACGTTAAAGCCAAAGGATGATAAATAGGCGGTTGCTTTTTGCAAATTCCCCTCCCTTCCGGCAAATCATAAATTTTCGGCGGATTCAAAATATAATCCATTAAATCGGCGTAAGGAGACGCGGTCCCAAAGAAATCTTTGTACGTTTTCATCGGATCCCCGTGATAATGATAGGGTTTTATATAATCTTGTGGTCCGGGAACTCCATTTTTTAAACCTTCCTCTCCGTATTGATCGAAAACGGCTCTTATTAACGGATTTGAGAGGACATCGTACGCTTCGCATATTAACGTGAATACTTGACGGGAACTTCTATGGTGTAATCGTTCGGGATTAAATTCTAATGCTAATGTTCTGAAACTAAAAAACTTAAAAGTAGGAAAATGTGAGTTGGGATTAATTAATTTACGCTTTTTTAATATCTAAATCTGTGCTATTTCTTGGTATTTGTAAGATTCCGTAATAATCTAAACCCATTTTGATTTTTGAAGTCAAAATTTGACGGTTTATGTCACATTATAGTATTATGATCAAAGTGGAATGTGGGTAATTAAAACATAAAAAATCAGTCAGCCCTTCTTCTTTATTAAATCGAAAATATAAAGTAGTGGACAAGTCGCAGTATAACTCTCTTTATCTTTGTTTATTTTATTTACTTATAATAATAAGTTTTTTTTTATTTGGTAGATTTTTTTTGTTTGTAATAATTAAATATAAACCTAGAAATTTCGTAAAACATTCTATAGTTTTATTCTTTGTTGCAATTCTTATACAAAGTGGACATTAATACAATCGGTTTCAATTTGTCGTTTTGTTTCCCTTATTTACTGCGGTTTTTTTTAATGTATAAGCCGCTGTTGCGCCATTTTCGGCGCGCTTATAACAAGGCACACAAAATTACACAGTTTAGAAGATTTCTTTTTTGTTCCTCTTCGTAGCCGACTCCTTCTCGTTTACAATCGTTTCGGACAGAGAAGTTTTATTTAAAAAAAAAAGGAAAAAAATAAAACGGCGATATCATGTTTCTCGCAACAGCACCAACGTTCTCGCAAATATATTACGATAAAAGGAATTTGCGTTATATAATTATTTAGTTTTTTTAAATATAATTAGAATTTACCTAAAAATAGTAACGAATTTTTTAAAAACGCCTCTATTTAATTAAGTTTTTAATAGACGCATAAATGTAAGGTAAAAAGACGCTCAAAACTTTTCTAAAACACGCACAATTTTTTTTAATCTCATTTAGTCGTTATCAACATTCCTTTAGAATCAATTTTTTTTGCATTTACACTTATTATCATCGTTGTTTTAGAAAAATTTTGAAATCATCGTTCAAATTTTGACACGTATGTATTTTTTTTTTAATTCACATTAAAAGCTTTATCGCTTTTTCTTTTATAATTTTACACAATAACATACTCGTTTCAATGTCAATTTTGATTCCTTTTTATTTCAAAACGGAAATACAAAAAGATTTCAACTAGAAAAGAATCAAAATCAACACTGAACGTTTTCAACAGATCAATAAGATAAATTACAAATAAATACTATAAAATTTTTAAAACTCCAACAACGAAAATGTCTCCAAAACACATCGTATCTCTTCAACAACACATTTTTAGCATTAATCACGCGATATTTTTTTAAAAATTTTAATTTTTAATAAAAATTGGGACTTCGCGTCCGCAAAGTTCATTTTTCTCATTTCGTTTTCCTTTTTCTTGGATATCTCAAAAAATCGTCTTCTTCATAAAACGGAATTTCGGCGTCTCACCAGACGCGCTTCCGTGTACTATGTCAGAATCTTGTAAAATATAATCGCCAGAGAGATATTCACAAATAAGACAACAATCACCAGCTGTTGGCGCGAGAACCAATCCTGAAAAAAAATTAAACAAAAAAAATACAAATACTTTAAATTAAAAAAAAATGTTCTGCTTGATTTCAACATACAAAATGCACAGAATTATTTAAAATAAAATAAATAAACATGGAACGGACACATAACTTTAGCTGATTATGCAGACAAATAGGTGCCATCTTTTATTTGTTTCGAAGATTTCGCGAAAAAATTTGGTTTTTATTTATTTTTTTGTTAATTCGAAATGGAAAGGTTATTAATTTAACATGCTTTGCTTAATTTATTTCTACGACTGGGAAGTACAATAAAGTTGCTACAATGAACGGAAACGCATCAGTCGCCTACTATTGTCGATCAATACTAATTTAGTTCTTCAAAGTTAAAAGCTTTATTCAAAATTCATGCTGGTCTAAATGCTGCCAATATTGCAAAGAAAAAAGAAGTAAACAAAATGATTTTTTTTCTTTGAAACACCGGAAAGCTTTTTAAAAAGCGTGCAGTGTTAATAGATTTGTTTTAGCTGCGGTTAGAAACGCAATCATTTCTCAACTTTGCTAAAACAGATTTGTAAAAAATTAATTAAGATTAGGATTTCTGGTCAAAACTATTTTTAACTCAGTTTTTTAGTCAAAACTATAATTGTTGTGTTATATCGTTTTTACACTTGTATTAGTTTCTTAGAAACTTTACTAGCTTCATAAGTCATAAAAACCATCAAGAATTGCTGTAAAGTTTAAGCACTGCAAGTTAAAAGTATTTCACTCTTTATTAATCCTACTGTGCAATATTCGCCAAAAAGTCAGCAACACGAAATGGAACGTAATTAGCTGTGTCTTATACGAGATGGTCAAAAATTGAAATAACTATGACATTAATTACTGAACCTCAGCCGCCAGCAACTTCGGCTTGAAGGAGATTTATTTCCAGCAAATTTTCTTATAATACTCTCAAAATACTTGATATCCTGAAATAGTCTGTGTTTACACCTCATTCTTAAGGTATCCTCAAAGAAATAATTTTCCAATCCAGTTATTATCCAAATAATTTCGTACATCTAGTGTATTGTGCGCCAGGACTAAGTTCAGCCGCAAGTTTCCTTGGCTTTATGAAGTGATACTGTAGACCCTGTAGTAATTAACATAAAATCAACCTGAAACTGGTTATCAAATTGTAGCGCCTTGGCTTTATGAAATGAGGTTGTAAATCTTTTGGCCAATTTAGCCGAGGTCGCTTGTGCCCGAGGCCCAGAAATTAAAGTTAATAAGACCTCGGCTTTATCAATTGAAGTTTTGATCTTTTGGCTAATTGATTAATATTACATCTACTTCAATTTTTGATCATCCTGTACAAGATAGGCCAATACAATTAAAGATGGGAAGTGGTGACCATCTTGAAAATATTTTAGAACGAAAGATAAGAACATCCAACACTTTTTGGCAGACACTGTATATATTAGTATCCTATTACCATGCTAGGATTGAAAATTGTTTGAGTAAAAGCTAAGAAGGATAAAGGTAATAAACGGGACGAATATTGGCAAGATGGACCTATTTTAATAGCTGTTATCAAAAAATAATATTAAGTCATTATCATCATTCAGCACTAGATACTGCTATGTATTGCTTACAGCAGACTAAATATTGTTGATATAAGACTAGATATTGGTGGCAGAAAACGACTTACAGAAAATTAGATGCTGCCAATAGAAGACTTTATTCTGCTTGCAAAAAACTAGATACCAAAATAGCAATATCAATAAGCCGCTAACAAGTTTCTGCAACTGAATTTAAGTCAAAAGGCATTATAAAATATAAATTGGATACTTTAATTTTTAGTAGCTTTGACTGAAAAGCTAAGTTAAACTAACTTGTTCTGACTAGGAAATTTTAATTTTGATATATTTCTAGTTTTAGTAAACTTATTGTTATTTTGCAAAACATGTTTTCTATAGTCTAAAATGTTAACTAATAACACTGTTGGTTATACTTCTTGTTGGTTGAGCAGCATGGAAATGGTAAATTTTAAATATTAAGACCTTCCTCTTCCTATCAATAACAATTATTTATATTATAATAACAAAAAATTTAATCAGTGTTTTTAGCTAACCAAAATTGTTCTCGACGTCATCGTTTTCTCTAAAATGTACAAAACGATTCTTTGCATCTCTAAAAAAAGAACCTAGTGAATAATGAAAGTGTGAGCCAAACACAGCCAAACGATAAAAATAATAGTGAATCAATTTGTAACTTTGAAAATATTTAAATTTTCAAAACTGAAAAAAAATCTTATATATTAACAATGGCAACATAAATCAGTAATTAACCTTCCAGTACATGCGCTTATATAGTAACATGGAATTTGAGTCCGCAATAACATGGCTAATACTAAACTAATACTAAATCTAGAACTAGAAACATTCAGGTTTAGCCTTGCGTCTCTTAAAACGGCTAAACCCGAATGTTTTTAGTTCTAGGTCTAGTGTTAGATCTAGTTCTACTTCAATGAATAATATATATACAACAATGTAATTAGCAATGCATTAGCATTAGAACTAACACTAGACCTAGAACTAGAAACATTCGGGTTTAGCCGTCTTGAAAGACGTGCGGCTAAATCCGAATGATTCTAGTTCTAGGTATAGTGTTAGTTCTAGTTTTACACTAGCACTGTTCCTAGAGCTAAGACTAGACCTAGAACTAGAATCATTAGGGTTTAGCCAAACCCGTATATTTCTAGTTCTAGGTCTAGTGTTAGTTCTAGTTTTACGGCAATAAAAATATTCAATAAACCTTAATTCAATACATATTTGTATTCATTTAAATATTGTCAATTGAAGCAGCTAGCCAACAAAAGATGGCGTTGGTGCGAAATCAAAAACTGAAATTGCGCAGACAAAAAGTTTGCGGGCGTGTATTGAAAGGTTAAATAAATGAAAATAATGATTACATACACAACACAATTTTCTAATTCCTTCTTTTTTTTTAAATTCTAACATACCTAGAGTTTCTCTGTTTTGCGTAGCAATAGGAACAGACAAAAATTACGAAAGTTCTTAGTCAGTAGGCGACAGTCGAAAGTAAAAGATCAAAAAGAAAAATACGGATCGATTAAAAATGAAATAAAACAAGAAAAACAATATATAAGAATTGGAAAAGTAATGAGAATCAAAATATTTGAAAAAATTAAAAAAATGCGCGAAAAGAAGTTCTTTTAGCGAACTTAAGGAGGATAATATCGGAAAACGAAGGTTATTTACACGCGAAAATCGATGCGTGACGATCGCCATCGATGCTTTTTCTAAAACATACTCTAAACAAAAAGAAAATAACGTTTTAATTTTGTTCTTACCTTCACTTGGGGACTGACGAGGTATAAAAGTGGATTCGCACGAAGTCGTTCTCGTTCTTCCGCTTGTCTTCGAACTTCTTCGCGTCTAGCCGAACCTAACATCGAGACTTCTTCTCGGGCCATCGGTTCTGTGCTTCTGGGTAATTCTTGAAAATCTGGCATCGATTTTTTTCTTGATAAGGATGTTGGGGTTAAGTTCTGTGAAGATAGGTTCAAAAAAAAAATTCTTTTTGTTTCGGAAAAAGTTTTGTTTGATGTGTAGGAAAAGAAGAAGTTCAGAAAAAGTTGAAGGTGAAGACGATTGCGTAACGATTGAATTCTTTTTAATCTTTTTAATTATTTATCTTTATCTTTTTTTTTAGTTTTTGGAAGAGGAAGGTCATATGACCATTAAAATTATAATTAAATCAAAATAATCCCGATTATTATTTTAGTATGAGGTAACATACCAGGTTAAAAATAACTATTTTCGTATTTTCTTTATGAACAATGCCAAATTTTTTTTTTAAATAATTTTTTTAGGGGAAATGATTCATCAAAACATTAAAAAGCAGAGGAATTTTATAAGCATAAATTAAAACCTACTTTTTTAATTCTTAATATTAAAATAATAAATTTTGTAAAGTATAAACCCGCCTTAAACTGACTCAAAAAATGATTTTCTTATTCTTTTCCCCCCACGCAAATATCTGTTGCTCTATCTCTTTTTTTTTCTACCTCAATGGGAGGTGGTGGGGTGTCTATCCAGCTTTCGGATGCCCTCCTCGCCATCAGTGCAGGCGAGAACATGAGGGCTTCGTCCTCATCGTCGTCGTAGCGGGACCACATCGTCCCAAAGCAACACCACTCTCTCTCAATACGATGCGATCTCGCACCACACGTCCCGTTTACTGGCTGTTGCTATTTGCGTCTCGTTCGGATTTTCATGCACTCAATGCGCATGAACTATCCCGACTTACCTTGGCTACGTTCCCGATACCGCCGCCACCACTGCCACCATATCCCGCGGGCACGTGCAGACTTTCCGTTCTTTTCGGCTGATTCAACGACGGAACTATATCTTGACCCAAACTTCGTTTTTTCAATATGATGTCTTCAAACGGCGGCGAATTCATTTGAGGAGGAGACGCCGCCCTTGTTGCTATACCTCCAATACCCCCAAGACCAACTCCAATACTACTTCCAATACCAACTCCGATACTTGGATTATTCTGAAGTGGTGGTGAAGGACCACCGTTTCTTGTGGGGTTTGAAGTTTGATTTGGATTTAGAGATGTTGGTACCGGCGTTGTACCTCTTTGGACGTTTTCTAATGGTGTTGGTGGGCGAGTTCTGTCTATGGAAGGTTGACGAGAACCACCTAACAAAAGAAAAAGAAATTAATTCGATTCTAATTCCGGTCCTAATTCTAAAACTAACATTAGAACCAATGCTACACCTACAACCAGAAGTAGAATTGGTTCTGAGAAGTAGAATTCGGGTTTAGCCGTCTTAAGAGACGTGTGGCTAAACCCGAATGATTCTAGTTCTAGGTATAGTGTTAGTTTCTAGGTTTAGTGTTAGTTCTAGGTACAGTGCAAGTGTAAAACTAGAACTAACATTAGACCTAGAACTAGACACATTAAACTAGAACTAAACCTAAACTTTAAACTAGAACTAGACCTAAACCAGAATGTTTCTAGTTCTGGTTCTAGTTCTAGAATTAACACTAGAACCAGAAGTAGTTTTAAGAGAAAAACGACTAAACTCTAGATCTAGTGCTAGTTTTTATTTCAATAAAAATATAATCCGTTATATCAAAGTATTTATTTTACCTAATCGTTCAGCTGCTCTGGAATATCTATCCACGCTACAATCTCTACTTGGAGGTCGTTTGTAATGATCAAAATGATCAATGGAAGATTGTTGTTGAGTATTTCCTAAATACGGTCGATCGGCAGAAACACGACGCGATAATCTTCTCCCAGCAACACCCGGAAGCTGCATAGAATCGTTTCTTGGTCTATTCGTTTCGATTGGTTCGTTATTTTGTATATTTTGAATAGGATTATTCGTCGGTGGAGGTGCCGCGGAGATATGATTGCCCATAACGGGATTATTCGTCGGTTTCGTTGATTGGATGCTTGGTGCTTGGAAGTTCTTTTCTTGAATACCCATAGGTGATGGATTTGTGTGCGTGTATGTGGGGATTTGCATGGAATTTGGATTATTCATTTGATGATTCATATTTGATTTCATATTTGGATTCATACTTGGATTAATATTAGGATTAACATTAGGATTGGCGTTTTGGACTATCGTTGTTGACGGATTTTGATTCATAATCGTGTTGAAGTCTTTTTGATAAGCGGGTAAATCCGCGTATTTTTCCTTATTTCTTTCGGCTTTCGCCCGCCATCTATCCAACCCGGGTTGTTTGAAATCGGGGGCGTATTTTTTCGCTACACCCATCGCAACTTCCGAGTCTTCCCTGGCATGAGCCGCTGCAATATCAGCTTGTTCCGCTTTGCCTCTTGCCGTGGCCGTTCTCGATATGGCTATATCTGCTTTTTGTAACGCTATTTTTGATGCTCTTTGCGCAGCGCCAACAGCTGCGTCTATTCTTTCTCGAAACTTAGCCGATCGCATCAAAAAGAGATGCTTTTTCTTGGGATTCGTGATGAGGACGTTGTTTTTGTATTTTCCTTCTTCTTTTTCGCCGTTGCTGAACGTTGTTACACCGTAGCCGTATTTCTTGTTGTTGTACCACTCCCCCTCGTATTTGAGTCCGTCTGATCTTTCACTTACACCGAAACCTGTTCTTTTGTCGTTCTTCCACTCACCCATGTATGTTTCTTTTACGCTTGGATCCATTTTCTCATCCTAAATTGATTAAGATATTAATTCCTAACTAAATTAAGTTTGAGTCAAGTTAAATTAACCTCTACAACAAAACTAGCATTTGAATCTGAAGGGACGGAGGTGTTAGTTGCTCCTGATTGGGCTGATCCCATACTCGTCCAAGAAGCTGTAGATGCCGTGGATCTTATACTACCAGCTCCGGCACCCCGTTTTTCTATATCACCAGTGCTTCGTTGTCGCTTTAATTTCCAACCCTAAAAATGTTTTTTTAGCAACAAATCCTAACAAAAAGGAATAATAATACCAAAATTCCTTTTTTGGTATTACTCGACCCAACCGATCTTCTTCTGGCGGATGGTTCCGAAGAGTCCATCTTCAGTACGAATCCCCCCCTTGTATCATCAACGCGTTTTTCGCGTTTATCTTGATCGACACTGCCACCTCCACCCTCGTTGCTTCTTAATGATGTCATTGAAGCTCTGATGGCTTTGCTCGCCCTGAACTTTGAGGCGCGTCCAAACGCGGCACTCGTTCTTACTCCGTAACCGTGTCGCATGCCTCTTAGCCATTGTCCCTGGTATGTCCCTGAAAATAATTTAAAGAGAGCGTGGCTCGTTGCAGCCGAAAGAACAAGTATAACGAGATCTCGCCTCGATCCCGCACCGAAATAGAACGCATTATCTGGGTTATATTTTGGTATGCCTCGTAGAATGTGAACGAATTAAATTAAAAAAGCTTACCTTCATCTGCATATGTTTCTGAGCCGTACCCATCTTGTAAACCGTTCGCCCACGTCCCCTCGTATTTCGCAGCTGAAGTGTTTGATTGACGCACTCCATATCTCCCTTTAAATCCTTGAGTCCATTCTCCCCTATAGATCCATCTACCCCTAGTTTCAACCCCTAATCCGTGTCTTTTACCGTTTTGCCATTGACCTTCAAATGTACTCCCACTGTAATGATGAAAACGGGGTTAAAAAATTATTATGGTAAATTAAAAAAAACAAGGTTGTAATTTTATGTGATATTTTTATTAATGCAGAACAAATTAATACAAAGAAAAAAATAAAGTGCTTAAGTGTACAATAAATAATAATTTAAATTGGTGTTAGTTGGTGATGACTAATTTTAATTTTCCACTGATTTGCGATTTATTTTTTCGTTTAATTCTAAGAACGGGAACGTAATATTCATCGAAATTATTTTGTTGATGCGTTGTTTGTTTCTTTTCAATAACTCCGCCAGATAACAACTTTAACAACACATTCTCCTTTTTCTCATTTTCATCCTCGCCCAAATTTGAAGGTAACTCCCAATTATATCCTTTTGGATTATCACAAACTTGAGTACCATTAACGTCGTTAAAATTTCTTTTTTCCATTTCTTTTCTCAATTTACTCACTAATTCCTCTATATTATTAGTAACCCGTAACAGTTCCAGGTCTGCTATCGTTATTTTTAGTAAAACAGAAACGATCACGGTTAAAACGGGAACTGATATCTTCATTTTGAAAGAGTTGAGTGCGGTTTATCGCGCATTCGTTTATAAAGTCTATTTACAAGGTTTTTCTTCTAAATGTTTATAAACAAATATGTTATTTAAAAAATAATATCGATGTCATTAACACAATACATTAACTAATATTCTTAGAATTGCAAATTAGCGGAAATTAAATAAAATTTTATAATTTAAGCGTTAACTTTTCCAAAAAATAATTTCATGTAATGATCGATCGTAAATGTTTCATTGGGTAATCTTCTTATAACTGGGATGTAATAATCACCTCCACTTAAATCAGAGGGATTCATTTGAATTAATTTGGGACACTTTGGGACTGATTCTGTTGTTGGGCTATCTAAGCTTCTATTTAAAAGATCATCTTGGTTATTCAAGATTTTTGAATCATCAACGTTTTGGCTATCAGATTTTAAGTTATTTGGAATTGATTGTTTTGTTGTTATTTCTGTTGGAATATTAGAATTTGTTGTTTCAGTACTAGATCCTTTATCTGTTGTTTCTTCTTCTACCCCAAAAATAATTTCATCTTGATTTGAGTTAATCGATGTGGTTGGATTTTCTTCTAATATCGTTGTTGAAACATTTTCATTGTGTTTAGCAGTTGTTGTTTCTACTTGAGAATCGGAAGTTTTTTCAACATTAACCGATGTGGTTGGATTTTCTTCTAATATCGTTGTTGAAACATTTTCATTATCTTTAGCAGTTGTTGTTTCTACTTGAGAATCGAAAGTTTCTTCAATATTAGCCGATGTGGTTGGATTTTCTGCTACAATCGTTGTTGATTCTTCGTTTAACATTTTTGTATCTTTACTTGGGTTCGTCGTTATTTCTTCAGTTTTTGTTTCAAAATTTGTAGTGGATGTTAGATCTTCACTTAAATCAGTTGAAAGATTTTCATTATCTTTAGCAGTTGTTGTTTCTACTTGACCATCAGAAGTTTCCTCAATATCATTAACCAGTGTGGTTGGATTTTCTGCTAACATCGTAGTTGATTCATCATTAAGTGTGGTTTCATCTTCAGACTTAGTAACCGTTTCTTGTGTTGTATTCCCCAAAATTTCGTCCATATTTGAAGTGGTTGTTTCTTCTTGGGTGATTTTTCTTGGGGTTTCTTCTGGAACGATCGTGGAGGTTGTTGTTAATTCCTCATCAATCTTAGAAGCCGTTGATTCTGACACATCCTCATTCCCCAAAGTTGTTGCTTCATTTTCATATATTTGCTCATTATTTAATTCACCATCATTGACCATTTTTTCCTTTGTAACAGTTGTTGATTCTACATCAATATCACTTGTATCTGTTGTAAAATTATCTTCAACGTTTAATGCTTCTTCCCCTTCTTCATCATTTGATGTTTTGGGGTTGACTTGGGTTGACACTGACGAAGCTGAAGAAATTGTTGTTGACAAAGAATTATCCGGGGATATTGTAGAGTCACTTACAGCATCTTTCTTTTCAATCAAATCATCAGAATCGATTCTTTTAAGATCCTCTAAATGAGTAACTTCGGGTAAAAACGCTCTTGTTGTTGTTTGAACGTTATCATCTTCACCACCATTAAGTTTCGGCTCAATCGTTTCATCTAAGGTTTTAAATTGGATTTGTGGCGCATTATCTAACTTATTTTCTTCTTTCGTACACGGTTTCGAACATAATGTACCATTTTGTAAAGCTTCTTGAATTTCTTCCCCAATTTTAGCTTTTAAGAATTGGTTAATATCTTTCCATAACACTTTGAAAGCAGCTTCTGAACCACTAATTTGAATTTCGGTTTGATTTAAATTTACTGGGAGAGCCGAAATATAATTTTGGCTAACAAATAACACTATTACAATAACTAATTTATACATGATGATGGTGGTTGAAGAATGATAAGGTTTTGTTGGTTCCCTAAACTTTTATAGTGATGAATGGAGAGGAATCATTACAATGTGAAGGGCATTACGTGATGTCAACATCGATTTGGGAACACGTATTTCGGTGTGGTTAAAAATATTTGTTGCTTTAGTTTACGATTTATTGTTTATTTATTTTTTTTTGTATTTGGTGTCATCGTTCCCTGATTTCTGGGAATCAAGTAATGTTATATACTGAGTGTTTGTTTGTTTATTAATTTTTGGTTTTACCTATTAAGTTTATGATTATGATACATTAGATCTTGTATTTCAATCGTTTGAATATTTGTTTTGGCAAACTTAAAAGGCATCAAGGACAATAAGCGATTGACCAGAGCGGTTTAAAGATATCATTTGGCGGCCAAACAGACGTAAAAATTCCACACTATTCGGGATTATTACGCAACGTTCGGTGCGTATAAAAAGAAGTAAGTTTTAATTTTCTGTGTTTGCTTTTTTGCGCGGCTACATACACAATTTGAGTCCGTAGTTGCAGTTCCCATTCAAAGTAGCCGTAGCGATGTCCGATCGCGCAAATTTATAGGTCCGCCAAAAATAGATCACGGACTCGGCAGCGACACCGAGTCGCGCTCTCTTAACAATTGTGTACGCTACTTGTATGACTTATTATAGAACTGAGTAAGGTACGGTTGAATTTGAAATCATTTTTTTTCCTCATCCTTCTCAATTTGCGAAAGAAACTTTGACGCAACGGCGAGTCAAAGTTAATTTCGTTCGTATTCGTTAATGGATTTATTATTAGTCGACACATCATCACCGCGATTTCTTGGAAATTAATACTGATTTAGTAGTCAATAAGTTAATTGAATCATTATATTAATGTATTGCGAGATGGTAAAATATTGTGGCAAATTTTTGATGTAGTTTTTGAGCCAATATGTGTCCGTTTCATTTATACTAACAACAGTGTCAAAATTAAACTATTTTGGTTGATAATCCATCACAGAAACTGGCAGCGCGAACGAATTTTTTTTTAACTACACATGATCGGTTAATTTTTTTTTAAGGGACACCAATGTTTCTCCGGATTAATATGCAATGTTTATTTCGAAATTAACGATAATAATAGCCGTGGCGTGGATTATTTTCGTTCCGTAGCTAAATTCATCATGTAACAGTGCGGTCGCCACGTAGTCAAAAAGTCGTCGAATTCGGCGCACGACGAGGGGCGCTCTTTTAAGGTTAGGTCCGTACCTCGGCCAAGTGTAGACCCCCGAGACTTCGAAACCATAGTGCCACGATCCGGAATAAGCTCCTTGGCCCTTTGGTCCTGTGCAAACTCCGTGGCCGTGTGCTTTCCCCTCTTCCCAACCTCCGCAGAAAGTTCCGCCATCGTCAAAGTCGAACCTGCCGCCGTTCACATGGCTCTTCGCGGTGGCGGTGCCAGTGGCGCCCGTTGAGGCGGGAGACGTCGCGACGCCGCCGTTCTCCGGACCACCCGGCTGCTGCATGTCCAAGGGGGGCGCCGCTCCGCTCCTCCTCGGTTGCCCTACGCGGCCCTAACCGACCGCATCACTATCAACCGAAAGGGGGGAACGCGTAAACGCACCGCGTTTTCGCGTTTTTATTCGTAACGGTAAAAACGAGGTAAAAACGTATTATTTCGTACTAATAACTATCAGCTCGGCATTTCGGTCCGTCTTGTGGTACTCGCGGCACTGTCGTCCCGGGCGCACGTCGCGACGCCAGCACCTCGATAGCGCATGCTCCCCTCATCAACGGCGTCCACACTTCCCCAGACTTTATTTTCTAAGTTTTGTTCACACTTGGAACTACATAAAGAAATCCTATCTTCTTGTAATCTTCATTATAATTCCCAAAAAAATTAAATCTTAATATTTTCCTTTATATTAAAGCAATCATAATCCTAAAAAACAAGAAAAATAAATAAATAAAATTTATTAACAAAAAAATCATTTTTTCATCAACTTATTTAAATCGTTACAAAAAAAAATAATGAATGAATCCAACATTTCTAAAATAGATTTGTATAAACAAACTCATGAGTTTGAGTTCCACACCCAATAGATAAACGTAACAAAAAAATGTTTTAAAAAAGCTCCACGCTAAATTTTGTAAATTTGAATCACCCAAATCATAAAAATCCGTTCCTATTTATTTATCATAAACCAATTTATCAAAAATAGTGTTTATATAAACTTAAAATTTATAATTGACTCAAATTTAAAGAAAAAAAAATAATTATATCAAAACGCACGGAGCATGCGCGTTGGTCAATTGGTGAAGATCGCCAAACGTTGATCTATTTATATACTTCGCGTGAATATTTCGACTCTGCTCGCTGAATCACGGCAATTGTATATACCTTCGTTTAGAGTGTGTTACGAATGTAACCTTCACCCTGACGCAACTTTTTTGTTAAACAAAATTTTTGTATTGGGACAAAAAAAAGTTTCTCCTTTATTTTTTAGATGGAAACAAATTTTATTTTCTTTAAAATATCTCCTTAATAACTAAGTATTTATGTATAAAATAGATGTAAGAAAAAATATATAAAAGGCCACCAATGAGAGCACGTGGGGATAAGGGAAATGGAAGACACAAAACGCTTTAACTCGAATAGAATTTCTTAGATGGATCTTTGGCCATATCGATCAACATTTGAGCTGGTTTGAACGGTGCTCCATATAAAGATTGATATTGTTCCATTCTTGCGACTAATTGGCCGGCGCCAAATTGGTCCACCCAACGGAATGGGCCGCCGGTAAATGGCGGGAATCCAAGACCGAAAACGGCGCCAATATCGCCTTCAAGTGGGCTGGCCAAAATTTTTTCTTCAAGGCACAAAACCGCATCATTTACAAAACGAGATACCATCCTTAATTGTTTATCTTCATCGCTAAATGAACCTTTAGGTTCCAGCGAATATTTCTTTAAGATATCAATCGCCTCGGGGTTTACATCGCGATTTTTACTTCCCTTTTCATAAACGAAAATTCCTTTTCCAGATTTTCTTCCAAGACAACCAGCTTGAACTATATCTTTCATAATATTTAAATCTCCCCCACTCATTCTTTCACCAAATGCCTAAAAATACATCTTTATTAAATGATTAATTAAAAAAAAATAATTACCTTTGATAAATCAGCTGCAATATGAGCACCAACATCCAACCCAACTTCATCAGCTAAAGTAGCCGCCCCCACGGGGAAACCAAACTTCTTCGTTAAAGTATCCAATTCTTTTGGATCAACACCTTCTTGGAGTAATCGAATAGCTTCTGATAACATTGTAGATAAAATCCTAGTTGTGTAAAATCCGGGACCATCCCCAACAGTAATCACAACTTTTCCTTGTTTTAATCCAACCTCAACGGCAGCTGCGCAAGTGTCTTGACTAGTTTTTGGATGAGTTACGACTTCTAAAAGTTGCATTTTATCTACTGGGGAGAAATAATGCATCCCAATAACTTTTTCTGGTTTTGAAGATCCAGCTGCTATTTTAGTAATCGGGATAGCGCTGGTGTTTGTGGCAATAATGCAATGAGCTGGGGTGTTGGCTTCGATTTCTTTGATAACTTTGTGCTTCACATTGATGTCTTCAAAAACGGCTTCAATTACAATATCGGCGTCTTTAAAATCGTTATAATTCAGTGTTGGTACTAACCCGGCTAAATATTTATCTCTTTCCAAACTAAAAATAAAAAATAAAAATTAATTCAATATAGTTATAAAAGAAATTATTTTTTACTTGTTAATTTTCTTCCTTTTAACAGCATTTTGTAAACCGGTTTGAATTTGGCCAACACCGCGGTTTAAACCTTGCAAATTCGTGTCTTTCATAATAACTTTATAGCCTTTATCGATTGATACATGTGCGATACCAGCACCCATCAAACCAGCTCCAACAACGGCAACGGTGTTTATTGGGTGTTCCGGTTTCCCAAAGCGGTTCTTTTTACACTCAGTTTGGCCGCGGAATAAACCGATTAAACCTTTCGATTGATTTGTCATTGCTAATTCACCAAACGCTAGTGCTTCAGCTTCAAATCCAGCTCTTTCACCTCGGTCTAATCCTGTACGAACAACATCTAAAATCTAGAAAATGGATAATGAAATAGACTGAATTCTTTAACTTTTAATTTCATTTTTTTGTAAAGTTTGCTTTTGGTTTTGTGAAATGGTAAAGTTTTCTTTCAACTTTTATGACATATCAGTATATTTCGCTACTTTTAATATTTTACAAAGATTTTTTCATTAAATTAACTGATTTTTGAGGTTTTTTAATATTTACTTTAACGATGTTGACGTTTAATTGTCAAATTGACGTTTAAAAGTCAATATTTTTAAGTTTTGTACAGATCGTTATTTCATTCTGATAAATGCTATAGTTTTCCATCCAACTTTCTTATCGATATTTTATTTTTCTTATTCTACTTATGATCCTTTTTGATTTTTTTTTAATAATTTGACATACAAATGTCATCGTAACGTTTAAACGTCATTTTGACGTTTAAAAACCACAACACATATATATCTCTAAAATCGTACCAACCTAAATTTTTGGAAATGTTTTGAAGAATATCGAATATTTCATACAAGTTTTTTTTTTATAACTTTTTTGATTTATGGTAATATATTTCGCTAATTTTAGTATTTCCATAAGATTTTTTACATTAAATTAACTGATTTTTGACTTTTTTGAGATCTACATTTTTACGATATTGACGTTTAATTGTCAAATTGACGTTTAAAAGTCAAATACATAACTGAGTCTGTAAAGTTATTAAACTTTATTTATTATAATAACTTTATTGTTTTGTATTAAATCATTATAACTTAACCCAATTGCATCATAGGCTCAGATACTTAAGAAACTACTAAAACTAGAACTAACACTAGACTAGAACAAGAATCATTCGGATTTAGCCCTGCGTCTAGGTTTAGCCGCGTTCGAAGTCTAGTGTTAGTTCTAGTTTTATACTAGCACTGTCACTAGAACTAATACTAGACCTATAACTAGAAAAATTCGGACTTAGCCGCACGTCTTTTAAGACGGCTAAACCCGAATATTTCTAGTTCTAGTACTAGAACTAGAAACATTCGGGTTTAGCCACAAGTCTCTCAAGACGACTAAACCCAAATGGTTCTTCTAGTTAGTTCTAGTTTTACACTAGACCTAGAACTTAGTTAGTTCTAGAATTACTCTTAACCAATGACAGCACTTAAAACCACTATAACCATGTTATCTATCCTCTAGAATCTCTAGATTTTTAGATAATTTATTAAGAGGATAGTTAAAGTGGGCCTTAGAAATATCATTTTAAATAGAAACAAATTTAATTTTATCAATAACTAAGGTGTAAAATGATTCATTTACATTACTATATAAACTTTAGACATTTATTATTATATAAGAGAGCAAACTGATAAGATTAAACGGCCTTTGTACTTAAAAATTTATACATTTTCAATAATAACACAAACCACACTTTGACCTTTTTCCACAGTCAAATCTAATAAACATTAATTAAAAAAAAAAGTATCATACCTTGAGTGGAGCAGGATAAAGCCCCCCAGACATTTTCATGACTTGCTTTCTGGCTTTTCCAAAAATCTGATCTTTAACCCAATTATATTGCAATGCAAAATTAAAAATTTTATCCATCAATCCTTTTTTGGTACGATCGACTTTAAGTTTTCCACTGGCCATTTGTTTGGCTACTTGAACAGCAACATCTTCTAAATATTTTCGTGTGGCAACTTCTGGAGGGACTAAACCGGGCCCTAAGGGGTCTACAAGCATATCGACCATTCCCAATTTTTTTGCTTTATCTGGTTTAACCGTTTTGCCAGTTAATGCGATGTCTAATGTGTTTGGGACATTAATTAATTTTGGTAAACGTTGAGTTCCTCCAGCACCAGGAAGTAAACCAAGCATAACTTCTGGTAATCCTAAACCGGTTTTTTTGTCTTTAACAGCTATTCTGTAATGGCAAGAAAGCGCGACTTCTAATCCGCCTCCAAGACAAGATCCTTGAATAGCTGCTACAATCGGCTTCTTACTACTCTCAATAGCACCCAAAATTTGTTGGCCAGATTTCGAAATTTGAGTCATTTCATTTTGAGTTTTACATTTTTCTAACATGGTGATGTCCGCACCAGCTATGAAACATCCTGGTTTGCCTGAAATTAAAACTGCAGCTTGAATGGATGGATTAGCGTCGATTTCTTGTAAAATCGAATCCATTTCAGTCATTACTTCCTGTCCTAATGAATTAACCTATAAAAATAATTATTCCATTTTTAATCCACATAAAATGATTTATTCTTACTTTGGCATCTGGTGAATCAAGAACAATAACTCCAACATTATCAACCACCTTTAATTTGGTGTGTTTTCGTTCCGCTGCAGCAGTAGCCATGAGTCTAATTGGTACTAAAATAAAAAAATCAATTAACTTTTTGCTATCACACCTTAAGTTATGTGCAATTAACGATAAACACTTACGCTGTCCGGCTATTTTCGTATTAATTAAAACTCGTTTGTACAAGGCCCCAAATAACCTTACGCTCGACATGGTGATTAATATAATTTAGAACAAACTGCACCGGAGTTGTATTGATGACTTCGCCGCACAAAAACCGGCCGATCGACTGAACCAACACCAAAAGCGAAATTGTACTTTGACCAGTTACAAAACTAATAAAAATTTGTACACGAGTTTTTTATCAACCAGATGACAGCCCGAACCATTCAGATATTTACAACAAATACAGATTTGACTTCAAAAAAATGTTATTGGGGTTATTAAACTACAATTTTTGTAATTATATTAATAGTTATGTAATATTAGAGTGAATATTTCTAAAAATGAATAAGAAAATTATTAGAAATATAGGTTACTTTTTGATTTTTCATGTCATTCTAATTTGATAAATTTCAATAAAAGTTACAAGATGTCGCTATTAATAACTTTTTAAATTTCAAAAAATTTAATTTTAATTTAGTTTATATCATTTATTCTCGAAAATATTTTAATTTTGATTTGTATAAATCAAATTATTTTTTTTATATTCTAATTTGAAAGTATCTTAAGAAATTTGCACAAAAATCAAAAGATGTCGCTGTTTAAATTGAAATGTCAAAAAATGTCATTTTATAAATTTATCTTAAACCAGCTTTAAACTGTGTTAAAATTTATAATATTTGATTTAAAATAGTATCCAATACATAATCCGAACACTTTAATTAGATTTAACTTCAAATATCTGCCAAATTATAACCGGGTTACATTACATATGATAAGAATAATTTGACCACCAATAAAACCACAAAAAATCGATATTCGCATTATTTTAAACAATAAATAACTTAAAATTATAATAAACCATACGAAATTATTTCAATTTAACCCTTAAAACATCTTATTTCAATAATATTTTAACATAGCCTCACTTTTTCGCTGATACGACAGGTGCACGCGTGTTCAGCGCTTATAAAAGATTTTTTTTAAATAACTCATATTCGAAATATACTTTTCCTCTTCTAATTCGCAATGAGTTCGTCAGAAAACGAAATGGAAGGAGAAACGATGTTAAAAAGGCACCGACAAGAACGCAAAGATTTACAGGCGAAAATTCAAGCTCTGAAAAAATCGGCTCCAAAAGGTGATAAAAAGAAGAAAAAGGAGATTCAAGATATGATTACTCAATTAGAAAAGGAATTAGATGATAAACATAACTTAGAATTAAAATCAGCTAATATAACAGACTGCCAAAACTCCTCAATATCTGATGACCATATTTCTACTCAAACTAATGATACGATCTCACCAAGTTCTTCCAAAACTTCGCGAGGTTCGAGGAGAATTCGAAATCAAGATGATACGGAAGGTGATGTTGGAGAGGATGAGAATGAAGAGGAGGAGCCTATGGAACCTGTAAAAATTACGAGAGCGCAAAAGCGAAGGAATAAAAAACAGGAGGAAGATAAAGAACGGGAAAAACGTATTCAAGAACAAGATGAGGTTAATAGTCAAGGACCTAGAGTTATAGAAATGCAAACCATCAAGGAAATACTCACATCGAATAATTTAGATATTTTCGATATAGCTGCTGATGGTAATTGTTTATATTGTGCAATAAATCACCAATTGGTGATGACTGGTAGGGAACCTTCCACAACCGGACGATTACGAAAACAAACTGCCGATTTTATGAGAGAACATAAAGATGATTTTATACCTTTTATGTATAACGAAACCGAACAAGCCGTTGATGATAAACAATTCGAAAATTATTGTAAGAAAGTTGAAAAAACGAAATTATGGGGTGGGCAATTGGAACTTAGAGCATTATCTAATGTGCTTCAATGTCCGATTAAGGTTATTCAGGCCTCCGGACCGTCCACTATTCAAGGTGAAAATTTTCAGGGTGCTCCATTAGTTCTTGTTTATCATAGGCACTTGTATAAATTGGGGGAGCATTATAATTCTACTGTATGTAAGGAACAATAAAAAGAAAATATTAAGATATTTTATCCAAAAATATTTTTTTTTTGTCCCAATACTTTTGTACCATTTTGTACATTATAACCTAAAAGATAATTTGTCAAACCAAAAATGTCTATTTTAACAAATAAGTGTAATTTATTTAAGATTTTAGCACAAGATGTTTATTTATTAAATAATATACGGTTTAAATCACAAACATCGTCTGAGTATTGTTTAAATTTGGTCCGGTAAGAATTTGTGAGGTTATGTTCACAACTTAGGAGTTAATTTTTACTTTATAGGACTAATGATTACGAGAATTTTGTTTGCACTTTATTTCTAAAAAACCCCCATCGATCTTCCGCTTTAGCAATTCGCAGCTTTAATATAGAAGTATCAAAAATCAGCGAACGCGTTAGTCAAGTAGATATCGGACGGATGCGTTTGAAATTTTGGGAGGAAACTATTGATAAGTGTTTTCAAAAAGATCCTTTAAATGTCCCACAACACCCCGTTGCTTTAGAAATATATAAGGTATTTAAACACATGATCTTTAGATGCGTTATTTGTGTTAATTTTTAGGCTAGTCTTAGAGAAAAGTTAACAAAAAGACATTTTAAGACTTTAATTATAAGTAGGAGTGAATTGCTTAATAAAAATTCGTTTAATACAATGTCTGAGTTGGAAACATACGCTGAAAAAACTGTTTCTACCGTTTATTATCTTATACTTGAAAGTTGTGGCATCAAAAATATTCATGCTGATCATGCTGCTTCTCATATTGGGAAAGCTCAAGGAATTACGCAATTATTAAGGTATTTTTTATATTTTGTTTGTGAATATGATTTGATATTGTATTTTTTAGAACAATTCCACTTGCAAAAAAAATTAATTTTATCGCTATCCCCCAAGATATCTTAGTAAACCATAAAGTGAGTCATGAAGATGTTTTGCGAAACAAAATAAGTGATAACATGGTTGAATCATGTTTAGATTTAGCAAGTAGGGCAAATGAACATTTAGTTAAAGCACGAGACTTAATGTCTAATGTACCTAGTCAAGCTAAAACAGTATTTTTACCAACAACAGCAGTTGATAATTATTTAAATCGATTAAGCAATGTACAATATAACGTTTTTCATCCATCACTATTACATAGATCATGGTTTTGGTTACCCAAATTATGGTTAACCAATTATAAGAATAAATATTAATTAAAACATGTTTCGAAAAATAAATAATTTTAATCTGAAAAATAAATACAATTATTTAAATACAAATTTATAATTTAAAAACTTCAGCCGTTTCGGCAAGACATCGACACCCACAGCCAGAAGGGCACATTTTATTCTTCACAAACCATTGTTGCATATGAGCTGTATGCCCACCATGGCCACACATTAAACAACAATTCGCCGAACCCCTCACAGAAGTGTGGCAAATGATACAATTTAAAGAGAGCTTCTTGCAATTATCGCACGTACAATATTTAGAGGGCTTTTGACAATTTTGGCAGTCTGTTAAAAATTCCAATCCCCGGTAAGTCTCCGACGGCGTCGACATATATTTTAAAACCTCCACTCGGTTGTACAACAATTTCCATCGGTGTAGTAATTCAGCGTAACTTAACTTGTAATATTCGTAAAGATTCACGTTTTGATCTTTATCTACGATCGAGGGATGTTGAAGTTCATGAAGGCGGAGATTTTCTAAGGAACTTGAACGAGTTGATTTTATTAATGGGAAACCGATTCCTTCTGTTATTATATCTGCTACTGGTATTGTGTGATAAGGTGATCCACCAGACTGTATAAAATAAAAGGAGTTATGTTATTACATAAAATGATAAAACTATGATTTCTTTCTTATTATAAGTTTATGTATTAAGAATTACTTTTGATGTAATGTAGGATATTATAAGGAGATTAGTCAAGGTGTTGCTATATTTATAGGAAAAATTGTTTCTGGAAGTCAGTATCATATTTAATATGGTGTATGAGTCAAATATATTTCCATAGAAACCAGGGCGTACCTACTTACTTTGTCTCACATAAAATGCAACATGCCTGCATGTTTTTAGTTCTAGGTCTAATGTTAGTTCTAGTGACAGTGGTAGGCAGCATTATTTAACATAAGATATCACTATGTTGCATATTTTTATTGAACTACAACTAACACTGGACCTAAAACGCGAATAAACCTAGACGCAGGACTAAACCTGAATGATTCTTGTTCTAGTCTAGTGTTAGTTCTAGCTTTAGTAGTTCCTCAAGTATTTGAGCCTATGATAAAATGGTTTAAGTTATAATGATTTAATGCAAAAAATTAAACAAGAAAGTTCTTATAATAAATTTTAAGTTTAATAACTAATAACTTTACACTCAGTTATTTGACTTTTAAACGTCAATTTGACAATTAAACGTCAATATTGTTCAAATCTAGATCTCAAAATACTCAAAAATCAGTTAATTTAATGTAAAATGTTTTATGGAAATACTAAAATTAACGAAATATGTTACTATAAATCAAAAATTATAGAAAAACTTGTATGAAATATTCGATATTCATCAAAACATTTCCAAAAATTTAGGTTGGTACGATTTTAAGGATATGTGTTGTGGTTTTTAAACGTCAAAATGGCGTTTGAACGTTAATTGACGTTAATATGACATTTGTATGTCAAAATTATTCAAAAAAATACAAAAACAGTACAAGACAGAATAAGAAAAATAAAATATCGATAAGAAAATTGGATGGAAAGTGGAAAACTATACCATTTATCAGAATGAAATAATGAACATCATTATTGCAAAATGATCTGTATAAAAAGTAAAAATATTATTATTTGACATTTAAACGTCAACTTGACAATCGTTAACATCGTCAACATCGTTAAAGAAAGTAGATATTAAAAAAACTCAAAAATCAGTTAATTTGATGAAAAAAACTCTTTGTGAAATATTAAAAGTGGCGAAATATACTGACGTATCATATAAGTTACAAAAAAATTGGTTGGAAATATTAGACATTTATCAAAAGATTTTCAAAAATTTAGGTTGGTACCATTTCAGGGAAACGTATTGTGATTTGTAAACGTCAAAATGACGTTTAAAAGTTAAGATGACATTTGTATGTCTAAATCATTAAAAAAAGTGAATTTTGTCTAAATCATCTTTTAGCCGACGATCGTTTCTGTACCTGATATTTTCGATATTTTTTAGTGGTGTGTCTTAAGATAGAAACTCAGAGTTATCATAAGAACGTCACCTTTTTCTAGCGAAACTTTTCCTTTGCAAAACTACCCATGCCAGTACCATTAAGCTATGTTGCATTTTATGTGGGACAGTGCAAGTAGATAGGAGTTTCTTAACTATGGTTACTGTATTCATATATTGCAAGTTATATAAAATTCCTGGTATATTAATAAAAGGATTACTCTTAGAGGGCTCGTTCCAAGGTGTTAGATAAGGGAATGCCTTCATTGGTCTGACCCTGATTAAAAGTGCCTGAATTATGGCTGGATCATCTGGAATGCATATCAAAAGATCGATGGGCAAAGAAAGTATACCGCCAAAGGCGACTATACCACAAAGACCCCATAATCAGTGGCAAGATGACATTGAGGAGGATCTTATAGCAAGGATTCTCACAGGATTATAGAATCAATGTGATGATGATGAATAATTATTAAAAATAAGCATTAGATTTGAAAGATTAGAATATTATCAAATTAATATATTACCTCATACCACCTTTTTCCAGCTGCTATTAACTATAAAATCGAATTAAAAATAAAACATCCAAATTAGTTTTAAAAGTTAGTAGATAGATATGAAGAAAAGCATAAAGCTTTTAATTTTAGATATAAATTATTTTTACTTACTTCAGGATGTATTAATCGCTGTTTGGTAGTAATTTTTTTCGAATTTGTCTCATTTTCTTTACCAAAAATACAGCATAACATGGCAGCCGTTTGTACATCCGATTGATTGGCGTAATGGGAAATTCTAAAACTCGACTCTCAATACATCAAAATCATCGGCATCAAGTTTCGATTGATACTAACAAAGATTGCATTAATTCGTTTCCAAACGGGTGATACGTCCAACACATATCTTCTTCCGCTTGTTGTGGGCCAGAAACTAATTCCGCTAAAGTCCAAGCTTGTACCAAATCGACGCGTCCAATACTAGAAGCGATCGATTTATTGTATCGACAAATTGCGACTACGTCTCCAGCCAAGATATAATTGTCCGCCAAAAAGCGGTTAACATAAAACAAAGGGGAGACATCGTATACTAACACATACGCTTTTGGACCTTTATACGGATTTTGTTGTGTTCTTCGTGATTTTTGATAATAATAAGATGAAATTGTAACAGGTCCGTTTGATCTTTTTGAGCCATAATTTCCTAAAGCGGATAAAGCGCGGGGTGTAGCCGTTTCACCTTTATTTATAGCCGCTTTACGAATGTTTATGGATCGACCAAAACACACTAAAATATTTGCGGAGCAAAATTTCGCTCCGGATGTTCGTGGAAATGGTATATAAGTGTCATTATAAGTGCCTAAATTACTAGATTCAGTATAATTTACATCGAATTGTTTTTTTGAGTCAGTCGGGTCGCTTTGGTATTGTTCAATAGTCGCAACTAATTGTCTTAGGCAAGGTTCTAAACACGTCCGATTTTTAATAACTCTTTGTTGAGCCACGTGATTTAAAGTTTGAGTTAATTGGCTCGCTAAATGTGCGTCAATAGTGGATCCTTGAACAATTTGGAACGTGGGGGGAACCCCGTGGGGGTAAGCGTTTGGAAAAATGACTTGTAAACAAACTATTCCGAGACTTGAATCAACTTTAACCGTGCAAGTTCGCCTGGTTACGTCCATTTTAACAACTTCCATGTTTGGAATGTGGACGTTTAATAAAGAAAATTCTTGTTGTAATAATTGGATTTTTGGGGAGGATGTTTTAACTAATTCTTCCATTAAATCTTCCTCCGCGTTTTCTTCGGGACGATGTCCACATAGTTTTTGTACAAAAGGGTCTATTTTCCATATTAATAAAGTTTGGTCTTTCGACCAAGTTATTAATTCAAAATCGACGTCGTTCGGTAAACGCTTTCGCCAGTCGAAATCTAATACAACATCTCTGTGGCCTACAAATGTATGAACGGGACTTCCCCTGTTATCAGTATTCCATAATAATAACCCATTTTCTCCCCGTCTCAATTGTGGCACTACCACCGTTACTAATCCATTTCCAAACGGCGTAAACCTGGCCCTCCAAACAGGGGCATTCGTTGTTAAAACAGATTCTGCTCTTCGAGCATTTGTTGTGTCAAAAAATTTCACCGTACAATCTTGCCCCGATGTTGCTAAATACGTTTCCGAACGAGGGCTCCAATCTAATCCATGAATTTTAGATAAATGGGCGCTAATATATTGTACGGGAGCTGTACCTTTTCTTCTATCCCAAAGTTTTACATCACCATCATGCGCGGTTGCAAGAATATTTGAATTCATAGTGTTCCAACGCACTTGAGTAGCTTCTGCTATAGCAGAAAGAGAGATTGATGGCCGTCTTGAGTCTCTAATGTCCCAAATATAAATGAAAGTATCCACTGAGCATGAAGCTAAAATATTTGGGTCTGATCTATGCCAATTTAAACCAGTAATTACTCTAGTATGTGCTCGTAATGAGTGAGATTGGGTTAATTCGCCTTTTGACCAACATAAAACTTCAAGTCTTTGGTTACTCTAAACAAAGTAATATCAAAAAAGGTGATATTTTAATTGGGGTCATTTCTAACTTACAGAAATAACACATAATTCTCTGTTATGCTCGGTGGGATTCCATTCCGCTGAACCTACTTCATATTTACTTTGCCTTGGGAATTTTTTTAGGGGTTCCCCATCAATATCATCTAGATTTTTTATTGCTATACATCTACGACTAAAAAAAAAACATAATATTTAGTAAAAAAAGACATAAAAAAGCTTAAACATACCCTGCTAATAACACAAAATTCCCAGAATTATTAACTGCCATAGCACTAGCTTGAAGATCCCTCTGTTCCATAGCAACATAAAATTCGCTGTTCCATCTCGCAGCCATTTCTTTTGAGCTTTTTAAAAATTATCTTTAAGCCATTAGGAAACATAACCTCTTTTCAAAATACATCATAAAAATGAGGTTCGATTTAACCCAACTTGAATTTAATTGCATTTTTAAACAATTTTATTACCAAAATTTTTGTAATTCCACCCAAAAAACTTAATCAAAAAATTTTTTTCATAATTAAATCTTAATTTACATAAATCCTTTTGAAATTAAAAATCAATCGAAACTTTCTAATTACTAATCAAAACATAACCTATTCAAAAATAAATTTGGCGATTTAAATGTCAAAAACATGTTAACGTTAAAGAAAGCACAAAAACTTCCTATAAACTCATTAATATTAGGATTAAGATCAGTATCAACAACAAAATCGGATTTAGATGAAATAATTAGAGTTGATCATGCAGGAGAATTTGGTGCCGATAGAATATACGCTGGTCAAATGGCTATACTTGGGAGTACTTCAAAAGGACCCTTAATCAAACACATGTGGGAACAAGAAATTCATCACAGAAACACATTCGAAGAATTAATCAAAAAACACCGAGTTCGCCCAACTGCAATGATTCCAATTTGGAATGTACTCGGTTTTGCGTTAGGGGCAGGGTCAGCGTTGTTGGGGGATAAAGCTGCTATGGCGTGTACAGTGGCTGTTGAAACGGTTATTGTTGAACATTATAATGATCAATTAAGGACCTTGATGAACGATCCTGATGTAAACAAAGAATTATTGGAGACAATTACTAAGTTTAGAGATGAAGAACAAGAACATCATGATACTGGAATTGATCATGGTGCTGAAGCTGCTCCTTTTTATAAAGCGTTTAGTGAGGCTATTAAATTTGGATGTAAATCTGCTATTGCTATATCAAAAGTTATTTAATTTTTAAATTGATTATGTTGATGTGATATAATTGTTAGTTGATATTAATATACAAAAGTAGAAATAAAACATGATTTGTATTTATTTCTTTTTTTTGTTATTCACTTTCAAATTGAGACGAATAAAAACCTATACAAAAAGGTAAATAATAAAGAAAAATCTATTTACATTTTTGTTATTTATTTTTTTAGAATAACGTATTTATTATTATTTAACTACCTTTTCTTTATTTATTTAAAATGCAGCATGTGATGAAAGGGATAAATTCTCCATATTTCTCAAAAATTAAATTATAAAAATAGGAAAGAGTTTTGGTTTTTTTTTCTTGAAATACAAAATATTTCTAAATAATTTAATAAATTAAATAAATAAAATCCTTTAAATTTCTTGGAAATTAACTTATCTAATAAATAAGTAATAAGGAATGATTTTATTTATTTTGAACTTGTATAAAAAAATATTTTTAGAAATATTTTGTATTTTAAGAAAGAAAACCAAAACTCATTCCTATTTCCAACATATTTTAAATTTTTCCATCATTTTGTAATTATTTCAAGTACTGAAGATGAAACATGTGTTTCGAAACATGTTTACTTTTTGAAATAAATTAAACATTTTTAATATTTCTCACAAAAAGTTTTTACTTTTTCCTATTTTTATTATTTAACTTGACATTACAGTAAAACCTCGATATAACGGATCAATACGGGGAACGCAGCATTCGTTACAGCTCAATAAAAATAGACAACAATCTAGCGCTAAATTACAAATAAAATTAGAAAAAGCACAAGACCTAGAACTAGAAACATTCGGATTTAGCCGCACGTCTTTCAAGACGGCTAAATCCGAATGATAGTTGGTAGAATGGTAGTTCTAGTTTTACACTATCACTAGAACTAACACAAGACCTACAACTAGAATCATTCAGGTTTAGCCGTCTTGAGAGACGTGTGGCTAAATCCGAATGTTTCTAGTTCTCAGTCTAGTGTTTGTTCTAGTGATAGTGTAAAACTAAAACTGACACAAGACCTAGAACTAGAATCATTCGGATTTAGCCGTCTTGAAAGATGCACGGCTAAACTCGAATGTTTCTAGTTCTAGTTTTACACTAGCACTATCACTAGAACTAACACAAGACCTACAACTAGAATCATTCGGGTTTAGCCGTCTTGAGAGACGTGTGGCTAAATCCGAATGTTTCTAGTTCTCGGTCTAGTGTTAGTTCTAGTTTTGTACTAGTACTTAATTTTTGAAGATCATTACTAAGTTTCGAGATGAAGAACAAGAACACCATTATACTAGAATTGATCACGGTGCTGATACAGTTCATTTTTTATAAAGTTTAGTGAGGTTATTAAATTTGGATGTAAATCCGCTATTGCTATATCAAAAGTTATTTAATTTTGAAATGGATTATATTGATATGAAATAAAAAATTAGAAATAAAAAATGATTTGTATTTAGATTTTTATTTATTTCTTTTTTAATTACATTGATGAATTAATTATAAAATGTATCACAACAAAAAATCGGAACTAAACTAAAAACTTGTGGGATCTTTTTGAAGACTTTAATAGAGAAGTTTAATATAAATTTCTCTTTTCGATAGGATGAGAAAAAATTTTCTAAGAAAAATGTAAAATTTACAACTTTTTTTTTTTGTATAAAAATACAAAGTGCATCATCACAACAAGTAACAAATAAATGCTGCACTCGAAGAAACGCTTTTACAGTTTGGTTCTTAGTCTAAACGTTTCCAATTTGTAGTCAACATTCAAAAAGTTCACATTTACCTCTAGATCATTTCTTTTTACGTCATTCACTTTCAAATTGAAACGAATCAAAACCCATACAAGAAGGTAAATAATAAAGAAAAATCTATTTACCTTTTTGTTTATTTTTTTTTTTTGGAATAACGTAAAATTGTTATTAAACTACCTTTTCTTTATTTATTTATTTAATTAATCATTTTTAATAATTATCTTTTCGTTTTCGTATCAGATTCCTCTTCGAGTTCTTTTTTAATTTCTTTCAACTCGCTTTGTTTATGCTTCGAAATATTTTCAATCTCCTCATCGATCTCCTTAATCGTGATCGCGATAGGTTTGTAAGATTCTTCTTTTTCAGAGTGATAAATACTCTTAGATTCTCTGCGTTCTTGCTCAGATTGCCACTCAACTTTTTGCCTATGTTGCATAACGCTATCTTTAACTCGTTCCAAAACCATTTTTTCGGTGAGTACACCATCTTCAGATGCGTAAGCGGCTGCTTGCCATGAAACACCCAATTTAGCAATTTCTCTTCCAGACATTCCCTCGGTCATTTCAGCCATTTTTGAACATAATGCCCCATAATCGAATTGTTCGACTTTTAAACGCCGAGCGCCTTGAGTTGCTGGTTGAAGCACGAATATATCAAAATATAATCGAATTAAACGTTCGCGTTCTTCTAACCCAGGTAAAGAGAACTCAACCATTTCGTCTAAACGATCGTTAACGGCCCAATCGAATTGTTCGGGGGTGTTTGAAGCCAAAACTAACATAAATTTATTGCTTTGTTCTCCAGTTCTGTATAAAAATGCGTTTAAAGTTGCTCTTAAATCCTCGGAAATATTTTCTGAGGATCTTTTTCTTAAGAAAGCATCTGCTTCATCTATGAATAAAATCAAACCTTTTCGTGAACTAGTCGCCCAATCAAAAACTTTATGAACCGCTGTAACACCTTCACGTCCCATGGGGGCCACATCCCCCCCGGTTAATATTGCGTAATCCATATTTGAGTGTTTAGCAAGTTTTTTCGCAAACATCGTTTTACCCGTTCCAGGTGGACCATGCATCAAAATATTTCGATAAAGTCCTCGATTTTGCTTAGTATTTTTAGTGGCTATTGCAACATCTCTTAACCGCTCTTCTAATCTAGGGGCTAAAATCACACCTTGAAGTGCATCTGCGGACGATGTTTTTAATTTTTGAAATGCTTGAATTGGATGACGAAGAGTATCAAGAAACGAAAATCTTGATGTTTCTCTAACTAGCGATGGTTTTCCTAATCGGGCTTCAATGTAACGTGCTGTTACTCCAGTTGCTCCTTTAGCTGTGTAGACACCTAACGCGAGTAATGAGAAACCACCAGCTGCAGCGAGGACTTTATTCCAATCAGTGAGTAAAGCGGTTACTCCCGTACCAAGGACTGAACCTGCAGTTCTAAAAATTTTAATTAATAAATTAATAGTATATTATTATAAGAGAATATAATGAGGGCTATTATTCACTAAGGTTAACTTTGTCCATGACTACTGGAATTGATTCCATAAATTTATTTTTTTAAATAAATTTTTGAATAAAGTTTAAACGTCAATGTGACACAAATTCAAAGTTACCAACTGTAACCAACTTCACACCAATCTGTCAAAATTAAACGTAAATTTTATGAAACGTCATGCTTCTGTTTAGGAAAATTAATTAATTTATGCTTAACTCATACGAAAAAAAGGAATTTGTTTACGTTTTTTCGATATCAAACCTTTGGAAAGTCCTAAACAAATTAAATTAAACGAACGTTTTTCGAAATTTTGACGTTTTAAATAATTATTCAAGTCTGTCAAATTGATTACCCGTGAATAATGATTATTCACCAATATTATTCGCTTTGTGAAAAATAACTACCCTTTTGTTTTAGAAAACTCATTTATAAATAAGGTACAGTGTGTTAATTAATTATCCTACCCGACGTCATCATTGCAAGTATGCAACCAATAACGCAAACTGCTGTGATATTGGTTGCATACTTACAATGATGTCGTCCTGGGGCAGGATAATTAATTAACACACTGTATATATTATAAGGTAGTCGTGGACAAACTAAATTAAGTAAAATAAACTTACTTGATACTTTCTAATACAGTAACTCTATTTTCAGTTGCTTTTAATCGGATTTGTTCTAAAGTCAAATCTCTGTTTTCTCTATCAACTTTAGCTTTTGCTTTTAATTCAGCTTCAACTCTCTTCATTTCATTTTTATGTCTCAAATCCATTTCATGCTCAATCGTAGATTTTCTTAAAGCTTCTTGTTTAGCTACAGACTCCTCTTGCCTAATATTTATAAAAATAAATAAATAATCAATCAAATCAGCAATTTATTACCTTTTAAGACTCTCTTCATTCATTCTTTGTTGTTGCGCCAATTGATCCTCATATCGTTTCCTTGATAATTGATCTTGATATTGAGCCCGAGCTTGGTGTTGCCTAGTTTCTTCTTGCAAATACTTCCTTTTTTCTTCCCCTTCAACTTTCTTTTGATCGACCTGCATCTGAGCAATATGAGCCTCATATTCTTTAATTTTTGTTTGATATTCTTGTTGTCTCGTAGCTTCTTGCAGCTTAGAAAGTTCCAAAGCTTCTTTCGCATGTCCTTAAAACACATAATTACATAAGTCATAATCAAACTTCAAAAATGATTTGTTAAAAGTTAAAACACTTACTAGACTTTTCTAATTCTCTCGCTGCTTGGGCGGCGCGTTCCAAAGCGGATGAATCAAAACGATAAGCTTCCATCGCTTTTCTTTCGGCCTTGGTCAATTTGGGGTCCTCCGGTGGGGTTCCGCCACCTCCGGGAGCTTGAGGGGGTTGAACTCCGAATTGGGAGAGATCGGGAGTTGCCGACTGCCCATCTTGATTTCGATATCCAAATAGCCAGGACATAATTGCGGTTTTTATTCGCGATTCAAAACGTATCGCGAGAGCGTGACCGGATTTAAGGTTATGTCAAAGTGCGCTGGCTGATAAAAGTCATCTTGCACGTTGCGTCAGTTACGTCAATATTAATTAGTTAGTATTTTTGATAGATGGCGCGATTTTATTTGGATATCAAAATTTAAAAATAATAAAAAATATAGAATTATGTCTTATTTTCAATCGAGATGAAGCTGTACATACTTATTTAAATTAAATTTCTTTAGTATTTAATATTTTAAAGATTATTTCTGCAAATCTTCAAACTTCAGATTTATGATTTTTTGAACGTAACCTTGAATAACATTAAACAGAAATGTTAGGATAATTAATTAATCTTTGTATATCTCAGAAACTAATTGAGATATCGTTATGAAATAAAAAGCAATTTGAAGCAAATTTATTTAGTTTTTAAATACTTTGACGATCATTTCTTGGAATCTTCAAATTTCGGAGTTATGATGTTTTGAATGCAACCTTGCATAATCTTAACCATAACCGTTCAGATAATTAATCTATGAGTATTTCAAAATCTAATTGAGATATCGTTATGAAATAAAAAGCAATTTGGAGCAAATTTCTTTTCTTTCTTGCTCCAAACTAATTAATATTTACTGCTTTGAAGATCATTTCTTCGAATCTTCAAATTTCGGAGGTATGATGTTTTGAATGCAAGATTGGTATAATCTTAAACATAAACGTTCAGATAATTAAGCTTTGAGTATCTCAAAAACTAATTGAGATATCGTTATGAAATAAAAAGCAATTTGAAGCAAATTTATTTAGTATTTAATACTTTGAAGATCATTTCTTGGAATCTTCAAATTTCGGAGTTATGATGTTTTGAATGCAACCTTGCATAATCTTAAACATAATTTATCTTTGCGTATCCCAAAAACTAAGTGAGATATATATAATCAACAACGACGAATAAATTGAATTAGAAAAAACGATTAGGTTTTGAAATAGGAGCGGATCTGGAAAGTCGCGTCTCAATTTTCGTAATAAGATTTAAAAGTAATCTTGGGGATTCGAGATGTAATTTCAGCTTCTAAAGATAAATCCTAGTTCGGTGATTTAAGAAATCTAAAATCTTTATCCAGAACGAAGTGTTGATGAGTTAAAATAAATCAAAAATAATAATAGTAATACTTTATTTTAATCCGTTATAAAATCGAGACATGAAACTTTAAAATTCCTTTTAATTTTTTTTTCATTCCATAACAAAACGAACTTTTACTGTTTAACAGTTTAAAAATTATCAAATATTAACACTTTACGTAATGAAACGTTATGTACACACAAATTAATAAATTACACCAACGTTTTTTTCTTTTTAATTATCTTAAATCTAATAAATTTTAAATTCAACATTAATATTAAGTTAAATACAAAAAATCTATCACACAATTTACCAAACCGTACATTTTAATTCGGGGTTCATTGGGGATCCAAGCGGACAATTAAAATCTCTTGAGAATTCTTTTAAATTCCTTAAAGGCCCGATAACTCTTTGTCTACCTGGTGAATGCAAACTGGTTAAAACGCGTACTTTCAAAGCTTCCTTTCGATATTTTGAGCACCAAGTAGCTGCGGCGGATAACCAAAACATTTGTTTTGGGGTGTAATTTAAACCAGGAAGTTGAGGTTCCGTTGTATTTGTTCTTTTCATCCACGCTTCGTAAGCATAATAAGCCTCTTTTATTCCGCCGTTATCAGCAATGTTTTCACCTTGAGTGTTTACACCTTTTAACTAAAAAAAATTGTTGAAAAAATGTTTTTTTTTTGTTATAAAGAATATGTAAGCGTATTTAAGTGAATGTTAATTGCAGATTATTTTCTAAAAAAAATAGTTTTTATGTTATAAGTTATGTTATAAAGATTTCATTAAGTTTGTGTGTATAAATTATTAGTTTTCCGTTTGTGTTTGTTTTAAATAAATAATCTAATTGTTAATAATTAAATTAACATTTAGTAAATGTTAAAACTTGCTTTAAAAACAACAAAAACAAGTTTATAAAATTATTGTTTACAATATTTTATGGATAAGTTAATAAATATCGTTATTGTGTGTTTTAACAATTAGATTTCCTCTACAAACACAAACATTTTGTTTTGCTAAATATACATCATTTTTTAAGCAGCACCCCAAAACTAAAATAAAAACAATAATTTCCCTCGATCAGTCTCAGCGTTTATTATTCTAACTATCATTATTATTTAGACATGTACCATATATTATATTAAACTTCCGCTTTTTTCATAATCATCCTAAAAAATAAAGTTATGTACAATATACAGAGTGATTTAGTTAAGTGAATTTTTGTTAAAAATGACCCAAATCAATCCACTTTATTGAATCGCCCTGTTAAAAAAAAAACATGAAAAAAGAATTAATATCAGCCCCGCTTTTAAATTTATTTCCAAGTTAAAGTGATTAAATACTATAGTTTTTGTGCAAAAAAAAAACCAATAGATAATAGACACAATGGCACTTCCGGATGCGTAAAAAAATGAATCTACAATACAATGAGCAACACAACAAAACAAAAACTAAAAAGAGATCGTGATGTATACAAAAAAACTTTTTCGCGTCTACTTTAATCGAAAATCAACGAAAAAGATTAAAAAAATACTTAATAAAAATAAATACGTCTTCTGATGATGTCTCTTCTTTAATAAATTTCTAATAATTAATGATCTACCACAGTTGGCACTTATGTTTCGGGTTCATTTTTGAGCCGAGACGACAATTAAAATCTTTGGCGAATTCGCGCATGTTACTAACGGTTCCTACAACGCGAAATTTGTCCGGGGCGTGTTCGTCGGCTACGACTAGTTGCCTCATCTCTTCTAATCGGGTTCTTGCGCACCAAACGCTCGCCATCGACAGCCAAAACATTTGTCGTCCGTTGTACTTCAAACCGGGTAGTTTCGGTTCTTCACCGTGCTTCTTTACCCAACGTTCATAAGCGAAATACGCCTCTTTTATTCCACCGTTATCAGCAATGTTCTCGCCTTGCGTGTTAATGCCGTTTAACTGAAAATTAGTTAGGGTAGGGAAAAGCGGTTCTATTTTCCTAATTCACTTTTTGGACAATTTTAGTCGCTTTTTGTGCATTTTGTACGCTTTATACAAAGTAACTTCTACACCTAAGGATTTTTTTTAATCTCAAAAAGATCCTTTTTAGTAAATAGATGACATGATGTGCTTAACGTGCTCATGCAAGTTTGTGTAAAAAAATTAATCGTTAATTACATACAAGTTGGTCATTAATGTTTATTTTTTATTTTTTAATCATCAACTTGTATGTATCCCATTATTTAGACCCGAAAACATGCAAAGGAATTTACAAAGTTATGGTAAACCCAAAGGTGTAAAGTATACAGGTTGGTTCATAAGTAGAGTGCCAAATTACAATGTGGATACAAAAATTAATATGTAATTCTTGTTGTTTAATTGAAAGTGGTAGTCAAAATAGTGGTCAAGTAGACAGATCGCAGTGGTAATATTGCAGAAAGTAAAATGGAGAGGCAACCGACCGCCCAGACGATGATTGGACGACGTGGAGGTTGAGTTGAGGAGGTTGGGTGCATCGAGCACTCTGCAGAGAGGACTGGAGAGATGTAGCGAGGGAGATCGAAGCTCTACAGGGGCTGTAGCGCCAATGAGATCATTATGACAGAAGACTAGATCCTCTTATGTAAGACTACACACTGCTAGCAGAGGAGTAGTTACTATTTGCAGAAAATATTACATACTACTAGCAGAAAACTAGATCCTCCTAAGTAAGACTACACACTGTTGGCAGAAGACTAATTATTGTTGATAGAAGACTAATTACTATGGGCAGAAGACTAAACACTGCTTGCAGAATATTACATACTGCAGGCAGAAGACTGGATCCTCTAATATAACACAACAAACTGTTGGCAGAAGTAAATTTAATTCAAAAGATGTTGTTTACATTTTGAGAAATAAAACTAATAAGTTATATTGTTAAATTTTGATGTTTTCCAAATTAGTTTTTTTACTTAAAATCTCATTTTGGCATATCTACTTTTAAACCGCCTGTATAAAGATATGTACAAGCGTGCAATTCATTTTTTATAACCAAGAGAAAACATATAAAGAAAACTTACGTTTATTCCAAGTTCCGGTACGGTAAAATTGCTGTATTGATCGATGATGCACTGTGCCTTCTTTACAAACGATTGTTGCGTTTCCGGTTCCCACCAGTCCACCAAATTTCCGTCCTTGTCGAATTGTCGACCCTGATCGTCGAAACCATGAGTGATTTCGTGACCTATTACGAATCCTATTGCGCCGTAGTTCATATATTTCGGACGATCATTGCTGAAGAAAACTCCTTGTAGAATTCCAGCGGGAAATTCTAAATTGTTGTTTTTAAATAATTTTTTATAATTAATGAATTAAAGAGAAATCTTACGGATGCTGTTTTCGATTGCTGAATAAAAAGCGTTTACAATCGCTGGTCTTCCGTGAGTAATCCAATCGGTTTTATTAACTGGTTGTCTTAAACGGTTGAAAGAAAATCTCGTTGCAAATTGGGTTAAATTAATAACAGACATTAAGTATTTTTCCGAATCTAACTCCAACTAGAAAAATAAATTTTTTTTTAAATTACTTTTATAAAATAATTTTTAAGTTATTACATCTTGATAAAATTTCTCCAGAATCTTATCATCTAATAACTCATCCGGATAAGCAATATGTGTTGACATCGCTTGAGCTTTCTCTAACGCTCTTTTTCTCGATTTCTCATCCATCCAATCAACTTTTTTCACAATTTCAACAAACTCCGTTCTGATATCTTTCACCATTTTGATTGCATTTTGTCTTGCGTCTTCATTAAAATATTTTCTTACGTATAAAGCACCGGCAGCATTTCCTAAACTAAAAGAAAATTGATAAAGATTAAATTAAATTAATTTAAAACTTTATAAAACCTCGATATAACGGAAATCGTTAGAATGAACTTTGAATATAATGAACAAAATCACTCATAGATAGAACAACTCGGGTTATTCCCCTAGTTGTTCTATTCTATTTTTATAGATAAAATCGGGGTATTCCCCAAGTTGTCTATGCAAAGATGTCTGAATGAACTAAAAGTAGAACTAACACTAAATCTAGAACTAAAAACATTCGGGTTTAGCCGAACCTCTCTTAAGACGGCTAAACCTGAATGTTTTTAGTTTTAGATGTAGTGTTAGTTCTAGTTTTAGTTGTTATTCAGCGCTAGAGTATTGTTTATTTTTATTAAACTAAAAGTAGAAGTAACACTAGACCTAGAACAACAAAGTTTCGGCTTTAGCCGTGCGTCTGAAGACCCAACCCAACCCGAATGCTTCTAGTTCCAGGTTTAGTGTTAGTTTTGGTACTAGAACTAAAACTAGAACTAACACCAGACCTAGAACTAGAATCATTCGGATATAGCCGTCTTGAGAGACGTGCGGCTATAGTAGACGCCAAGAGAGCTGGCAGTAAATCATCATTTTCCGCTCTTACAAATGCCATACGTAGTTCACAAACCACTAGAGAGTAATGTGTGTTGGAAAGAGATAGCATTAGTTTAATATGTCTGCTGTACAATTCAAATGGTCACGTCGCAAAAGTACGTCTGTTCTTCTAAGGGATGTAACTCTATAATTATAACCTCAAATCGAAACGTCTTGTGAGCGTTGTCATGAATCTGTTAGTGTTTTCACAAGCCGAAAATGTTTTCTTTGAAAGGAAAATCATTAAATAATATCTTTGACAATGTTTGACATATAACCTCCATTACTAACATAACCTACATTTAAATGTATGTGGTGAAATAATCTAAGTCGTACGTCCATATCTTGATTCATACCATTTTTAAGCGATCTGTCACTGCCAGCTCTCGTGGTTTCTACTATAT